CCCGCCCAGAGGAACGCCCTGCAGTGGAACAGCAGCAAGGAGACGACGTCCAAGAAGGCGCCCTTCAACTTTCTGCGGATGGCGGACAATGTGAAGGCATCGGAACCGGAGGTGCGGCACTTCAACCTGGACAATGTGATTGCTGCCAAGCAGCCGCCACAAGAGGCTGCACCACTGGCGCCGCTGCCCGTGGATACGCCCAATGGGACGCCCGTGTCTGGAGAGGAGACGCTGTCGACCGCCAAATCAAAGTTTCTGCGGCCCACGAGCCTGCCCCTGAAGCCGGGCACCTTTACACCGAAGCGCCATCATGGAATCACACCGACAGCCAACACCCTGCCGCTGATCTCGCCGGAAACGCCGCGTCCGTCCAAGTCGTGTGTGCAGCTGTACCTCAACGGCCATGCCTACACCTATCTGGGGCTGAAGTGCAGCACCAAGATGTTCTACTGCACCGTGAACTGCCCGCAGCCGTCGTATGTGGCGGGCATGCACAAGCTGTCGATGTACAGCGTATGGCAGGTGTGCGAGGAGAACCAGCCGCATCCGCTCGGGTTCAAGCTCAAGCAGGTGATGGCCCTGTACGACTCGCGCCAGAAGATGCTCGGCAACGGGAGCTGCACCTCGATGGCGGGCTCAGGCACAGGCACAGGCACGGGGAAGCACAACTACAAATTGGTCAACTCGCAGCAGACCATCTGCTCCATTTCGACAATGTCCAGCAGTGCACTGCATCAGAATCCGCTCGCTCCACTGCCGGTGGTGTCCGTGGGAGCGCTCAGCGAGGCGAATGTGGCGGCCAAGGCCTGTGAGGAGGCGGCCGAGGACAAGAAGATGGAGGTGAGTCCCTCGGGACAGCCCCTGGTGGGCGGTTACGAGTCGCACGAGGACTACACCTACATCCGGGGGCGCGGACGCGGTCGATACGTGTGCTCCGAGTGCGGCATCCGTTGCAAGAAGCCGTCGATGCTGAAGAAGCACATACGCACCCACACGGACGTTCGACCGTTCACCTGCAGCCACTGCAACTTTAGGTAAGGCTTTCTATTTGTCCCAATCCGCCAGAGAAAGTAAATACGGAATCTTCCAAGCAGCTTCAAGACCAAGGGGAATCTCACCAAGCACATGCAGTCGAAGACGCACTTCAAGAAGTGCATCGAGCTGGGCATCAATCCCGGACCCATGCCAGCCGATGGCGAGTTCCTCGACGTGGACATGGACTTTGATCAGCAGTCGTCGACCTCGGCGGGCGGACGCACCTCCTCGATGGCCGATGGCGAATCAGATTCGGATGATTTCAGCGACATTGAATCCGAAAGCAGCGGTAAGTGCACGACAGAATCGTTTTCTTTGCTGGAATATCTCGCTAATCGCTGATCCTCTCTCCTGACCCTTTGGCAGACACAGACGAATCCAAGTCGCGGCTGAAGGAACACGAGGCCGCTCGCTGCCTGCTGTCGCTGTCGATGACACCGCCCATACCGCAAAGCGTTTCGCCATATCCCCCCCAGATCCAGGAGACACCGGCCCCGGCCGGCAGTCCCGCCAACAGCATCGGCTCGTCGGGATCATCGCAGCCCAAGCCCCGCGGTGTGGTGTGCTCCTTTACATCGCCAAAGCCGCCGTTCGACTACCAGAAGCAGGAGCAGTACTACTCGAATCCCGAGGAGTCCAAACCCAAGCGGGGCGCGGCCAGCGAGGAGAGTGCGCCCATGGATCTCACCAAGCCGCGGTGCTCCAGCACATCCGTCGCCGCCGGCTCCGGCTCCGTCTCCCCCTCCCCCTCCCTAGCACTAGCCCTGGCACAGGAGCTGCCCAAATCGCAGGCACAGCAGATGCACGACGTGATCTTCGGGAGCTCCGGCAGCAATGGCAGTGGCTTCATGAAGACCCTCATCTCGGTCTCGGACAAGGTGCGCATCTCCGCCGAGATGAAGGAGGAGGAGGAGCAGGCCAAGCACGAGGCGGCGGAGGGCGAAGATGTGCTCATGCAGACGTACCGCAAGGAGCACGCCCTGCAGCATGCCAAGATGAAGCAGAGCCAGTTCAGTCGCAGCTATCTAAGCACGCTCTTCTCCAGCACCAGCTCCACCGCCACGACCCCAGTCATGTCCAGCAGCAGCAGCACCAGCGGCATCACCAGCACCAGCAGCGGCAGTAGCAGCCTTCTGTCCGTGAGCAGGCCCATCATGACCATCAATGAGGTGCCCAGCATCGAGGTGCATGAGGTGAAGACCCCGGAGGCGGTCGAGGTTTCGCTGCCATCGACATCCAATGCCACGGCCACGGCCACGATCATCCCTGCTGCGAAGGGAACGGTCAACGATGAGAGCGAGGAGAGTGAGGCACAGTCGGATCAGGAAAAAGCAAGCGAGCCGCCGCACAATGCGAATCTCCCTGCTGCAGTGCAGCAGCCGGATGCCACAGACTTTAGCGGTGTCCTGGGTATATCCGCACCTGCCTCGGCAGCAGTATCTATCCCTGCCACATCCACTCCAGCTCCAGTTCCAGCTCCAGCTCCACCGTCAACTCCAACTCCAGTTGCAGCTGCAGTTTCATCCACAGCATCCTCGCAGCAGCAGCAGCAGCAGCAGCCCACACGGACTGTCATCGTGGGCGAAGATGGCTTCAAAAGTGCTACGGCCAGCAGCAAGAACAACAATAACAACAACAATACCAATAACAACAATAACAACAACGAACTGCAGCCTGGAGCTGTGCCAACATATCCAAGGGGCGTGCCACCGCCACCACCAACTGCCGGAGATGCAAGACCCACCTGCTTGATCTGCTCGAAGACGTTCCAGCGCCAGCACCAGCTGACGCTACACATGAACATCCACTACATGGAGCGCAAGTTCAAGTGCGAGCCCTGCGGCATCTCCTTCCGTACCCAGGGCCATCTGCAGAAGCACGAACGCTCCGAGGCGCACAAGAACAAGGTGATGATGACGTCGACGTTTGGGGTGCCGACCACCTCCAATCCGCGACCCTTCGAGTGCACCGACTGCAAGATCGCGTTCCGCATCCACGGTCATCTGGCCAAGCATCTGCGCTCGAAGACGCACGTCCAGAAGCTGGAGTGCCTGCAGAAGCTGCCGTTCGGCACCTACGCGGAGATCGAACGGGCCGGCATCAGTCTCACTGAGATCGACACCAGCGACTGCGAGAACTCGCTCATCTCCCTGAAGCTGCTCGCCCACAAGCTTCTGGAAAAGGACCCCAACAAGCTGAGCGGCTACACCACGCCCTCGGGCATGATGCAGCTGGCCCAGGATACGCCCACCTCGCAGGACAGCGCCTCTGAGGATGGGTTTAGTGGCTTAGAGGCCATCGCCACGGCCATTGCCTCGCTGGACAACGACAGTGCTGGCAACACGCCGAAGCGTGCGAGCTCCATGTCCGAAGATGAGACCGTGGCCAATGGGCTCAGCCACAACTTGAAGCGTCGTCTGCCCGGCAGCTTCAGCAGCACGGGCGGCGAGGAGAGCGACAACCCACCGGAGGGCAGCACCACCACCGCCAACGAGAAGCGTCCCCGACCTTCTCAGGATGCTGCTCTGGCCCTACCCGTTGCCGTTAGCGTACCCGTGGTCGCCTCGGCAGCGGCCAGCAACTGACAGTACATGTACATGCTGCAGCCCACCTGAGTGTGGCCCACGACAGCAGCGACGCCCAAACTGGTGTCTATAGAGCAGTATCCATACTTCCAGGGATACCACTTGCCGACCATCGCCACCGCCAGCACCGCCATCCGTTCACAGTTCCCCTGCGATTTGGGATGCGACAATGGGGTTGGGGGCAGCCATGACCAAACCTCCAACGAGCGCATATCAAATGTCTAAGCATATCGCATTTGGGCACACAAAACTTACTCTAGCACTAGCTTCTAAGAGACCTACCCCTTCCCACTCGCGCAGACGAGCCCAAACTGATTTCTGCAAATCACTGCAACCTGCAATCAATCCTCTGGGCAGCCCCGAAACTGATCGATTTGCCTCTTAAGTATCTAGTTTAAGGAATCGTCATCAACTCTGATCTAAAAAATATATGTATGAGAATATATGTATATGTAGCTATAGGGTTTTGGAAAAGCTGTTCATCTCCCATAAAGTATATATATGTGTATGTGTACGTATATGTATGCAACCCAGGTACCATGTACGCTAGCCCTAGTTTTAAGCTATCCCGCATGTGTATGTATATCCTACGAAGCACACACGGAAAAGGAAAATTCAATCTACGAGTAGTATATGTATACAGATAAAGATATATCCATAGATTCATAGATCCCTGAAGTGCTGTGAGCCGTCTATCTACAAAAATATAACACGAAGAAGCCGAGGAGAACGAGAGATGTACATATATAATTTATAAGGCCTAGCCAGCCCAAGCCCCTGCACTCCCCACCCACCAAAACCTTAAGAACCATGTTTTCCAAAAAAAAAACAAAACACGCAGTTCTTCCTTATTTGAAATTGTTAATCATACACCAACGAGACGAGAGAAATATGTAGAGAATATGTATATCCTTAGTTTTGTTTCTAATTTTGTAAAACAACGAGACCACGAGACTCTTTCAATTGTTTGTTTTTAATTACTTTTATTGGTGTATCGAAGAGTAGAGAAATAGTAGAGAGAGAATGAAACGGAGGGTGGAGAATAAGATGAATAACTAACTGTAAATAATCATTATGTTGTCATATATGCTATAAGTTGTAGGTTAGTCGAAACACAAACTACACAAAAATTGATAGAGATAAATGAAAATTATTGTACAAAAAATTGCTATCCAGCGCCAGAGCTATAGCAACGTATATATACATATATACATAGATATATCTATTGTGTGTGCATGCATGTGGTTAAAAGAAACAAGAAAATGAAGTGATCTATTACATTATTGTAAAATATATCAAAAAAACTGAACGAAAAAAAATACAAAACAAAACAAAACTTGAAAACTTATACAAAAAAAATGACAAAAAATAAAGAAATCAATGTGAAAATATATGAAATGTAAAATTATTTTGTCATTGGACCGCTTTAGAAGCGCGTTTGGAAGTACATGTATTCCTGGAAAGGAAAACAAAAGAGAATTACAGTTTCCTTTGAGAGATTCGTGGTATGATTAATCGTACCAGCAGAAATGCTGAGCCCAAGATCAGGGCACGCTCCTTAGCCGTCAGTTTGGCATCGCTAAAGTAGATATTTGTGGTGTACTGGGACTTGCTGGCCATCCACTTATGATCGATGGACGCCCTCAGGTTACCTCCTGAATGTACCTTTACATGGGGATCAGGGTTAATAATTAGATAAGTATGGAGTTGAAGTATGGTGGTTAGAAATCTACCTTGAAGTAGCACTCCTTGGGCAGGCAGAAGCAACAGAAACCGGAATTCGCCGGACCCTCCACACAGAAGACGGGCTGGCCCGTATTGCCGTCCTCAATGAAGAACTCGGGCTGCATGAATGTGGGCGACTGCACCACCCGGCCCAGGACATTGCCTGGCGGTATCCAGATCTCGAGACTCTTTGCCTGGCAGCACATCGAACCGAGGGCGAATTTCTTGCGGAAAACCAGCGCCTCCTGGTGTGTCTTGTCGAGCAAGTGCATCTGGAAGGGTCGCCCAGCGCCCCAAAGGAGCCGATTTTTCTCCGTGGAACTCTCGCTGGCGGCAAAGACGGCATCGCCCAGCGGCGAGCGGACCACATACCGGTTCTCCGAAGAAACGGCTGTCAGGGCTGCAAAGAAGAGTTCTTCAAAGGATCTCTGCCACGGTCTATAGTTTTACTCTACATACACTCATTCAACTCGAATGTCTGTTCAATGTGAACCGAGGGCAAGTCCGCTAGGCAGTCGTAGCCGGAGAGGGGCATAAATGTTCGACTGCCAGTCACTGTGGGCAGGGGTATCCTGGGAGCTTCTGATCCCGGTCGCGGCTGTGAGGTTATGCTAATATGGGAATCATACACTGCAAATAAACAAAAGGATTTATTATTAGATCTTCGAATGGGTGTATGTGTAAGCATGTTTGACGATCACTTGGTCGATATCTCAGTTTGATTAGGAACAAAGGCACTTCAGGCGTAACCGGGACGCCATTGGCCATAATGATACCACAACAAAAACTTTTGCTGATAAGATATAGCTAATTTTATGTCGCATATTTCTTTGAACAGTAACACTACCACAACACAACACGCACACACAGACCATATGAACGCCGTAACAATTAATCCAAATGCAGCGGCTGGCGAACACAGGCGCAAAACCACTTATCAGTTCAGTTAGTAAAAATTGTACCAATGTCCATGGTGATTCATGTATTTGTTGATATTTCTTGGTTACATTTCATCATTTACCTACCTCTGGGTTCCGTGGCATTTGGCTGCTGTGCCACGCGTATTTCGCTGTCGTATTGCAGTGTTCGAACCGCATCGTTTTGGAGCATTTTAAATGCAGTGTTCAAATGACAACACGAGCGGCAACGGCTAAAATGGGCAACGATAATAATGTACAGTGTGACCTATTCAATTTGTACATCTCACCTATCGATATATGGAACCGATATTATTTTATAAAAAATTACATCGATAGACCATCACCTGGTGGACGAATACATGCAAATGATGTAAATTTGAATAAAAACATCGATGTCGATGTGCATCGATGTTGTCAAAATCAAACATCGATGTTGGATTGATACATCGGATTTATTCTTCGATGCATCGATGATTTTTTACATCACAGACAATTTTTGCGCCCGCCCTTTTAGCCAATAAATGCAATTATTTCGAATAGGCCAATCAAGTAGGAAAAAGATTCACCAACCGTATAAAATTATGATGGCATGGCTAAATGTTCTATATAGCTAGTAATATTCGACGGAATATCAAAAACGAGAAATATGTAAAATATAACTTGAATTCGTCAGTATACAGACAGTATATTTTGGTATATTACTGAGGGTCAGACCGTATATCTTATCGATAAATCCGCGGTCACACTGTTGGTGGACGAATAAATAATAAATAATAATTAATCTATTATTAAGCTAAAAGTTTAGCGAAATTTGCTGCAGAATTTTGAATTTAAAGTGTCACAGTGTTTGCTAGAAGCGCTTTGCTCAATGACGTCGAAACGTGCAGCAGGTGAGCAAAATCTTTGTTTTGGTCAGTGTCATAGCCAGTGGTGGCACTTTAGCTGATTCTTTTTGTTGTAATACAAAAAAGTGTTGTCAGAAAGGGGCACTTTCTGCTGGAAAACTGTAATGTTCGGTTAGCTTGTGGCTTGGGGGTGGGTGGCATCCAGTGCGCAGCCGCTGGAGTGGCATAAACAAATGCCTTCACCTTCGCCTTCACTCTCGCCGACCTGCAGCTGCCGTCGTTCCGAATCGCAAAATAGCGCCAGTGTACTCTGGGCCAGTGTACTCTCTGCCTGGCCGAAACAAAACTCTGACGCGGCGCAAACAAGAAAAAGAGCAGATAAGCAGCTCGGCAAAGTGCAATAATCAATAAACGTGCTATTCAAACATCACTTCGCACAATACGCTTTTATGGCTTGATTAGATCCCAGTTGATTGTGAAATTCCTGCTAAAAAAAAGATAAACTCCCATGTTTTTTTGATGTAACGGTCGGTTCGTCCAGGCGCCCTTAGAAACGAATATTCGTATATTTTCCAACTTGCAGTTTCCCCAATTTCGGGGGTGGTTTTCCTCCTGTGTGTCAGAGTGTGCGCGCGTCCGTGGAGCAGCGCATAAGAGGAAGAAAAATCCATGAATATAAAAGTCAAGTGCGCTAACCGTTACACCCGTACTCGTACGTGAAAAATAACCGTTGTTAGCCTTGCCGCAACCGTAAATTTCCATTTGGCCAAGGAACGAGCAAAATGTCTCTGGAGGATCCGTTTTTCGTAGTCAAGGAGTAGGTGGTTTATTGCAATGCAATTTCTTCGTCATTACGTTCCATCAGCCCCATCTTACCACATCTCCTTCTTACTCTCTCTTCCTTCTCTCTCTGCAGCGAGGTATTTAAAGCTCTGAACAAAACACGAGGCCTTTACCTGCGTTGGCGCGAGCTGGGGGAGGACGGTGGAGCAGAGGTTGAATGGACCACCACTGAGCTGCGTAACTCGTTGCGGAGCATCGAATGGGATCTCGAGGACCTCGAGGACACTATCAATATCCTTTTCCTAAACTGCATTACTAATGTATTGCGCGACGTCACGCCGCATTGGCGAAAAATCAATTCGCTTTGCCTAACCTTTCCCTTTTAGCTGAGAAATTTTTTGCATTTTTTACGGTTTTTCTTAACCCTGGGAAACCGACTAGCACGCATTGTCGAGAAGAATCCGACCAAGTTTCGCATCGACAACCGCGAACTCTCCAGCCGGCGCCACTTCATCGACAACACCCGCGATGAGGTCAAGCAGATGAAGGATAAGATGAGCCTGAACCGGAACAGGGACAGAGACATAACCGCACACCAGCCACTCCTCGACAACGATCGCAACAACCCCAATCAGAATCAACCAAATCATCACACCATCTCCAATTCCAACACCAACTCAAACGAGTACCACCTCCATCCGCACAACGATCGCACTTACCTGGTGGAGTGCCCCAGCACCTTGAACGGCAACTCACTGATCAACAGCGGCAGTCAGGCGGTGGCCAATACCATAGCCGGCACGATGTCAGCAGCGGCAGCGGCTGCTTCCCGCCACAGCGGGACCAGGTACTCGAAGCTGGAGAATGCCCTTGACAGTCCCAGTCACTACGGGCAACCGCATCAAGCCAGCAGTCTGGACAGCCCCGGCCACAGGTATGTGGGCGAGACGGTGTCCATACAGCAGCGCATGATCCAGGGTCAGGACGAGCAGCTCGACATGATCAGTGATTCCATAGGCACTCTGAAGACTGTATCGCGGCAGATCGGCGTCGAGTTGGATGAACAGGCTGTGATGCTGGATGATTTTGGGAACGAGTTCGATACAACAGAGTCAAAGCTGGACACGACCATGAAGAAGGTTGCCAAAGTGTTGCACATGAATAATGGTGAGTGGAATGCAATACAATAGAATACCCAATGATTAAGTTATGTAATGATTAAATTCCTTCTTGCAGATAAATGTCAGTGGGCTGCTATTCTCATCCTAACGGGGCTGTTATTGTTTGTGATAATTCTATTTATTATTTTGTAATTGCGTTTTGTTTGGATTGTTTCCAGATCAGTTATTTTTAATTTTATTTAGTGTAAATTAGTTGTATTAGTTAATGCTTTGGATTCCCCTTTGTTTGGATATTCGAAAGTAAATCATATATTTTATATTCAAACAAACTATCAGCAGAATCCAAGTAAACTCCCTTGCTGTATATACACGTACATATACTTAACTTTTAAATCCACTAACGTGCATATAGTATACGGAATACATATGCATTTCCAAAGTTAAAGACAAATACCGAACCGAATGATCATGTAATAAAAACTAACTATAAATACATACATACATGCATATATAAACCAAATAATCAAGATTTTCCTGTCTGTAATTTCCCGATTTGGCCAAAGGAACATGTACATACATTGAAGAATATATCTTATATATACACACACACACACACACATAAACACGAACGCATATATCAAGTGAGTTATTTAATGAAGAGTTTTAGCCAATTCCACTAAGTAATTTAACTAAACTTGTATGCAGTTGAGTAAATATATATATATATATATGTGAATCATTCAAAACCAAACCCAAAACACTTTCTAATGGCGCCAAGTGCACAACCCAATTGCATCCATGCTGGTGTGGTCAAGGGGTCATGTCATCCATCATACCACATTTTCCTTTCCTAATCTCCCACCCAACGAAGAGAACTCACAACACCACCCTCCCTCATTCCATCGGGCAGTCAGCTGTACCGGCACAGCTTTCACTCAAAGCTCTTCGCAAGCTTACAGTCTGCGCAGAGCGCCCAGAGACGTGGGCAACAATTTGACGGGGAAACCAATACGACAGCGGCCCCCACTCAGAGCACCACAGCGCCACTGGGCAGCATAGCATAATCATGGCCAAAGAAGCACGTTTCCATATGCTCATTGCTTTTCGGCATTCAGTTTTGTTTGTGTACCCGCCGCGGCAGTCGCAGCAGCCGCCTCAGTCAGAATTTTTCTCGATTTCCAGTTCTCGGCATAGGACCTGGACCCACAAAATCCTCCACAGTGCAGTCAAAATGTTTGATTGTGAATATATTCGGCAGTTTTGAAATACAAGTCACGAGTTTTCGGTGAGTGCTCTCGATGGGAGCGTGATTTGATTGGATAGACACCCAAATACTTAGTCAAATATTTGCGCACACATGTTTTGTGGGGTGTCAAGTGGTGGCTTTTTGGGGTATTTCGGTTTGTTGCTGCCGCCTGCCGAAGAAAACCTTGAACATTTTTGCCAAATATAAAATCAATGCTTCGCTCTCTCTCACACTCTCTGTTCGCGACCAGGAAGTTGCGGCGCTCCCTCTTTCACTGAGCATTCATTTTAGATCCAGAGGAATGCCGCGTCGGCAAAACCCGCTGGTCCGGTTGGGCCACTGTTTCCTCTAGGCTCCTATGCTATGCTCACTGGTCACGGCGCCCCGGCCCGCCCCAACCCCCACACTCACAGTGTGGCGACTATTAATAAATTCATGCAGCCAAAGACCAAACATTCGTACGTATGTACACGACTATCCCCATCCCCCCACCTCCTACTTTTGGCTGAAATGGCTTTTTTGTTTGTTGCTGGGGAGCTTTTTCGAGACTCTTATCAAAGGCTGAAATGCCGTTACGTTTGCCGTGCGGGCGCACTACAAATTCATAATCGAAACAGAAAGGAAGCGTATATACCCTATCAAAGGGTACTCAGGCCTTAACCAGAAAAGACCAGTTCTGCATACGTATATGTACTGAATCCCATGAACTGTCATGTCTATAAGATTTCCCTGTACGGTGTGTAAGGGTATTGTCAGCTTCGGTCCCTCAGAGCTAGTCTTTTTTTGATTGTATGATTGTATATGTTGAATTGATAAAGCTCTCAAGTGCCTGGAATTGCACTGCAACAGCTATTCAAATGAAAACAATTTCCGAAGAAAATCAACTAACGGTGTCTCGGTTGCTGTTGGAATTGACACCCCACCCATGCCTCACCTCCCACTCAGATACATATGTGCATAAAGTGTGCATTTGCACATTTTCCATCAATTGGCTGGAGTATTCTTATGTATGTACCTCCCCCTTGATTTGCTTTTGTACATTCATTCCCAGATTTAGTTGCCCAGAATGAGCCAGACGCAGCGGAATCTTGATCGCAAGATCGTTGTGATTGGAGCCGGAGCATCGGGGATCGCGTGTGCCACCAAGCTGCTGGAGTACGGTTTCCAGAACGTGCTCGTTGTGGAGGCCGAGGAGCGTGTGGGAGGACGCATACACACCATCCCCTTTGGGGACAATGTGATCGATCTGGGCGCCCAGTGGTGTCACGGTGAGAGGGATAACATTGTGTACGAGTTGACCAGGAGACAAGAGGAGGAACTGCTGGAGTCCACCGGCCCTGTCTACGAGAACTATCAGTGTGTGCGCTCCAATCGGGAGGTGGTACCAGAGAACGTGGCCAGCCGGCTCAAGGCGATCGTGGGGGATTCACTGGTCTCGCGGCAGCTGGAGCTGCGCCACTGCAGCGGATCCCTCGGCAGCTACCTGACCAACAAGTTCTATGAGACCCTGCGCCGGCCGGAGAACGCCGACATCGATGCGGTGGTGGCCAGAGAGTTCTTTGACAACTATCAGAAGTTCGAGAACTCCGTGGAGGCCTCCGACACGCTTGAACAGGTGTCGGGACGTGGATATCTGGACTACTGGGAGTGTGAGGGCGACATCCTCCTCAACTGGAAGGATAAGGGCTACGTGGAGCTGCTGAAACTACTGATGCGCGCCCGCGAGCTCAAGTCCGAGTTGGGGGTCCTGGAACAGCGCCTGCTCCTGGGTACCCGCGCATTGAAGATCAACTGGAACCGCAACGATGGACGCGTGGAGTTGGAGCTGAGCAACGGAGAGAACTGTATCGCCGATCATGTGGTGGTCACCGTCTCCCTGGGCGTGCTCAAGGAGCAGCACTGGCGTCTGTTCGAGCCGAAGCTCCCTGTGGAAAAGCAGCGCGCTATCGAAGGACTGGCCTTTGGCACCGTCAACAAGATCTTTGTGGAATTTCCGGTGGCCTTTTGGCCTGACGACTGGACAGGCTTCACGCTGCTCTGGCGGGACGAGGACTTGGACGACATTCGGGGGACTTCACGGGCATGGCTGGAGGACGTCTTTGGCTTCTATCGAGTGAGCTATCAGCCCCGCATCCTGGCCGGCTGGATAACCAATGTCAACGGCAGGCACATGGAGACCTTGCCTGAGGATGAGATTCTGTCTGGTTGCATGTATCTCTTCCGCCGCTTCCTGCACTGGAACATCCCCGACCCAAGCAGCTTCCGCACCTCTGCCTGGCACACAAACGAGAACTTCCGTGGCTCGTACTCGTACCGTTCCATGGAAACAGAGAACCTGGGCACAGGAGCCCGCGAGCTCGCCCACCCACTCACTGTGGTGTCCACCACCCCGGAGCGGGAGCGCGAGCCGTCGGACGAGCTGCAACAGAGTCGTTGCGACAAGCCCATTGTCCAGTTTGCGGGCGAGGCTTCCAGCGAGCACTACTACTCCACGGTGCATGGTGCGGTCGAGGCCGGATGGCGTGAGGCCAAGCGGTTGGCAGACTTTTACGGACAGAGTGCGTCTTGGTCCGGGACCAAGTCGCAGCTCTAGCTATACAGAGAGAGGTAGAGAGAAAGAGAGAGGGCGAACTGCGATACCTGACAATGATTTCAGTGCAATGAAAGATGGGAGTTAGTCTTTGTCTTCGTATTACAATCTGCAATTAGCAATCAATCAAGAAAACTGATGAAACATCCTGCATAGACTTTGATATGGATAAGATATACAATGTACCACATAGGCTATACTTAGACGAAAGATTATACATACATCGTAGGTACTATATACATTAATATGTGAGTGTAGTGTCGATATGTATTATGTATACAAAATGTGCTGCCCAATAAAGCTGTGTTTAAGTCTTCTTTTATTTGATCCAAATTGAAATGTTCCCCCTTGGGAATAATGAAACTTCCTTTTAAAATAGGTTTTTATTAATTTCTCACTTGTTTTTAACAATGAATCGCCGCACAATATCTCCTCGTTAGATGAAATCAGTTTAGAAATGAGAGAAATGTCACATATAGAACGTAGATCCATACTGTATCCAATATGCCCCGGATAGTGAGAGTGTATATACAATTGAGATACAATACAGTTAGCGTTAGAGGTAAAGTTACAGTTATAGGGGTATGTGTCGTAGGGATTAACTCTTTTGATTTTAACAACGTGTAATAAATACATTAATTTTTTAAGTTATTCGATTTGAACACAAATAATCAATTTTGTACAACAATTTCACATAATTTAATTGTAATTGTAATGGTAAGTGTACATAATTGTTAATCCGTTCTATAGATGCTGGTTTCTAAGTTCTTTCAATTGTTTATTGTTTTCATTTCATTGTTTTCACTGTTACGCAAAAAGGTACTTGTCGTGAAAGGACTAAAGCTGGACGGGAGTGTACCAGCCCAGCAGCAGGACCGCCTACGGGTGTCATAGTGTCTCTATATCGTTCCTATTCGTTCCTCAACTATTCAACTACATTTCTTCTATCTTAGCACGTCGCTAAATTCGTATGGCAAAAATACTTTGGTGTTTGGTTTAACAAATTGCATGAAATGCACCTATAGATGGGCATCTACGGGTTGGTTTTCTTGGCTTTCTACTGCACCCAGATCGAGGGTGCCCAGAGCGGCTCATTCTCCAGCCGCTGCACGTTGTGGACCAGCTGTTCGAAGGCGTTGATCAGTTCGCCGTTGACGATCTCCACGTCAAAGAAGTGGCCGTAAAGGAAGTCGATGCGTTCGGCCGACTTTACCATATCGTCGAACTCCTCGTCCGTGAAGCTCCTGGCGTTCGCCTCATCGAACGTGGACTTGGCCCGCGCCTCGGTGCGCGTAGATTTGAGCTCATCAAGCTCTGGCGGCTTAATGTGTATGAGGAACGGTTTCAGCTGGGCCGTGCGCAGCGTCTTGATAGCCTGGTAGTGGGGACTCAGCACACAGACGCAGCCAGCATTCACGATCGACTTAACGCTCTCCGCCGAGGTGCCATACAGATGCCCCTTGTATTCGCCGTGTTCCACAAACTTGCCGGCCTCAATATCCGCATCCATTTTTTCGCGCGCGACAAAGATGTACTCACGTCCAGCCACCTCGCCCGTACGCATGGGTCGCGTGGTGTCTGTAAGAAAGAAACTCTTTGTAAAAATATCGATATGGGGACAGAAATCGACTTACATGGTACTGGGCTACGGAACTTCTCGGGATCACGGGCAATCAGTCGGCGGCGCAGCTCATTCCGACCCACACCAGGGGCACCGATGAGCACCACTGGTCTGAAGATGCCGGGCCGGGGATAGAGCTTGGCCACCTCCTCGTAGGTTGCGATCTGCTCGCGATCAAAGTCGTCGTTCTCTGTCAAGTCGTACATGATCTTTTTAGTCTTGGGCTGGCGGCACGACGAGCTGCTGCTGCTCGTGTGCAGTCGGGGGGAGCCGGGTGGGGTGGTGTTGCAGAGTGATGCGCATGAACCGGCTGATTGATGGTTGATGTTAGGAGAGGCGGCCAATTGTTAGTCAGATTGCGGATGATCGGATTAAGAGGCGACATGAAAGTATATCAATTTCAGTCTGGGCTTGGGCATGGGGCGAGTCAGGGACATATTCATGAACCAGCTGGTATGATGGATGCTTACGCTTGGAGTCCAGATCATTGCCATCCCGCTGCGTACGCTCGTGGATAATGCGACGCTCCTGCAGGGCGCGACTCGGGATGAGGCCAGCGCGGGCAGAGCGCTCGTGCTCCCTGCGTGCTTGCCACCAGTAGGCATCATCCTGGGCCACAATGTGGAGGACATCGCCGCGCTGGAAGGCCAGGCCCGCCTCCTTGCACGGTATGTACGGATCCACATCGGGATTGTAGTCGAAATGGGCCCTCACCCGCACCTTGGACTCGCGCTGGGCGCCTTTGGCGTCAGCGGGCACCAGCTTAAAGGTGATGGTGCCCTCCGAGTTTTGCTAGCAAACAGAGAGAATGTAGTGGGAGTCAGGTCGATGGGATCGCTGGGCACTAACCAGTATGGTGAGCACATCGCCAGGTGTCTTGCCCTCCACATTAATGCTGTTGACCTCGATGACCTCGTCGCCGACGTGTATCAGACCAGAGCGATCGGCAGCGCCGCCGTGCATGATTCGAGCTATGATTATTTTGCCGGTCTCCTCGTCCGTCTTAATGGTGGCCCCCTAAAAGTAGGCAAACGCATTTCAATATTCCGCCAATCAAAAGTCAGCTCATGTGCGTGTGTGTGTGCGTGTGTGTGAGTGAGAGAGAGAGAGAGACAGTGCTGTTTCCGATGTGTGTATTATGTGTATGTTGGAGTGTTCGTGTGCTGTGGCTGATGGACGTGCGACAACAACCAAATGGGGCGGCACACAACCAACAACAAGAGTACATCGGTGTGTATGCATGTGTGTGTTTTGTACAGTTTGCTATGTCGTTGTGGGAATACACATATCGTATCCATCTTTTAGTGGTGCTGGAACGGGATTTCTTTTGTTGTAGTTTATGGTGGAACTTTTTACAGCTATGGACATTCGTTTACTTTACTTACAACAATTGGCTCCGCACTCTGTGCTCCTGTCTGTGTTTTTTTATTTAATTTTTGTTTAGCAAATGTTTTTTAGTTGTTTGTTTTTTTAATGAGATATCGATTCGATCGTATTCGATTTTGGTCGAAAGCAAAATTTACAAAATTGATTAGCTTGGAGAAGAATTGAAATAGATGCGGCGGATGGGACGGATACGATGATACGACGAATGCATGAATGGAGGCGCATAGAGGAGGAGCAGTTGGCTGAATAGTCGACAGAGGCAGGGGTGGGTGGGATGGTAGGGAATGAGAGACAACACAGAGCACTGTCACGATCACAATGAGCGACAGGACCTGGAAGAATGATCAATCGGTGGACAGTGAAGCCGAAAGTAGATGCAGATTGGGATGGAGCGACGGAATGAGAGAGAGAGAGAGCGCTAGAGATGTAGGCAGAGGCACTTACCAGGGGCTCGTTGCTCTTCACCAACTGCACGATCTTAATGGTCTCCTCGTCCTCGTCCATCTCGAAGGGCGCCTCGGGCAGATGCGGATAAAAGTCCTTTTGGGCGATGGCATCGTGCGCAAACAGTAAATGCTAGAGCGAGTGGAAGGATCAGCAATGCATATCCTGATCTCTCCGTTTGGAAGACACTCACCTGCACGTGGGCATCCTGCAGCAGGTGGAAGGCCTCCTTGCAGTCATCGCTCAGATGGCAGCGCTGCGATAGTTGCTCCAGCACCTCGTACAGCACCTGGGCAGAGGTGGAGAGCACTGGGGCCAGGCGTTCATCCCGGCCCACTTTGGCCACCTTTGTGTGCACATTGACCAGAGCATTCAGCTCCTTGGATTCGAGCAGGGCTTTCAGAAAATCAATCTCCTGGTCATTGGAGAGGTTCTCTGACTCCTTGAGCGTGGTAAACAATTTAGACAAAGCTGAAAGCGCACAAAGGAGAACGTTTGAGTCAGCCCTTCGGCTGAAATCCTTGGCACGCCACTCACCTGGATCCCAATTGATGTCCGATGCCATAACTGCAGCTAGCATGCTACTCAACGGCCTACGAAGCACTACCACTATCCTTGGCTATCCTTTCGGCGCTGCGCTGTTACTGTAATTGAGTTAACAAAATCAATAGCTGGCTTTAACGGAACGAAGGAAACTTTGAAAATTTGCGCATAAACATGTCAACAGGGTGGGGGTGGGAGAAGGCTGTATGATTATTCCAGCCCCAAGGATAGCACCGCCCCCACAACGACTTCTTTTACGTCATTCGTCCGCCGCAGGGAACGCCGCCAGACACTGGATAATGTTGCCAGCCGAATGAGCTGCTATACTTATTCGTTGCCATAACAACAATTTGCGCTCCATTGAACTTGGTTGGTGGCAAGGATGGTGGGGCGATGGCGACCAACTGACGACGCTCTGTCTAAGCGGAGCTCTCTCTCTTTCTCTCTCTATTGGCTGCCCCCAAACTGTAAAATGCAATTAGCTGGTATTAAGCAGGGCAAAGTAGGTTGCCCCCTCTTGGCTTTTGCCCAGGAGATTGATGCAAGCGGAAAATTTATGGTCACTTTCATCTGCGGGTAGGAAGAGAGGCCCAGTGGCCCAGAATGTTGGCGCCTATTTCCGTTCCAACTGCATTCCATTAAGTGTTCAATGACTGCGCTTCCTGTTGCTGGAGCTGGAGGTGTCTTGGCGAAGTGCCAGGTCCGTGGGCAGAGTTCACTAACACGTTGCCCATGTAATGGGGTCGCCTGGCCACGTAGCTTTTCCGTGGCATGCCAGCCGGTCATTAGTGCCACGTTTACAGTTATTCTCACACGAAAGAGGCAGTGGAAGAGGGGGAGCAAATTAGTGCCACGCCAGAAAAAGCGTCTCAAGTTGATGGCCCGACATTCGCATGATCCGCATGTCCTTAAACTTGCAGAAGGGTTCCCTTTGCCCCAGGCAATTGCCGCTAATGAGCGTGATCTTACACTCAAACTCTGGGCTTTTGGGTTGCTTGGAGGCCGATGCTTGGCCAACAGATGACCTTGAACTACATATCGTGCGTACGCAGTAGCTGCAGCAGCATGGCAACAGTTTCCCGTCCATGCAACGACGAAATGTATCCATGTGAGCGCGTGGGCCAGTTCGTATTGCAGAAGCAGGTTTCAAGGATACAGACTGCATTTCCCGTTGTGCATCGAGGCGTTGCAATGTGGGGGTGTACTGTTGCAGTTACTGCCAAGGAAGTTCGGCCGAGCCATGCTGCAATTACACTAATTATAGACATACCCTCAAAAGGCTAAAGTGCACTCCAGCAATAGCAGTCATTCTGAGCGTAAGATAAGGCAGGTACACTCACCCCTAGACGCTCCACCACCCGTGCCGTTGATTGAAAACTTGAAGTAATTGCAAATACACTCGAACAAAATATTTTTAAAGGCTGGAAAGCCGACAGACAGTCTGGTCACACTGAACGTGGCGGGAAAAAAACGGGAGAGCGAGAGAGCAAACGAGAGAGAGTTCCGACTCTCTCGGAAGCGTGAGAGTATTTACAGTTGGAAACAAACTCCCCAGGACTCCTGAAGATTAACTAAATCTCTGCCCCTTCTCACCTGACGATTGTGTCCACTGGAGAGGCAGTTGGGGGCTTTGTTATCGTTGATGCTGATGGATGTCACTTGGCACTGTTTTTCCGTCGCGGCGTTGTTTTATTTTTAAACAGATTTCCACTTCACTCGCAGGCAAACGCACACACATACACCGACAACATGTGAGGCACGACGATTCACTGGGACGGGACTGTTCAATGTCTGTCTGTGATTAGCTATTTTTAGGCAGCTCCACTTCGCTATGGCCAATTGCTGGGAATATGTAGTTTCAACGATAACCTTTATTTTTTGCTGGTTGCAAAGTGAACAGACGACAGGGCCCGGGGGCCAGCAGGTCGACGCAGCGAGGCCAAAACGAAGACTACGAGGAACGGAACGCCAACGAGAAAATTTTAAGAAAGAGCTGCAGCAAGCGATGACAAAAATCGACGGAGATGGCCGCTCTGTGGGCTCACCACCAGCGGTGGAGACATCGGCCGGGACATCGGCTGGGGGTTAAAAATGCGCATGTCAGCGAAAAGTGAAATGAGAACATAACATATGCCGATACAGGGTGTCTGGGGTAAATTTTATTTGAAAAGGAACAAACGTTTACCCCGGGAGAGCTGCTCTTGTGCAACTTCTTATCTAACTTCGTATCAACAACGATGCTCAACAGGAGCATGTGCCATGGGACTGCTGATGATTTTTGAAATATATACATATACAATATACATAGTTCATATGTACACATATTGTTTTTATTATTATACTGTTCGTACAACATTTCTTTATATTTTATAAGAAATGCAGGCACGATTTATGCGCCCTATTGCATCTATCGTCAATAAAGTAATTTAGCATTCAGTGCCGATATGGCCTGTTTATAAGCAATAACAGAGGTTTTTAAATCAAATAATATTCCATAATAACAATCTTGAGAAGTAGGTTCCTACACGTAATAGTCGGTGCGCAGAGTCCTAGATACGAAACGTCGGGTTAGTGGGTGAAGAAAGAACCATCACTGAACTTACCCGTTCATATAAGCGGAGTACGGTGGATAATTTAGATTTTGGGGATTCTGTAGGACATGATCTGAATCATTTGGTTTCTTGATCTCCCACTCGGAATGCTTTAGCTTCAAGTGGAGGTTGAGATAGTCCCTTAGGACGAAGTATTTGGCGCAACGATCGCACTCGAAAAACTCGCCCGTACGCGATTCCGTGCTAACAAGGGCCTCGTGGTATTCCTTGTAGTGTTTCCTTAGCTCCTGCAGCGAGTGCAGCGCGCGCCCACACAGGTCACAGGTGTGGGTCTTGGGGATCGGCTCTGGGCTGACCGAAGGAAAGTGGGACAGGTGATGCTCCTGGAGCGCATCTATGCCGACAAAACATTTATCGCACAGCAGGCATCCCAAGTGGAGGCCAGTCAAGTCCGCCTCCGTCTGTGATGATGCTTTGTCCATTTTCTGCAGCTGAAACTGACTTTTTGACCATAAGCTTCTTGAAATAAACCAAGGTCCACATGTCCACTTACTTGCTGACACAAAATTCCTCTAGACGCTTCGCGAAATGTACAGTTGTTTGTTTGTTGAGGTTGCGTTTTCCGCGCTTCTTTCCGTTTTGCTTTGCTTATTCCACGCTTTATCGCGTCGTCTAACGGCGCTGAGCTCCTGCGTTTTCAACTTCCCCCTTCTGCCACCGACGAGCGAATGAACAAAACAAAACTGCGCAAGCGATCAGAGACAGAGGAAAAGGAAGACAGAGAGAGAGCGAAATATGAACGCGATGGCAATACACAAAACCATGTCTACATGCATACATACATATGTACATACATATGGATGTGTGCATTTCAAGTGCGCGCAGTTCTTAAGAGAGAAAGAGGAATGAGGAAAATAATAAAACGGGCTTGCTGCTCCTTGCTTCGTGTTTGGTGTGATAAATCTACAAACAAAAATCTGCATGAATATGTATACATACATATGTATGTATGTACATATATAATTATGTATGTAATTACAATTTTCCACTCATACATACATATGTACATATGTATGTAATTAACATAATATTTATGATTTTTTGGGTTAGATCTGCCCTATTCCAAGGAGCAATGCGGGGGTGTGGAAATGACCCCCTGGTACCACAAACAGTATCCCAACCCATACATATGTATGTACTTACATATGTATATACATATATTCTTGATCAGCATCAGTAGACGAGTTGATATGTATGTTTGTCTGTCCGTCCGGCCGCCCGTTAGGGGTCCGTTGTCGTCTAGTTTTGGAAGACTATAAGAGCAATAGAGCAACCAAACTTTGAAGGAGAGCACGTTCGTGTCTGGATGGATAAAAAGAGAGTCGTCGTATCGCAGGATATATGTATGTACATATGTACATATGTAAGTCGTGTAACGGCTCTTTGAAAGCTCTTTATAAATAGATTACAATAGATTAAATGCCGCTTGGAAAACAACCTTTTTGCACCTTTTGGTATGTCTATGTCTCTGGGCTCCGTTTTACCCCTCCATCTCACGAATGGATTCGAATGCGTGTTTCACTTGCACTTGGAATATGTATTCAATATTAATGGTGCTTTCGGTGCACCATTATTATTAATTATGCTATTATTAATTATTTTGATTCATTACTAGCTGGGAGTATCGTAGAAGTGCTCGAAAGGATGATCGAACGTTGCACGTCTTGAAACCTCGAAAACTAATCTGAAACTGATGGCCCGTCAGCCGCTGGGCCGCGGATGGAAGCATTTCATGCATTAATCCTTTCGTTGGCGACAGGCCTATATATGCATGTGTTTCTGCAGAACTCCCATTGGCCATATCGAAATTGATGCATTAATGGAAGCCCAAGCGTATAATTGACTTAATTTTAATTCTAACAGGGGTTCTAAATAGGGTGGATGCTGTATGATGTATGATACGACAGCATGTACTCAAGAAGTTGGGTGCGCTGGACAGCGGATGGGTGCAACTCCTGCAGATATCCTTTTATTAGAGCATCGACTCATTGGTGGATGCTGAAGCGTGTAATAGGCTTATAAGCTGCATGCTGCTGCTTCCGTGCGATAACGCAACAATTTCTGCGAGGAAGTGAGGATGGGTACGGCGGCAACTTCGTACCCAAGAAGTTTGGTTCCTATTAATTTAGACGAATGGCACATTAATTGATATAAATAGTGTCCAGTCGTGATATGTAGTGCAAAAGGATTTTCGTTCCCTCCAGTAAATACATTTTTGGATAAAGATTTGTGGATTTGTGGCTCGCAACTACTACGTACTTGCAGGTTCTGTCGTACTCACACACGGAAATATATTCTATTTTTAGATTTGGAAACTCTCTAATTTGTACGAGCGGGGTGCCTTCAAAGAACCTTGCTGCATATAACAATTGAAATTTATGGGCGTTACTCATCTTACTATGGTCCTTGTCTTGGGCTTGTAACATATGCCGTCTGGTGCCTGATACTCAAAAGTTAGAATCTTTAATGGTTTAAAGTGGAGAAGAATGTTTTGGTCGCTTGGTTTCCGATGGTCAAGATTGTTTGTGCTCGAGAATTCTTTTCCCATCCAATCATCCACTGCCGCCAGATTCTCGCATTTAAGTGTCACTCGCACTTCTCTTATAAGCTATAAATTGACGAAATTGTATGGGAAGGATTTCAGTTTTTTATTGAATTGGGTATCGTATAAACATTCCGGAATGCCGAGAGTTTCGAGTGCAAGCGACGCAAACAAGTATGTACGCTGATGTCACCCGTACAGTTTATAACAATTAAAAGTAGTGCTATATTTATGAAAGCTCTCATCCCTTGTATATATTGCAGGAGTTGCTTCGTTTATATTTCTTCATATATTCTTCGCTGATCCATTGGTTAAATAAAAAAAAAAAAAAACCAGTTCGGTGCTATAGAAAAGACTACAAACACATACGGAGACGAGCATCCATCGTGAAGAAGTGGATAAGTTTTGTTGGAATCCATGGGAATAAAGTAACCATTCCCAAATGGAAGGCCCATGGCAGCCCATTTGACGGGCGGACAATAGTCGGCGGCTGCCTTCGCTGCTAACTCTTCCGGAGATTCGCTGTCGACACCTGGCTCTGCTTTCATCAGCTCCGCATTGAACTGATCACTGATTCGCATATAAGTATTTCTTATCAATGAATATAAAATACATATATGTATATATTTTACATGTAACATATACATATGGTCCGATGCAGACTAGTCCGCTTATCAGCCGGGCTGGGTTGTCAATCTCAAATGAAATAAGTACATTGGGTATTATTTTTTTGAAAATTCTTTATTGCCCCAGTAGTCCTCAATTGTCAAATCATATTTGTCACATATTTGTTTGCCCTATCTTTGGGTTATTCCTAAGACGAATATCGATTTTGATTATTTGCAGTCTTTTTGTCGCTTTCTATTTCAGTTTGAAGTGGCTAACATTGGACTAAGAGTTAACATCAAAAACATATATGATCCCAGAAGATTAATTCTGTAGCTAAAAGGATTTCTTCCATTTGTTTAAATAGTTAGCTTGTAATATTCAGTAATAGTTGAGGGTGCAGATATTTCATTCAATTTGTTACACAAATCTATCTAGAGTTAAGATTACGATTAAGGTTATAGTTAAAATAAAATTACAGAATTACGATTAGATTGATTATCTATAGAGACTATGCACTTATACAATGGCCCAATGCGTATCAATATTTACAAATCAAATGTATTCATATATTATACTCTAAATGTGTAGCTTATTATATATAAATATCGCAACAATCGACACTCCATGCGTTCCATACGTTGCCTGAGATAATCCGTGCGGTTCGGTGCTTCTGCCACTTAATAGGATAGGGTTCTTGAACTATTTACAACAGTTTCGGTCTTGATTGGAGAGGAGAGCAGTGGCCGCCTAATGGAGAACATCCTCGAAATCGCATGAAGTGTTTGCTTGTTTTATTTTGTATTTTTTTTTCCATTTTAATTTTTCTTTAGACTAAAATACCAGAGCTAGGTCTATCTACGACTACGTAAATTATCGTTTACAGGTAAAATGAACCAATTAAAAAGTATATGACTCGCGAGTTTGGGAGTGGATGATTGAGAGTGTATGTATGTATATATCTACATAACTGAACTGTTTAGGTATGTATGGATGTCGTGGCTATCTGTCCTTTCCCTTCTGATAGAATATTGAGCATGTATCCTACGTAGGTCTACACATTATCCAAATTCCAAATGAAACCAATCCGTGGTGTGCGTGTGTGTGTGGAGATTAAATTAAAGATGATTTTCAGTCAGTATGAGTTCACCCAAAATGCCATCAGTGCTCTGAGTGCGCAGCATAACTTCCAGTATAGGCTGGTATTAGGCAATCTGGTTGCCCCGCTGCTGGTGCTGATCCTGAGCATCTGTAAAATCGAGAAAGAAATACAATTCATTAGATATATCCCATTAAGCGAAGGAACACATATGAAAAGCTATGTCTGAGGACTGTGGACAATTTGGATGTTAGGGCAGGCCTTGCGGTCATGTCGGATTAGTAGAACGCAACGCTGAACGATGAAAGGCACGCAGAACAGAACGTATAACGAAACGAGAATTTAGAGGAACCCACCTTATGGGATCTGAGGCCAAAATAGTTTTATTTCGAGAGCGCCTTGCACTATCACGCGCGTTCCCGCAGGGCAATGTCAGTGTACAGGACGAGACAGTCCGAATTGACAGACTCGACGTCTTTCGCTGCCACTGCTAGTCCCTTATCGCCTGCCGAAACCAACAGAATCAAACAAAAGAACCGAAATTGACAGAAGATTGCCCACGAGATAGATAGAGGACACATGTGCTAGAACATCGGACTCATGGGTGATCCTTACCAGCTACACGTTGTGCGGCCTTGTATTTGTCCTTGAGTATGAAGCAGGCGGTGAACAGGAAGAAGATACCGCCCAGCACCTCCACGAAGCTGGTGGAGAACAGCGCGTACTGAAGTCCCTCAAACTGCTCGAGTTCCGTAAACTGCGGGAATAGCAAAAGTTAAGATAGTCCAGTATAGAAAGAACTTCCAAAACCCACTTGTTCTGCCAGCTTGTCAGCTGACTTTGTTAGATTCGTTTGTAACGATTGGATAGCCTCCGAGGCCACTTTCGTGGCCACTTCCGTGGCATTGACGAGTTGCGCCTCCAGAACCTGGGACATGCTTTGCAGTTCATTTGTCAATCCTGAGGCGTCGGGATGCTTGCGCAGATGCTTCATGATGACCTCCGACATCTGAAAAGGGTACAAATAAGCATATGCATAGGTATAAGGAATGGGTTTCCACAGGTAAGAGATCCTAAAACTTACCGCTCCCACAAGATAGGGACTGCCGGCATCGCCCAGGGCGTGGGAGATGAGTATTTGGAAGGCCTCCGCCGTGGAACGACGCGTAGGCACCACTACATACTGGATCACGAGGGAAAATATATATATTAGTTTAATTTTGATCGATCAATGTTTAATTTAAGCCAACAGCGGTTTTACCAACAACAACATCAAAACAAAACAAAGCAATATAATTTTTAAGCCAAGACCACAACCAAAAATTGTTAATCAAATCGATTAGGGTGCGTAGTGTGCGTGAGTTCTAGAGTACGTGTATGTGTGTGCAAGAAGCAGCCACAATCAAACAAGCTGCGATGCTGCCAAAAGCTCGCCACAGATGGAGCCACTTGCGAATGCGGGGGACAAGGAACGGGCTCCCACCCCAATTCGCGTGCAGGTTCGTGTCAACAATGGCGGCATTTGGGAACACTGGGCGAGCGTGCGCCTGGGAACAGTTCTGGCGCTGCTAGCGGTACTTTCGACATGTAGAATTTACCGCTACGGCTCTCTATATAATGCCGATGGGCATTGAAGGATATACGGACATCGACTACTGGGTGGAAAGTCCTTGAATTGTTTGATTGTGGCATTGTTTTGTTGATCTACCAATTTTGATGGATTAACTTTCGAGTTTCTTTCAAGCAAAATTAAGTTTTTACTGTTATAATTACAATAGTGAGTGTGTGTGTGTGTTGGGAGGTCTGCGCGTGTGTGTTTTTTAGATGTGTGCTAAAGCGGAAGCAGAAATTATGCAAAGCAAACCTAAGATTTCGGCAGACATTCTCGAAAGATCTAACTTTGGTGTAGGTCATTCCATTCTCATTCCAGTGAAAACGCTAGATAAACCCGATTTCTAATCAAAGCTCCTTATCTGAACCAATTAAAATAGCGCCACCCTCGGGTGGGACCACTACCATTGGGTCTCTTTTGGGTTAGATAATCATTTTCGATTGCTTATTTTTGTCACGGAACGGAATCATTTTGCAATGCCAAAAAGGCAACAAAAAAGCGAGAAGCACACACTCAAATCAAGTGCGTGGTAAAAAAGAGACTCGGAACCAAATAAAATAAAATAGTATAATGCATTGAGAGGGGTGTACGTATAGTATATACACATACATACATATGTTTAGTGTGGTCTGACGTACTGCCAAATTTAGAACAGGCCACATAACATACATACCACTTGAAAGTATTACGTCTGCGAGTACTCAAGTGGCTTTGGACTCAGTACGAATATATACTTATATACAACGAGTAATATCCACTATCTTGGCGCATAGGTTGCGCACATCAGCTGTTTAAACAGCTCTCCCTGACCATTCACAAGGCAGACGAAGCTCCCAAGTAGAAATCTTATAGATGCCTATGGCTCTTAGCTAAGTTTAAGTGGTGGAAATTGTATGACTCGAGTTCTGAAGTAGAGCACAGATAAGAAGTTTAATATCGCAAGATATGGATTATATCATTATCTGAAATGGAAATACCCCTTCAGGGTCGAATTGGGTCAAGTATCAAACATAAGATCAGATCTTGAATTAGGTATACCATATATGTATGTATGTAAGTAGTTCACTTAATCATAAATCTACTATCGAATCGATGATGAATTCTGCTTATCAGCTTTCGTTAAAGGTTCTTTATCGAATCGTACCGAAATCAAAGTAATCAAGAACCAACCAATATCTGATTGACAGAGTATCTACTAGTACGTATCTATATGTGTGACTAAAGTGCGACTATCTCTCGCTTATCAGTTGGCAGCCAGCAAACGTGACTCGCCAGTGCAGATAACCCCAAAAACTGCCAGACAGAAGCGTACAATATAAATACGAAAATTTCGACATTTTATCTTCATGGGGGTTTGGGGGTTATGGGGGTATGACGCGTTGGCTTGCACTTGTGGGATGTGTGCCATGTGGGACTGTAATAAGGTTGCCATCCCATTACCCATTGGGGGGTTGAGTGTGATGAAATTTATTCCAAGTTGCAAGTGTCTGGGGGTGGCAGGCACACTTTCTTTCACCCCCAGACAACCATCAGCTGGCGTAGAGGGGTGGAAAATGCCAAGGAGCAGAATATAAAAGAATAAAGATGAGCTTTACGTTTATTACATAGAAAGAAGAAGAAAAGTAATAAGAAGAAATGTCAACTCTCTCTCTCTGGGGGGTACAAGGGAAAAAAAGGGACAGTGCATTTATCAGCTTTAAGATAGTTGCAAAAAAGCCACATCTTTAAGGGAAATATAAGTTTAAGGTAAAAGATCTTTGAATAAGATATCCAGACTAGAATATCATAATAAATGTAAGGTTTTTGAAATGTGCACCATTTAAGGGGCTATTAAGTCAGTACCACTCCCGAGAGTTAATACTCCTTTTAGGCTCTCTCTGACAGGGACAACGACCACCACCGGTAAGACAGGATGCGGAGGAGAAGAACATAAAAATGTATATTGGTTAGAGTGTGAGTGTAAGCATGCTGTGCGTGTGTGTGTGTGTGTGTGGGTGGGTGATAGTGTTCTCATTATAACAGTAAAAAGTTAATATTAAGATTACGTGTCGTACGTGTTGTAATTACAGTTACGATACTGATATTTAAACAAAAAGTGAGTGCAAAATTACAAAAGCAAGACTGGAGAAATTTTTGGAGGAGGTAGGTGTCTCTCCCTCTCGGCTTACCAGCAAGATGTCCGCCACAACCGCCCAATTCAAATTTAAAGCTAACTGTCCGAAAAATATTAGCAAATAGGTGCCCAGCTCGTGCGAAGACACCATCAGGCAGGCGCCGAACAGAAGCGGGGCGCTGAGCAGCAGGCCAAAGGCGCAGATCACCGGATCCGCGGATTGGTATCGCTTCACCAGATACTGTGACAAGAACGAGCCCAGCGGCACGCCCAACAGGCCCGCCAACATTGTGATCACTCCGAAATTGAATGCAACGCTGGGATTGGGGGGGAAAATTTTGGAATTGGAGGGATAAAACAGGTTAGTATTTGAAAGAAAGCTTAGGCGGATAGTAAAGACTGTTCTGCGAGCTTGGGGCCTTGGGGACGGGCGCATTAGTAATCGGCTTTCGTTGCTGTGGCTGCTTTTGTTGCTGTTGCTTCTGTTAAGAAACGCTTTTCGGCCAGCTTACCAGCAGAATGTCGGCCACAATGGACCAGCACAGGTTGAGGGCCACCTGGGCCAGAAACACGAAGAAGAAGCACAGCGATCCGCTCGTCCGCGACACCACCAGAGCAGCAAACACCATGGGCGCGGATACCAGTAGTCCTCCGGCACAGATGTACGGGTCACAGTTCTCCATGCGACTGCGCAGTCGCTGGGCGAGCACGGAGCCCATCGGGACTCCGATTAGGCCCGCCACCATCGCCACTATTCCGAACTTGTACGAGATGCTTCGATGATAGAACCAGAGGTAAAGGTATAAGGCGCCGAGCTCGATTTGGGAATTTTGGGGACATTGGGGGCAGGGAAGCAGGGGGAGGATTGTACACTTACTCGTCCTGAACGATGTTCTCGTTGCCCGGCTGCATCTTCATGCCTAGGTAGATGAAGGAGGGTCCCCACCAGGACAGGGCTCCGGCCACAAAGGCCACGCACGTGAATCCGGCCGTGGAGAGCATGAACGAGCGGTTCTTGAGCAGCTCCTTGATGTCCTTTTTGTAGGAGGTGGCCTCCATGCTGTGGGAGCCCTCGCTTTGGCCGCGCTCCGGATCCTTGATCAGCATAATCAGCAGGACTGCAGCCACGCCCAGGATGGGGGTCACGCGCAGCGCCCAGCGCCAGTTGTTGGCCAGGTGAGCCGTCTTCGAGCCGACAATATATCTGGAGGGTAGAAGAGAGCATATTAGAGTTGATTGCGATTAGTTGACTCTTGGTCCGCCATTGCATTGGCTGCCAATTGGCGCGGCGCATAAATTTCAATCAACGCAACAGGCCCCCCTCCCAATTGACCCCACTTTAATTGAATTAAGGCCAAGCCATCTCTTCGTTCCAAAAGTAAATCAATTTCAATTCCAGTTTCCAGTTCCACTTTTAATTGAAGGTGATCCGGGTGAAGTCACGTGACTTTTCTCACGCTACGCTGATTAGAGCATCCCCTTGAGTCGAGCCCCAAGACAAACTTTGCACCCGATCTGCTGTTGTCAGCAGCTGATAACGGATTCTCGATGAGTGACAAAGTCGAAGACGCAACACCCAGACGATCCACTGATAAGACTTTCCAGCTACCGTTACTGCCGCTTCTGTGGGTCATAGAACTTACCCCATACCGGAGCCGACGGGAATGGCAAAGTAGAACATCGCCAGCATCTTGGAGCGCATGTGGTCCACGAAGAGGTCCGATATTATCGTTGGTGCTATCGTGCTGTACGAGGCCTCGCCGATTCCTACCAGAGCCCGGAACGTGATGAACCAGCCGAAGCTCTGCATGTACGAGCCCAACAGCGTGGTGGTGCACCATAGGGCCACGCCCACGGACATGATCCACGGCCGGGAGTACCGATCCCCCAGATAGCCAAAGACTGGCGCACAGACCATGTACGAGATGACAAAGACCGTCTGCAGGAGTCCCGCACTATCGTTGCCAATTTGAAAGTCGTTTTGCACATCCTTCAGAACCCCTGCAAGGAATTAAAAGAATTTTAATATTGATACAAATTTGGAGCGCGTGGTGTATACATAAATATTATATGTATGATATTTTATGGTGTGTACTAACTATTTCAAACACCAGTAGACGCTAATTGTCCAAATAAATAAATTGTTAATATGAGTATGCTATATTCAAGTGCTTTACGTAAGCCCCATGGGATTCGATGGGAGTGGTGAGAGGTGCCGGTGGTGCCTTCCTCAATTAGCACGCCACAGTCACACAGTCATACAGTCACTCCTCTTCACCGTGACTCGTTAAAATGTTAAAACAACCCAACTAAAAGCAGCAGAAAGTGGCAAAATCAATCACTATGAGTGGCTAAAAATGGGTATACCAAGACTTGTTAGTAAATAATGAAAATCGCTCGTTCAATTTGGAATATCGCACTGCCATCAGATGCATCTAGAAAAGGGCTTCCCCGCTTTCGAAATAAATACATACATAAGTATGTACACATATACGAGAGTATCTCAATCCGTGTCAAGACGAGCCCAAAGATGAATTTTAATATTATGAATCACCTTCGCCTACAAATAGCCGTTTATTTCCGTTTCATGCAAAGACAACCGGGCGGCACGTTTCGTCGCATCGTTTAAAGATTCATTATCAAACGGATGTGCAAGCCGCATTAATGGCCAAAACGACCTCCGCCAATAACTGTTTGAGCATCTAACGCTATTTCCTACATTCTACTTGCAGCTCAAGCATGGCTTTTAAGCCCCCCGTCAGCGTAGGGGCCAATGTACGCGGCCAAATGGTCTACAAAAAAAGTGCTCGAGCACCCAAAAATAAAGTGACAATCGAGAGAGCAAAGACAGAATAGAGAGAGAGAGATCAAAAGCCGGTAATTGCACCGCACAGAGACAACACAACCAACAGCGGGAGACGAGCAAAAGCTCAACAAGTTGTGGGCCGAACGAACCCCCAACGAACTCTAGCCGAGCGGAGCCGAATGCTTAGGCGAACGTGGCACGAAGAGAAACGTGAATCAGCGTTTGCTTTTTAATTATTTCATTTTCTGGGTCTCTTTTTGCTCGTTTCGCTTTGAGAAATTTATCGTACGATATTTTTCGACCAATCAGAGCTTTTGTTTGCCCAGTGACGTAATGGTTGGAGGACGCCACGCGATAAACAGTGTGTGCTTGTGTGTGTGTGCAATGCATTGCGATATGCGATGGGTGTGGAATGGCAGAGGGGGTTGTGGGGACAGACAGAAAGCGCGATAGAAAAAGAGGAGTGTGTGGTGTGGTAAAGTGGGGTCTTTCCCTCCCATACACGAGGTGTAATCGGGTTCCCGCATAAGGAATGCCGAGTGTTTATGGCATTCTTTGCCAGCTAGGGCCGTCAGACGGGGCGCTGCCTTGGGGGCACTGCAGCAGCAGTAAACTGCCTACGTCTGTATGTGTTTTTTTGTATTTGCCGGTTCTGGCCATTTAAGAACCAGTTTGACTCTCTCAACCTCTCGGCCTCTCCGGCACTCTTGTATGCTCTCTTTTATTTAGCACAAGACAGTACGTCGCATAACAAAAAGCCAATGGCTCTCTTTGATAGCCAAATCGGTTTGAATAATTGATACAGTATCATATTCTTACACTGCCGAAACGTACTGTAGACAGGGGACCTGGCCAAAAGGGGGGAGGTCGGTTATTGTTGCACCTACTACGTCTAGTCAGTAAATGTTATCCGAGAGAGAGAGAGAGAGAGAGAGAGAGGTGAAGGGGTGGAAGCCACCTCATTACCATGAATGAAAAAGCTGTTCGACTGAAAGTGATTGTCCCGCTCGTCGCGTCGCTCGTCCTCTTCTCTGCCCTCTCTGTGTGTGTCTGGTGACGTTGGCCTTGAATATCACGCGATATCTGCCGAGTAAGCTTTAAATTCGGACAATGATTAACCAATCGGGATATTTAAAAGACACTTGGGTTGAAATTTGGAGTGCTCTTGCACCTGAAAGGCGGAGCAGCGCGACAGAGACTTTCGCTGCAGAGAAAAACTTTCATTTTTGGGGCAGGTGGAAATAAACACAAATGGAAATCAAGCTTACAAACAAAACTTAAAAAACTTCCCTACATTTCCATGTTTACCGCATTCACATCGACATTCCCTCCCTACCCCAACAGGCGACTGACCGATTAACTAGATTGTATTATGGTTATTCGTATTGTGACTGCGGCTCTCTGGTTAATTCAATTTCGAGGCAAATGTCCATTTTGCAAGTCGCCGACTGCCACCGCCCTGACTCTGCAGTTCGTTGAACCGAAAAAGGCCACAATAGAATCAGTGACGCTGCAAAATAGTGCAAAATCCAACAACTACAAAAACTGCAACAAACTTTGCATAATGCAAGACCCAAAGCACAAAAGTATTATGGAACGGGTGTGTCTTAATACGAATTGGGAAAGGTTCTGTACAGCCAATGGTATTTACCTAACCAAATCCATGCATATGCATTCCGCTGTCTAATATTTCTGTTAATATTCATATATGTACATACATACGTACCTCCAAGGGTATACGTCACTTCGGTGTGTCAAGGTTTCATCTCATTTTGTTTATTTCTTTCTCCAACCATGAAGGCAACAAAATGGAAAGTTTTTCGGTGTGTACCTTAAACACTCCACTCAAGTGGACATAAAAACAAACTCAGCGACTTTGAACGAAATGCAAAATAAGCGCATAATAAAATCGAAATAAGAGAAAAAACAAACACCTCGGTTTGGTTGCAAAAGATACTCTTTATCACATTGCAGATCCTATAAGCCAACCAACTGTTTGCAATCAATTGGACAGCGACAATTGTTCTATTTGGCGCCTTGGAAGGTGGCCAAGAAAATTACGTAGGAGGCATGGCACAACAGATCTATGTAGAGATACATATGTGTCGTTCATTCAGACCACATATCTGGCGACCAAAATAACCGATTCCCTGTACCATCAAAGATCTTTGATCCAAAGTTCACTTCGGTGCCAACAGGAACCGCCATTTAAAGGAACCTAAAAGGCTTTTTGCCAAAAGGTCCGAAAAGAGTAGAGATAATATCAGGCCATAGCAAAGTCGGGGGTCGTTCGCAAAGGCCAAGACGTACTTAAAATATTAATTAGATGCATCACGTTGAACTTGACAGACATCATATGTATATATACATGTACATATATAAAAATATACATATAGCCAGCAGTAAATGTATTTTTGCTTATTTATCAATGTGGAAAATGTTGAAATTCACACAAAAGGCCATCCAAAAAGTAAATAAATAACCCACGAAACTGCCAATCTAATCAATGCGAAATTGTTTAAACAAATTCCCGACACGTGTCCCATGGCCGCTGGCCCCACCAGCTGCGCCACTCTGAAACTGATAAGACACGACTGGAGAGAAGAGATGTGATAGCCGCAGTGTTGTACGTAGCTGCAAAACGGCTATAGTCTTGGGCGTGCACACAACTGTTTATTTTAGTTTTTGTTCTAAATATACAAAATTATTCCTAATTAATTAGAGGCACAAGCAAAATATGAAAAATTCAGGAAAGCAGACTCTAAGGCCAACGCTTTTATACCCTTGCCAATTGGAGAAAGGGGTGGGAAGCTTCTGGAAATCGGGAAAATACTGGTAGTTACAGGCACCTGATCAAAGCTATAATACCCTGCTTTCAAGGGTATGCAAATATGAATTTGCGTGGAAGTCAGCAAATAAGATAGTGGGCGCTCGTGCGGCAGAGAAGGGGGAGTGGAGTCAATGAATGAGTGAGGCCCCCCAAAATGAGTGCGAGTGAGTGCAAATGATGGATGATGGACTCGTTGGAAGCTTTAAATGTAAATGTTATCGCCCTTTCGCTAAAGAATTCGGTGCAAATCCGCTTCCTGCCTGACGGGACCGACTTTGCTTGATTAAAAGTCATACGATACACCATATATCCGAGTATGTACATACATATACATATATTAGGCATTTGGGCCACCCATTACCCATTAAAAGCTTACTACAAAGGGGTTAAAATATCAACACATGAGTTTAAAATCAATTTGTGATCGATTCTATATCAATCAACCAATTGTCTTTACATTTAATCTCCCTGGAAGTGCAAATTGTGAAAAATAATTTATCTGTTGACCTTGGAGTGCGTTTGGCTTGGCTAAGAGTTTTCGCTGATATCGCAACTGGCAAAGTTCAGGTTCACAGACCAGAGACTTTTCCAAGATCGTTAATGTGAAATGCAAACTATGGGTATTTGTGTGCGGAAATTAACCAGTTACAGAGCTATACGACTTGTGTAACCAGCCACCCGTCCCATTTCTAGGGGCCGCCCCCGACGACGGAACGTCATACACGTAACCTGTTGCACCTGGCAATCGGCGTCGAGAGAGCTCTATAAATAATAAAGTTACTGTTTTATTTCCTTCCCTTGTTTTCTTGATAACTACAAATCCCCATTGCACTTGATTCTCAATCCATCTACTGAAATGACACAAGGATCCAAGACGAAAGCTGACCCGCATTGAGCCGCAAAGAAGCAATGTAGACGATTACTTCAGAATTGTAGATATTCGAAACGGAGGCATTGCTATTGTTTCTTTTGAAAGTTCAGAGGCCCGCATTGTAACACAAAGATTCTATTCGAATCATGTCAATTACTAGGAATTTAGACAATTTGACACTTGGCTGGTATCATTATTTCTCGTCTTGCACGCCGAAGGAAGCACTCAATCCCACAAATTATTGTTTTAGTATCAAATTGAAGCTGAAAACTTAGAAAGACCCGCATTAGAGCACAAACAATTAACACGAATCCAAACGATTACCCAGAAATTAGATGATATTTGAGGAGAGGGGAGTTTACTTCCATAACATACGATTTCTGTCAATTGTCACGCGGGCGGGAACCACTTGGGGCTCAGCCTTTGGTGCCCCCACCCCATGGTCAGGTGCTGATATCACACCCCCGATTTGATTGATTTCCCGTGGAAATGTACCCAAAAAGAGGAAGCAAATAGCTTTATTATTAACAAGCGATAAAAAAAAACAGTATCCAAATGAGTGTGCTCATATGTATGTACGTATTTTCGAATCGGATGATTCAAAAATAAATGTAAACGCTGATTAGTCATCCCCAAAGGCCTTTATCACATACACAACTCGTACGATTCTGTTGGCAATTCTCATCAGACCCGACCCTGCACTTCACAATAATATTCATATAAGAACGGCTGTTCAACAATACTTTTTCCTTATCTATTAAGTAAATAACAACAACTGACGTCACAATCACTACCCCTCGCTTTTTGGGAGTAACGGCTTTTCTGAGAATGCTGTCAAGAAGAAAGAGCGAAAGAACTTACCCGCAATCGTGAAGCGGTCCATATAGTTGATGAGATTGACAAAGCAGAGCACGGAAACGGTAAACCATTGCGACCGGCCGACCGCGGAGAGGCGCGTGGGCACGGTCGGTAAACCAAGGCCGGCACCGAGGTTGGCTGCAGTTCCAGTGGGACGTAGCTGACGCTCCTCTTCCATGCTGTCGGAATCCGAGGGCATCAACTGTTGTGACGAGTAAGTCGGAGGTATGTTGGCGACATTTTCATTACTGCCGCCACTACTGCTACTGCTCTGGGTCATCGCCGGATTGTCCATGGCGGCCGCGGCGGTGGGGAGCGGTTGGTAGGACTGCTTCTGGTGTTTTTGCGACATTCACGTGCCTCTTGTTGCACACTCTTCCAACAGCGCTTTCGGGCGATTCCCAGCGACAAAAACAGATTCAGGAGACCACGAATGAGCCAGCAAGGCAACGCGGCAAAATATATATACACGCACACACACAAACAACACGCGATGAAAGCGGCCGAGAGCAAAGAGTGAATGCAAAAAATGTGTGTTGGTGGCAAGATTTCTTTGGCAGCTTTTCGATGCTTCGATCTCGCTCTCTCTCTCTCTCTCTATATCACTCGCGCCTGGTATATTTTATTTCAATTAGGGCGTTTAATCAATTGGCTGGGCCAGCACTTGCCACTTATTTGCTAACTTGTCTAATCGAATGCGGTGTTCTTGCCCGATTATGTGCTAAAAGCATTTGCAGTGCTTCACTTCTATATTTATCACTTTTTTTTCATCCGCGACGTGAGCACGATGAAACTTTAAGCAAGAAATTGGATTGCGAAACAAATATGTAGCTGCTCTGGCGGATAACAACAGACCGAGCACTTGATGAAATTTAAGCAAGAAATTGGAAAAACTCTGACGATAACAACAATTGGAACAACAAATTCATAGCCAGAGTGACCGCGGATTTATCGATAAGATATACGGTCTGACCCTCAGAAATATACCGAAACATACCGTCTTACTCGAAAAATATACCGTAAATATACTGACGAATTAAAGTTCTATTGTACATATTCCTCGTTTTTCATATTCCGTGCAATATAACTGACTAAATAGAACATTTAGCCATGCCCACATAATTTTATACGATTAATGAATCAATTTTCTACAAGATTGGTTAGTTTTTAGTCCTTGCTTTTATTGTATTTTTACTAAAACAAGGTTTAAACAAAAGAGTTCAACAAAAAAAAGAGTCCAATGTTGCTAGTATTTGAAGACGTGATGCGTGTATAGCCTTTGTACACCCTATTTCGCTAATTTTATATGAAGATCAAACGCAATTTATTAAGACCTTTTCTCAAATTGATATGTTTTTGACTTATTCATGTGTATTATTAGTATCTTGTATATATTTATCTCAATCCTGAGCCTTGGAAGACAAACGTATTCACAATTCTATAACATCCATTACCCCCAGGGTATGTGTGCATGGAATTAGCAACATGTTTGTGTATGGAATGGGACTCATTGTTGCACAAGCGAAACTGCGGCGAATCGGGTATTGCCTATATTTCAAGCTATATAGATTTGCCCACTTAGCTTTATCCCATAGATAAATGCATTTTCTACAAGATTGCTTCTTTTAATTATCTTTATGTATTTTATTTTGACCAAAAAACGGTTTTCAAGTAAATGTTGCCGCAACTTTTGTGTATGGAATGCGCAACATTTGTGTATGGAATGGGACTCACTGTTGCTAAAGCGAACTGGGGCGAACTGCGGCGAACTGCGGCGAATTCAAAAAAACGAACAATTCCTCATATTCTTTGTTCCGTTGAATAATACTATCTATATGGAACATTTAGCCATGCCCACTCAATTTTGTACGATTGATGAATCAATTCTCTGCATGATTGGCCTATTCGAAATACTGGCATTTATTGGATTTCTATATAACATTGAAAATTAAATTAATAATTAACAAAAATACCATTTAGCACTAAAAAACACCACATGGGAGCGCGGCAAAAACCAGATTCTACAGTATGACCCTCAGAACAGCACCGAAATATACGGTCTCATTTTCAAAATATACCGAGTGGTGCGCGCCAAATCGAACTTTTTTGAATGTGAGCGACAAGGACTTAAATGTTGTCAACCGGGCCTTTATCTATGCCCACATAATTTGATAGGATTAATAAATCAATTTTCTACTTAACTGGCCAGTTTTTAGTCCTTTCTTTTATTGTATTTTAACTAAACAAGGTTTAAGCAAAATAGTTCAACAAAAAAACAGTTGCAATGTCGCTGGAATTTGAAGACATAACGCTTGTATAGGCCTTTGTACACCCTTTTTCCTCAATTCTATAACATCCATTTCCCCCGGGGTATGTTAGCAACATGTTTGAGTATGGAATAAGACTCATTGTTGCTAAAGCGAATTGCGGCGAATTCAAATTATATTCAAAAAACGACCAATTCCTCATATTCTTTGTTCCGTTGAATAATACTATCTATATGGAACATTTAGCCATGCCCACTCATTTTTGTACGATTGGTGAATCAATTCTATACATGATTGGCATATTTGAAATACTTGCTTTTACTGGCTTTCTATATAACATTGAAAATTAAATTAATAGATTGATGAAATTGACAAAAATACCATGGGAGCGCGGCGAAAACCAGTATTTCTACAGTATGACCCTCAGAACGGCACCGAAATATACCGCCTCATTTTCAAAATATACCGTAAATATACTGACGAATTCAAGTTATATTTTACATATTCCTCGTTTTTTATCTTCCGTCGAATATTACTAGCTAGATAGATCTCTCAGCCATGCCCACATAATTTTACCATAAATATAGCGACGGCTAATTTTAACAACCCCATTTTACTGGGTTGTTTATAAAATAAGGTTTTTCGTACATGGTAACTACATAATTACTACTTATTTTGTATATATGAACTACATATTTATGCAAGAACGTATGAACGTTAGTCATTATTGTCTTTCAACAGGTATGAGTATGGACATCTTTATACCCTATTTCCTTTAATTAGTATCAAAATTCTGTTGGTAATTGGTAATTCATAGAAGCACATAGCACACCTCGCTGTTCTAACACACCCTGCAAACAGATTTTCTGCCTCGATTTGTCAGTGTGACCACACAAGTAATGACTACATTCGGTTGAATTCAAAATCAAATTTAATTATCCAGCGGCTTAGAAATGTTTTATTTAAAGATAGAAATGTTAATGATGTGTTGAGCAAATTGATTAGGTATCAATATCCATTTCATCTACACGACTACGCACGCGATTCTTCCGCTTGTGCTTTTTAGTCGGCGGCGGTAGGAAACTCTCCAAAAACTCGATCGTATTATGAATGGTCTCCGAGCTAACGTTTCCAATATAGTTCTTATCAAAGTACACAACGGGAGACTCCGTGGCTAGGAGCTTCTCGCAGTTGCATTGCTGGAGTTTTCCGTTCAGTGTCTCAACATCATCGGTACTGGTCCTGTTGGAGTTGTCTGCAAGAATGATGTCGTAGATGAGGGGCTTTCCTAACATTCTTACTTAAGCTCACCAAAAATGGGCCGGAAGCACTCCTTCACTTGGATCCACTTGTTGCAGAACTGCCTTATGGCACTATCGTTATTGTGGAACAAATTGCGAGCTGCGTTGTCGACCTTGTACTTCATGAATCCCGGCACATAAGGCCACTTTCCTTTGGCGGCATAGAAACAGATTATGTCTGTAATATTAATATAAAATAGATATCTAATGTATCTGCAAAATTTATGTTTTCCTTCACTTACAGGGCACATGAAAAAGGTGCAGAAAATTGCGCTGATGCTCAAGGCTGGATATTAGGTGAATCCCACTAGAACGACGGTTAGCCGGGACCTTGTGGCCGGCAAAGGGTATCTCCTCCACGCGGACACTCTCCAGGTATGCCTCGCCCATTGTGAGGAGCCACCCGAGCAAAAACAGGGGCACAATCCGAATCACAATCTTCCGTGCTAGTTCCATGGATGAAGCTCTCGCGCTGCACTTCCAAATGCAACTGAAACGATTCGGCAGTGTCCTGCAGGAGCTGTCATAAGCTCTACTGATTTGGGTTGGCTTTATTGATTTTAATTGGCACACAACCGGCCACAAGGGTCTCGGCACCTGACTGTATCTGCGGTTTGCATGCGCCAACTCAATTTGACGGGCTAATGACACTCCCACCAGGCCCACCCCCGCAACGGTAATCCATCAGATACAAAAGTTCATTGAGCTTTCGCTTCTCAATGAGGACAACTGCAATTAAATGTGATGCAAACCATTATTAGAAATGGCAATAAGTACTATTTCAATTCCCCCAGGAAATGACAATAAATTATATTTGTTCCCTTACGAAATGTTATATATTATACAATATTCAACAACAAACTCAGGCTGTGAATATTTAAATGGGTTTTGAAATCTGTATTCCCATTTCCCCATTGACGGTACTTAATTTCCCATTCCTGCTAAACCGGCTTAAACTATCCGCCACCTTTCTTCCGCCCCGTCCAGCAATTAAAGAATGTTGAATTGCAAACATGGCTATTACAGGTAGAATATTGTATATTGTATTTGAAAATCTAGTTGCTGCCTTCAAACAGAAGCTTCATGGATAATGAGGCCATGAAATTCAATTTCCACTTTTCAGACTTGTATAATGCCAAACAAAGCGTTTCCAGGTGATGGGGCATATATTAGCAATACATATATAAGAATAAGATTTCTTTTAGGTATCGACGAAAGAAAGCCAGAAACCTTAGAATCCTCTACATCAACGATTAAATCTTAGGTGTTTTCTAACATTACGTATGTATGTATGTACTCTCTGGTTTCATCTTAGGTCGTAATACATCTTTGAGGTGTGGGGGAACTATGCGTATACATAATATTCATTCACTGACTGCTTTAGTATTCATTTAAGGAGGTTTCGTTCAGTATACTCGCCCAAAGCTTGACTCGTGGCCCCTGGAATTCGCTAGACACGTGCACCTCAAACCCCTTGTAGGGAGGCGGCGCATTGATAAATTCATGGTAATCACACATCCCACTGGGGCGTGACTGAAGCAGCGACTCAGTACAAGGTTTCACTGACTCCATATTCCTAGGTTTGCTATGGGAGAGAACTATTTTTATTATCTGACCAACGCTTGGCTCCGATCCAAGCACTCACCCGAATTCGGCAAAGTGCACAAAGTAATCCACAAAGGAGTGAATCACTTTGGCCTCAGTGGAATTCCGCTCAAAGTCGGGAAAGATCAGCGGAGTGCGAAACAAGTAGAGCAGATCATCGCAATGAACCACGCCGTACTTGCCGCTGACATTCGCCGAGGTGTAGGCGGAGGCATAGCTCAGGAGACCTCTGTAGTTGAAGCTGTACAGATAGAGCGGAGGCGGGCGCTGCTGGCGCACATCCTCCCTGATGGCATTGTACAAAGGATGCTTAAATCCCCTGTCAGTGATGAGCTGAGAAGTGCATCCGGATATTTAGATGCATATGATTGATAGGTCCATCAGATCAGTCACTTACATCCATGAACCCCTGGACAGTCTTTTCGTTCACCTCGTGCTGATTCTGAAAGTACTCCTTCAGGATAAGGGTCATGCTGCTGGCCAGCCGCTCCTCGCTGAAGCTGGTCGGGAACTCCATCAGCTCCTGCAGCAGCTCGTCAAATCTCAAATTGAAGCTCTGGCGCAGCGTCTCATTGCCCATGATATTCACCACGCGGACCGCTCCCTCGTCCGGAACTGTTCCCACCAGCCAGGGAATGGGCATTCGACTGCCCTGTGCCACAAGCCGGCTGGGGTGTTCGCTGAGAAACGCCTTCGCGCCAACACCTTGCTCCACCACGGGACGGAAGTTTGTCATGTGATCCACGTCCCAGAACTTGAGACCATCGCCGGCGTCCAGCAGTCTCGTCGCCTCCACATGGCGAAGGGATCGTGCCAGCTTCGCCGTGCTCAGGTTTTGGGCCTGTTTGATTCCGCAGAGCTCGGCCACAAGACGGGCCTGCTCCAAGGGCTGCTCCGTGATTGCAAAGGGCACGTTGGCTGTGCCGCTCATGCTGATTGCGCCGTGGAAAAGACCTTTCGACCTGGGACTGAGGAGGTGCAGGTGCGTGGCAACTCCCCCGGCACTTTGGCCAAAGATGGTCACTCGCTTGGGATCGCCACCGAAGGCTTCTATGTTGCGTTGCACCCAGCGCAGGGCGAGGTTCTGGTCCTTGAGGCCAAAGTTTCCAGAGATGGCTGCATCCTGGGTGGATAGAAAACCTGCCACAACAAGGGACAAGGAAATGGGATAAACTTTTGATTAACTACAACTGTCTACAGAGACTGGTGCTTACCGAAAGGCCCCAGGCGATAGGCCATGGTTATCAGGATAACCTCACCCGAGTCCATGAAGTATTCTGGTCCCGTGACTTCAGGTCCAGCGGAGCCACTGAAGAATCCACCACCATGGATGTAGACCATTACAGGGAGCAGGGCCTGTCCAGAACGTGGAAGCTGCAGAAATGACTCAGATAAAGACTAAAGGCAGATAAAACAAGTTAGAATAGCGCCACCTCTGGCCTGTAGACATTCAGATAGAGGCAATCCTCTTGGCCAAAGACGATGGGAGTAGGCAGCAGATAGTTCTTCTGGATACAGTCCGGCTTGGGCTTGGTGGCATCGTAGAGGCCAAGCAGCTTGGTCATAACCTTGGGGTTCTAGATGGAAAAATACCGTCCTGACATTACATGGAACTCCTTTCCCTTTCCGATTTTCGCGCAGAACTTACGCTGAATCGCAGCTCTCCCACGGGTGGCAGGGCATATGGAATGCCCATGAAGGCCTCGAACCGCTCCGACTGATAGCCCTTTCGGTGCGTGCCCTTCACGCAGCCCACACTCGGCGGACAGACGGTCAGCTGGTCCAGAGCCAGAGTCGGGCACGAGAAGAGCTCTAGCACGAGCATGAGCACGAGCGGCACCAGCATCATCCGTAACTGTATCGCCTGAATCATCGTCTGGCTACAAAGAAACCGAAATCGAAGCCGAGCCAAGCTAATGGCCATCTTTATGGATCATTAATTATGCATATCGAGTGGTTGGTTATTTATGAACGGTTTTTTGATGCTTCCAAAACCTTGCTATTGCCCCTCAAGATGATGTCAACGTTAAATCGGTTCGGATGTGACACTCTCTACGGTTCCCAGGGGCTGCCGTTGCATAAATTGCATAAGACTCCTTGCAGCTCGGAAGGAAAACTCACTCGGAATATAGAAAATCTGGAGAACGTTACACGACGGCGAACCAAATTGATCTGAGGGGTTTCGTTGGTGGAGCTTACAGTTTGGTCTGTAGTCGTTGCTTCGAAGAAAACTCTGCTCTGCGCTAGCCGAGCCGTGCGTTGTTGTTGCTATTGCTCTTGTCTAGTATCTCGACTGAGTGACTGAACTCGAAATGGAAAATTAATTCAACAACCAACAGCACTACCCGTACAATGGGTAAAACTCACACAAGGCGTATGCTTGATCAGAGCGGATATCAATTGATCTGGAACTGCATTTCTGATGCAGTCGCAGTCGCAATCGCGATCGCTTTGAGGTAATACACAGGGCAGATCCAGCAGTACCAGATCACAAACGGGAGAGGATAGTGGAAATACTTACTCTGAACTGCAAAACGGCTCCGCTCCGACTACGATCGATTGCCAGATCACTTTTCCTTTTATCCTGGAACCGTCTCCATTTTGCTGCCCTGAGTTTGGAGACTCTTCACTCATCTATTCAAAGGGAGAATTGCCATTTCCCCTGTCTTTCCATATATGTATGTACATATGTATGTATGTCAGTATTGGGCCTTGATTGTCGGGTATCTTATCTCATCACTCTTCCCATCAGGCCCATCGTGTCTTTTATTCGCACTTAATCTCGATTCTTGCATTGTCTGCAATATGCAAAACTGACCTTCGGAATCACAGCCGCGAACGCAGCAGCAACATGCCGATCGCTAAAGGGAGGGAGAGATATATATAGAGAGAGAGAGAGAGAGAGTGAGAAACAGCCCCAAGTACAAGTAGAGCCCCACACACAGTTACAATTGACATTGAGTACACGTATTGTGGAACGAAAGTGTCTTTTAGAGGAGACTTTAATATTACAATGTTCGTTCCAGTGCCAGATATTGTGTAGTATTCATATTTGTAGCTTTATATTATGTTAACCTTGAAGAAAGCGGTGCGCGAACTGGATTCTCAGAAAAACAACCTTTTCCATATTGGATAGGCCGGCAATTGGACGTCCTTCAGTATGTCTTCCTTGTAGTTGCCAATGGTGCCTCCAAAATGGACATAGCTGCACATCTCATGATCCGTGAAATCTGAAGCTTTGCAGGATGTGCCACTGTGGAAGATCCTAAGTCAGGGCAGAGCATACATATCAGAAATACATATAGATACTCCCTCATATAAAGTTGGAATAAAACCTCACCCGGTTTTGGCAAAGTCCACCATCATGGAGGTCATTCGTTTAATGACCTCAGCATCCTCCGAATCCTTGGGATAGTCCTCGACAATGGCTGAAATTCGTATGGCGTGCAGGGCATCGTCCATGTGTGCTGCACCCACCCCATATTCCACCGATGCACCACTAAACAGGGCCGAGAGGGTGCGCAGACCACGGTACTCGAAAATGTATAAGGAAAGCGGATTCTCCTGAAGATTGGCGTAGCTCGCATACGTGGAGGCCGACTCGTAGAGCGGATAGTAAAACCCAAAGTCGCCCGAGATCTCGGCCAGCGGCACGAGTGTATCGTTGCTAATGGTCTCTCCCTCGAATCCATAGGCGTCTAAGATTTCCCGCACGACCTGAGGCGATGTGCCGTCAGGTAAATGCAAAATTTGTGAAAAACGCTCCAAGAATCGCTCGTTGAGCTCCGACCGCAGGTTTTGATTGTCGAAGACGTGCAGAAGGGCAAGAGAACCCTCTCCAGACCTCGCAGTAACGCCCAGCAGCCAGGGGACCTGATTGATGCGTCCCTCAAGGTGCGCCTGCACCGGATCCTCGGTAAAGAACGCTTCCGGACATCCCACTGGCTCGACGACTGGTGGATTGCAGATTAAGGGAAGGCTATCCCAGACTTTTAGGGAATCTACCGTGGTGTGCAGTTTAATAGGATCCAGCTCACGCAGAGCTTGGGCCAGGTCCTCGGAGCTCAGGCTCTCTGCCCCCTCGATGCCCGCCACAGCAGCCAGCTTTCGCGCCTGGGTCAGGGGATCCTTGTTGATTTTCAAATATGGTGATAGAACTGTGCTATCCAAGGACATGGCCCGTTGAAAGAGTCCTAGAAAGAAGAAAAGAGTTAATCGAGTGTCAAATGATTGTACAGTAGAGCCCACCCTTTGAGCTGGGGCTGAGCATGTGATATTGGGCCGACATCCCTCCCGCACTGTGGCCAAAGATCGTCACCAGCTGGGGATCACCTTCAAAGTCGGCGATGTGCTGCTGCACCCACTTCAAGGCCAGCCGCTGATCCTTTAAAGCGAAATTTCCTGGCATATTTGTATCGCCAGTGCTTAGGAATCCTTCAAGATATCCTCTCTTCAAGAAACTGTTGACAATTACTTCCTCAGAGCTCACCTAATGGGCCCAAGCGATAGGATACGCTGACCATGATCACCTGTTCCGTGTCCATCAAATATTCGGGACCACTGGCAGCCGGATGGGCAGAGCCGCTAAAGAAACCTCCAGCATGAAAATATACCATGACGGGCAGGGGATTTCCATTGCGTTTCTGTGGAAGAAAGAGAAATTAGACCATCCCAGCGTCCGTTGCACCCTCAAGCTCAACCTTTGGCCTGTAGACATTCAGGTAGAGGCAATCTTCCACGCCAGATACTGTCCATGAGGTGCCAAAGTAGTTTCTCTGCAGGCAACTGTCCTTGGCTGTTCCTGCATCAAAGATACCCTCCCAGGCAATGGCAGGAACTGGGTTCTAGATTGGTGTACATTATTATGTTAAAATTATAAAAGGACTGTCCTGAACTTACCCTGAGTCGGAGGGAATCCACAGGAGGCTGGGCGAATGGTATTCCCATGAAGGCCTCGAACTCCTCGCCCTGATATCCTGGCATATGTGTGCCCCTGAGGCAGCCCAGATCCTTCAGACACACATCTAAAGGATCGCCGACAGCCGCACTCGAACAGAGAGTTAGAGTCAGAAGAACTCCAGACCAGAGCAGACGCATTTCGCTTTGATTTATGGGCAGCCAAACACGTCTACCTTTTATAGAAAACTACGACTTCCCATTGACATTAGAGTGCACAAATTTGTATAATCATGTCCCGCAATTGTATATTGCACTTGCTCAACCTCCCCGAAATATAATTCCAGTTATTTTCAAATCCTAAGATACGATATTTTGTTTTTGATTTAAAAGTATGAAAGTCAAACCGTGGCTGCCCACCAAAGCAGTTAGTATGAAAATTACATATCAAGAGTGCATTTTCCTATTGCCTAAACACGCAACTGAGCTCAGCAATTAAGAGATAAAATTACTCGATAATAATGACCATATAACTAGTGAATGAGCAATAAAAAATAGGAGGCGGTAATTGTCGTTTTGGAAAACCCACTATAACCTTTTATAGACCTATTTACACACATTTGCGCGACTCGACACACGCAAGCTAATGCTGCAAAAGAGGATTGCCCAACAGTTTCAAAAACAACATACATTGCATGTGCATGACGCGCCAAATTGATGCAAGACTCAAGACCGTGCCTCAGTCCCGAAAATCCAAAAACAATACTTGCACAACCGATGTCAGGGAGACACACGTGCGAAAAGGAGAGAAGACCGTACCCTTGCTTTGCGAGCTCCTCTCCATCGGGAAAGTTGGCCTATTATGTGCACTGTGACATTCAGCTCCATTTACAGTAACCACTGATATTGAGTTACAGTTAATTTCTTCTTCTCACTTCTCTTCACTTCTCTTTAATTACAAAATTCTCGTTCCAGTTCCAGATATTCAGAGACATTCGTATTTATAGTATACAGTATAGAATACAGTCGGATCTCGAAATGGATTCTCAGAAAAACAACCTTTTCCATATTGGATAGGCTGGCAGCTGGACGTCCTTCAGTATGTCTTCCTTGTAGTTGCCAATGGTGCCACCAAAATGGACATAGCTGCACATCTCATGATCCGTGAAATCCGAAGCTTTGCAGGATGTGCCACTGTGGAAGATCCTAAGTCAGGGCACAACATACATATCAGAAATACATATAGATATTCTTTCATAGAAAGATGGAACAAAACCTCACCCGGTTTTGGCAAAGTCCACCATCAATGATGTCATTCGTTTAATGACCTCAGCATCCTCCGAATCCTTGGGATAGTCCTCGACAATGGCTGAAATTCGTATGGCGTGCAGGGCATCGTCCATGTGGGCTGCACCCACCCCATACTCCACCGATGAACCACTAAACAGGGGCGAGAGGGTGCGCAGACCACGGTACTCGAAAACAAATAAGGAAAGCGGATTCTCCTGGGGATTGGCGTAGCTCGCATACGTGGAGGCCGACTCGTAGAGCGGATAGTAAAACCCAAAGTCGCCCGAGATCTCGGCCAGCGGCACTAGTGTATCGTTGCTAATGGTCTCTCCCTCGAATCCATAGGCGTCTAAGATTTCCCGCACAACCTGAGGCGATGTGCCGTCAGGCAAATGCAAAATTTGTGAAAAATGTTCCAAGAAGCGCTCGTTGAGCTCCGTCCGCAGGTTTTGATTGTCGAAGACGTGCAGAAGGGCAAGAGAACCCTCTCCGGACCTCGAATTGATGCCCAGCAGCCAGGGTACCTGATTGATGCGTCCCTCAAGGTGAGCCTGCACCGGATCCTCGGTGAAGAAGGCTTCCGGACATCCAACCGGCTCGACGACTGGTGTATTGCTGATGAAGGGAAAGTTTTCCCAGACTTTTAGGGAATCTACCGCGGTGAGCAGTTTTATTGAATCCAGCTCTCGCAGAGCTTGGGCCAGGTCCTTGGTGCTCAAGCTGTCCACATTTTCGATGCCTGTCACAACAGCAATTTGCATCGCCTGGGCCAGAGGATCCCTGTTTATCTTCAATAATGGTGATAGAATGGTGCCATCCAAGGACATGGCCCGTTGAAAGAGTCCTAGAGAGAAGAAAAGAGTTAAGCGAGAGTCAAATGATGGTACAGTGAAGCCCACCCTTTGAGCTGGGGCTGAGCATGTGATATTGGGCCGACATCCCTCCCGCACTGTGGCCAAAGATCGTCACCAGCTGGGGATCACCTTCAAAGTCGGCGATGTGCTGCTGCACCCACTTCAAGGCCAGGCGCTGATCCTTTAAAGCGAAATTTCCCGGCATATTTGTATCGCCAGTGCTTAGGAATCCTTCAAGAGATCCTCTCTTCAAGAAACTGTTGACAATTCCTTCCTCAGAGCTCACCTAATGGGCCCAAGCGATAAGGTACGCTGACCATGATCACCTGCTCCGTATCCATCAAATATTCGGGACCACTGGCAGCCGGATGGGCAGAACCGCTGAGGTAAGCCCCAGAATGGATATAGACCATGACGGGCAAGGGATTTCTATCGCGTCTCTATGAAAGGAATGAAAGTTAGTTCAAATCTGCCTTTCCGTTGCACATCAACCGTAACTTTTGGCCTGTAGACATTCAGATAAAGGCAATCTTCTACGCCCGAAACTGGCCATTTCTCGACAAAGTAGTTCCTCTGCAGGCAACTGTCCTTGGCTGTTCCTGCATCAAAGATGCCCTCCCAGGGAATGGCAGGAACTGGGTTCTAGATTGGTATACATTATTATGTTAAAATTATAAAAGAACTGTCCTGAACTTACCCTGAGTCGGAGGGAATCCACAGGAGGCTGGGCGAATGGTATTCCCATGAAGGCCTCGAACTCCTCGCCCTGATATCCTCGCATATGTGTGCCCCTGAGGCAGCCCAGATCCTTCAGACACACATCTAAAGAATCGCCGGTAACCGAAAGCCAGCAGAAAGCTAGAGTCAGTAGAGCTCCAGACCAGAGCAGGCGCATTTTGGTTTCATGTACGGGCAGCCAGTGCGGCTCCCTTTTATAGAAAAACTTAACCGAACACACTAGTGTACAATAATCTCAATCTCATATCGCCAAGCTTCCCAAAAAATAATTCCTGCTATTTTCAAATCTTAAAAAACATTGTATTGATTCTGTATTTAAAGTACAAAAGGCAAACAGTCGCTGCCCACCAAAGCAGATCGTATGTAAAATACATATGTATCAAGAGTGCATTTTCCTATGGCCTAAACACGCATTCAACTGAGCTTAACAATTAAGAGGTACAATTACTTTAGTACTTGAGTGTAATGACTCTATAACTAGTGAATGAATTCAACTAACAATGAACAAAAGGGGCGGAAATTGTCTATACGGGAAGCCTAGGAACCGTAACCATTTGTAAATCTAATAAGACGCTCGATATTGATCTCAGATAGCTGTCAGACTGCGACGCTGTGAGACAGTTAGATCTGGATGCCACATGTCCAGGATGAGGACCAGCCGAGGGCGAGTGCCATTGTGCCAGACCTCGTGCTCGAAGCTGTCATCAAAGATGATTAGTTCGCCTTCGCGCCAGGTTCTAAAAGGTAAAATCAAATGAGATTTTGATGGTGAAAAACTTCCATTTCCACTAACCTTTCCTGCTCTGCCACTCGAAGTGAGGTTCGCTCTGGCTCTGGAGCCACCAGCGTGAGATGCGCTCTCAAGCGGCAATTGGTGGGACCACAATGCGGCCACACATGCGTCTCTGCCTGCATCACACTGAACTTCACCTGTCCCCGTCGACAGCCGCTGGATTCGGGGAACTCTTTCAGCAGACTACAGGTGATGGGAGCCCGTTGGCAGTTCTTCCTAATAAGCTGCCCCTTCGCGAAGAGCTCGAACTGCTGCCAGATGCCCATGTGGCGCAGATTCTCCGTTTCATCTTCGAAGTAGCCGCGATGGCTGAGGAGGGCCAAGGCCTCCTCACGGATGGATATCCAGTTGTGCTGTAGTTTCCTTAACTGCGAGTTGTAGCCCGTCTCCGAGGGTTGCCAAAAGGGTTGAGCTCTCAGCTTGGGCTCATTGTACAGCGATCTCTGATAGACGCTGACGAAGAATCCCCTAGCCACGCCCTGTCTGTGCACTTCCACAGCCTCTGGCTGTCTGGACAAACGTTGGAGCGTTTCTCCCAGGGCGAGGTAGAAGTAAGCCTCCTGTGTGCCATCTGCCTTTGACTCTATGGCATTCTGCAAGTAGGACAGCGCCTGAACGTAGTCTCCATGGAGCTGCTTGAGGGCCAGGCCGAAGTGGAGCTGTGCCACTGGATCTGCTGGCCAGAGCTTCAAGGTTTCAGCTGCCACAAACTTCACCTGGCGCATGCTGCAAGCAATCTTGTGAGATTAGAGCCGCAATAGGATTTGGGCTTGAACCTTAGCTCACCTACTTATTGGCCGTTAGGTGGGTGAAAGAGAGTTGATTGCGCAGTCGCGGATCAGCAGGCAAACGCTCGATGAGCAGCTCGTGAATGGCCACTGTTTGGTGATGATAACCTGGAGCAGAGACATCATGAAAAGATTTTCCAAGAAGAACAGCATCTCCAAAACTCACCCATGAATCGCAAATGCTCGATGCAGCGTTCTCCAGCAGAAAGAAACTCTCCATCGCTGGCCACCAGCTCGCCAAAGGCCAGATATCGTTTGTAGGAATCAATGGCCTCCAACAGTCGCTGGTTGCTGCGCTCCCTCTCTGCCAGGCGCTCCAAAAAGTGGGCACGGGCCAGATGGGCCAAGGGCTCGTCGGCATAGTATTGTATGAGCGTGTTAAACGAGCGCAGGGCTTGGGCATAGTTCTTTGGGCGGGTATTAGTTCGCGGTTCGTCAGCCAAAACGCACACAAAGACGGGTTAGATAGGGTTCACAGAACATGCAATTAGTACAAAAATAATGAAGCTCATTAGAAGAGGAAACACAATTTTCAGAGGACTTCAGGGGGACATCCCATCGAGGAGGACCCCTCCAGTGGGTGTGTCTGGCTGGAGGAGGCCGCCTTTGGTTGCGCCCAATTGAAAAGCTTTGACAAGAGGGTTTCCAACAAGCCAAATCTTACGTTTTGGATCTTATAAAGCTAAACAGTTAATAGAACTAGTGACTAGCAATGCAAACATGAAACTAAAGCTATGAAATGAGTTTGGTTTTGTGTGATTTAATGATTGTTGAGCTAGAGATATATCGAGAGATTCCTTGGTTATTCCTTGGCACGAAGTCTTTAAATCTGTGACCTACCTCCCGGATCATTTCGGCATTGGCCTGACGCAGCTCCTGTTGAAACGAATCATCTGCGGCCGGAACCGGAACCGAAGCCGGAGCATCTGTGGTAGGATCCTTGGGTTTGATTTCTGGTTGGGTTAAAGATTGATTGCATTTGATGTTTATACAGTGCAATGAAAAGTTCTTTGAACGGTTAGGGCCTAGACAGAGCTCCACCTTATACATATGAAGTGTTAGTGAGGCGTTTCTATTGATAGTAGGAGTAGGAGAAGTTCTTCACTTACGATCGGTTATGGATCAGATGGTGTGTCTTAAAGTAGAGTGTAGCTTATGGCCATGACTGAGATTATTTTAGAGTCTTAAACAATACGAGAGTATGTCGGATAAGTCAATGCAGTGGAGGACATCGAGAGACGGAGGCGATACTGTGTGAATTGTACATTTAGTAATTACGTGTCCAGGTTGGATCGTCGGAGTCCGGATCGCTTTCGTACTCCTTAACCGGCAGACGGCCGTACTTGGCCTCCAGTCTGCTCATTAGATCGGCATCATCCACGTCGGATATCTCGTCCTCTTCCTCATCGGATATCTCGTCCTCCTCGTCTGTCTCTCCATCGTGTTCGTAATCCTCAATAGCCCCGTCCTCGTATTCCACATAAAGATCACTGAAGCCCGAAGGCTTTATTGGTTCGTTTGTCTCCTCTGGCTCCTTGTTCTTCCTTTCATCTGATGGTTCTGGCGATGACTTGTACATAGAGCTCATCTGCTCAAAGGTCTCGGGCACATAGCTGGCCGACAATGCCACATCACCATCACCGGCATCCTCTTCTTCGATGTCGCTGATCTCCACTTCGATTTCTTCCTCGATTTCGATTTCCTCCTCGGAATATTCTTGTTTTTGTGATGGAATGTGATATTATACAAATTAATATTAATGGTTACATTTTGGATCCTAACTAAAGACTTCAAGATCACTTCCAGCTGCAGCTAGAAATGATTTCGAAGCATCTTCGATAATCCGAAGTTCTGAATTGGGATATAAATGAGCTCTCCAACCATCGTCCAGCAGCGGAATCTCCTCCAGATCGTCTGGTATCTGATCCTCGTCCGTGGCAATCGTCAGGCGGCGCCTCATGATCGCCTCCGGTGGGGGCGGCTCGTCTTCGGCTACACATTCATCACGGGATATATTTTTGGTCAACATAATGCGGATTAAACTATTACTAGACGGGCAACAACAAAGCCATACAGCAATTTCCATACATACATACATTGGTGGAAATAGTTAAACAAAGCTGTAACTACAATAAATTTACAAAATTACAAAATTAAAAAAAATCATAATCATAAATAATAAAGAAAGTGCAAAAGGTTAGCTCTGGCACCGATTTCTCAACGTATTTCGTTTAAAATAGAAGAAATTTGTATATTTTGAAAACCGAAAAGAGAGAAACCGAGAGCCGAGACTTTGTTTTAGTTCTGTTAATACGTCACAAATCGAATTGGAGACATTGAGAGTGTTGTTGCCAATGGCTTTTGGTGGATTAGAAAGGAAAGCGTCGCTTTGGTTACAAACTGTCCGAACACACAGTCCTCAAGCAGACAGCCAGATTGAGAGATGCAGTAACATTGATTTTGGCGTGCTTTGGCAGAGATCACAGATCACAGAGCAGAGAGCAATGGAGGAGTAGGTCAAGCATTGAAGACTCACTTGTATTCGGACTTTTCCTGATCAATACAAGACGTGAAACTAAGGCAAGTGCAACGCCAACGCCAAATTTAACGGCAACTGTAAAATGATTCAGGTTTTAGTATCAGAGAACAAACAAGATTTGTTTTGCACTTTCTTGTACAATATTTTTTCTGTGGTTTGTGTGTGCGTGTTTGTAATAAGGTGGAGCAAGAGATGGTCTGTCAGTTCTTAACGTTCTAGGGCCTTAGGGACATCCGTTCACTGTTCCACTGGGTATCGCCTCAGAAAGGGACTCAACTTACGCGATGCTAACCAGGAAGAGCCCTCTTTCGGTTCTTCCTCATCATCGTCTTGTTTCTGCTCCTCGCTTTCGTCAAGGTCGGGTCTTCTCACTCGCCGCACCAGATCTTCGGGTTCCTCATCGAGGGACTCAAAGTCGTCATCATCGTATTTGTCCTGCAGATCGTGTATCGAATATTAAACATATTTTCCAAGAAATTGCTTTCTTTCACCTCATCATATTTATCAACTTTGACATATTTAGTTGTGGCAGGGACCCTTTGTGCTTTCGATTGAACAGGCTCTTCGATCTCCTCCTCGTCAGCCTCATCGTTGTCCTCCTCATCTTCCTGCAAGATGGTTGACAGATAGTTATCTAACTGTTCAATATTTAAACAAAACTTAGACTTTACCTCATCCAATTTGGCTGTAGAAGAAGCTGGCTCCTGCGATTCTGCCACTTCATCTTCGGCATCGTCCTCGGGTTCGTCTTCTTCGGGTTCCTCTACATCGTACTCAGTGGTGGCTTCTGCGGTGGCCTCTGTGGTAGCTTCAACAGTGGCCTCTTCAACATTGTCTTCGTCTTCAGCGTCATCTTCTGGATCTTCGGCGGTGATGTTTTCGCCAGCATTGTTATCCTCCTCGTCGTCGTCTTCTTCCTGCTCCTGCTCCTGCTCCTCCTGCTCCACCTCTTCTTCATCTTCTTCTTGCTCTTGCTCTGTGTCTTCTTCTTCTATTTCCTCCGAAATAGGTTCTTCTAACAGAGAAACAGCTTTAAAAATATATTTATGCATTATGTAATGCTTGGCCTACCTTCTTCTTCGTGATCGTCATGATCATGATCATCATCCTCTTCTATTTCCTCCGAAAGGGGTTCTTCTAAAAGAGGAAAAGCTTTAAAAAGAGAGTTATGCATTAGTGTGTTCGGCCTACCTTCTTCATCCTGATCGTCATGATCATCATGCTCATCCAAAGCCTCTCCAGAAGGTTTGTGTACGTCATGGACATCATGCTCCCCTCGATGCTCGTCGACCAAACCATTAAAATAGTTTGAGAAGCGCGACTCAGATAACGGAGTGTCCACTAAAATATATTTTCATTATCCAAACAAGTATCATTTAGTGGTTTCTGGACTTACTATCTTCAAGGCCACGATTCTCCAAGATGATTAGGCCTACGAGGCCCAAGAGAACTGCCATCAGAGAGAAGAATATGATCTTGGCACACCAATTGCCACCGGTGTCGTGCTCGTGATGCACGTGCAAGTGTACATCATCATTTCCCATCTTCGTAATGTGGACGCCATGGGAAGACTCGTCGTCATCTGTGAGTTCGTGTGTGCGATTGCATGGTAGTGAATAATAAACACATGTGATTACAAATTGTTTAATTAAATGCACCTTCAGACAGCGTGGGGATAGACAAGCGGTTGATTTAGTAACAGAAAACCATTTAGGGGGTTGGAGAGGGTAAGACGACGGATGTGGATATGGGATATGGGACGGAGGGGCTTTGGCTACCTTGGAAGCTGGACTGACGCAGAACAGTCACATCGCCGTCAGATTTTCGATCATCTAAACACAAAAAGTTAGTTACAATGAATGCCAAAGCCATTTAGAATGTACTACCCCGAAAACAGCTTCCCTCCTGGATTACTGTACCCGCAGAATTTCCCCCATTTGTGTGACACCGGTATTACAATGCGATAAGAGAGGGATTTGTTTATGCCTAAATATGTGCAATAATAAACAAAGAACCCGCCAGTCATGCTCTTGGGCAGATGGCCAAATAAAATTAAATTGCTTTACATATAATTTCGGTGTTTTTGTTGCACTGCCTGTCCAAAAAGAGAATCTTCTGTGGGTGTAATGGCCACAGACGAAACGGGAAGTGTCGTTCCGTGTCTTTGTGCAGCGCATTAACAGCGTTGGAATCATGAATTATGGTCGAGGTGATTTCTTAGCCTCCCCCAGTTGTTAGTCTTTATAGATAAGCCGTGAGATAAGACCCGGGATAGCTCGGACAGAGTGAAAGATACAAGATAAAAGACAGAGCAGTCTCCACAAATAATTTCAAATTAAAATCTAAGCTAACCAACCCGAAATGTTCAATGCCCTTTTCCTTTCTACGAGTCATAAAAACCACACATAGACCCCCGCATATGTCCAATACATATACATACATATTTTTCTATAGTGGATCGGCACACGCATAGCGACAGAAACTGGCGAGATGTATAATTTTATATAATAGGGCAAAGTTATTTTTAAAGGCACTCGACAATATTATTTTGCTAATAAAAGAAATGAACTGCTTGCTACGCTCTTAGCGGCGGCCGCAGGGTATTTTAGACAATCTAACGGTCACTGCATGTCACCGTTCATCACTGATGACAGGGAGAGGGGTGATGGAGAACTTACCGCGTTTTCTCCGCTTATCCTTGCGCTTTCGCGGCTGCACATCCCCCGACATTTTCCTGGCCTGACACTAAATTTATGCCAATATGATGGGGGGAAGTGTATGTTGTTTTGTGTCCAGATGTGTATAGGTGTCGTCGGCGGCCACAAAGACCGGGCTGGCAGCGTTCCCGAACACGATCGCTGTACGTAACGAAATGCGAGCAGCTCGTCGTCGTTGGAAATTATTTATAAAATGTGCGCCGTTGCGTTTCGACGTTGCCAGACGTCCTGTGGATGGGAAAATATATATTGCAATAGTGAATTGCAATGTAAATTAAACTTGATTGTTAAACAGTACATTTGAGCGAAGTTATTGTTTTGGTCCTTCAAGTCCCGAGCACAGTCGAACTGGGTGGCAGCTCTGTGTTCGAGGCGGTAAACAATTATTCAAACACGGCCAGGCTACCGGCTTAGGAAACCCCAGTAGCAAACACCAAGCAAGTGTAATATTCATTGATTTGCCCATAAATATTATTATTATTCCACTGTGTTCAACAAATAAAGATATGTGACTGCATACACAACTAACCGCAGTTGCTCACCGGTTTAAACAGAGGGGGGTTGAATGGGTTAGCTCGAATTTTTCATCGGCAATTTGGGTATATTTCGGTATATTTCTTAGGACTGACGGTATATTTTATGGATAAATCACACTGAACCCGAGCCCCAAAAAAAAAACAAGAAAATAAATACAGAAATTGGTTTTAGTGAGTTCTAACTGGGTTGTGGCGGGTCGTGTTGTTGAAAAACGTATAAGATCAAGGGCCCCCAGGGGTAGGGAGTAAAAGTAATGGCCGGCGACATGTCCATTGGCTGTTCAGCTTTGAAAAGGTCGAGCAAACTAAAGTCCTGCACCAGTGGGGGCGACACGGACTCCATGCACATAGCAGCCAACGATCGCATGGACAATGGCAGCGTAAAACAAGCCCCAGCACCGCCCCAGAACATGCGAGGTGGCCTCCGGGTGTACAAGATAGTCATCCTTGGGGATGGCGGTGTCGGAAAGTCGGGTATGTTGGCTACCAGGCTCTGCAAAGTTATCACTGCGCATTTTGATTGTGGTTGCGAAAAATCAATAAATTATCTCAATTTCTTTTACGCTTTGTTTTGTCCGTCCCCCATCACTGCCCACCCTCCACACGCCACACGCACCATCGCCCCGACCACCCCCAATCCGTCTGTCTCGGCGCTTTCGTTCGGGCGTTCGGGTGAACCCTGCGCACTCGAACATCAGCTGTTACCCTGCAGTTCGTGAGCCACAGCTTCTTGGACTACCACGACCCGACCATTGGTGAGTGTGCTGCAGCATCCCGATAGATTTGAAATCGTTTGACTAATCCTTAAATGTTGCCGACTCGTTGCCGCAGAGGACTCGTACCAGCAACAGGCGGTCATCGACAACGAGGCCGCCCTGCTCGATATACTCGATACTGCCGGCCAGGTCGAGTTCACGGCCATGCGGGACCAATACATGCGCTGTGGGGAAGGTTTCATCATCTGCTACTCAGTCACCGACCGCCACAGCTTCCAGGAGGCATCGGAGTACCGAAAACTGATTACCCGGGTGCGTTTGTCCGAAGAGATACCGCTGGTGCTGATTGCCAACAAGGTGGATCTGGAATCTCAGCGTCGCGTCACCACCGAGGAGGGCAAAAATCTGGCGAATCAGTTTGGCTGTCCGTTCTTTGAGACGTCCGCGGCACTACGCCACTACATCGACGAGGCGTTCTACACGCTCGTCCGAGAGATCCGTCGCAAGGAGCAGCAGAAGGGCACCGACAGCAGCTCGGAGAAAATCCACACGCGCCACCGCAGCCGCTGGTGGCGCATACGCTCCATATTCGCCTTGGTATTCCGTCGTCGACGCAACTTGAACTAGACTGGGGGATAAAGCTGGGTAGGAGCTTTAGCTGGAGGTGGAGCCAGAAGAGTGCGCGCGTTAACAATTTCTTTAAATCAGTGCAATATTAACCAATGCGAGTAACTTTTTCTTTCTATGTGTCGCTATATACACGGATTGTATACAGCACAACCAATCCGCAGATCCTATATATATCTACGATTATTTGTAATTGATCGAAGTTTCCAAAGGCAGAGGCAAAACCACAAGAATTTACCAATCGAGAGATAGAAGAAACTAAATAATTATTGTTATGGCCACCGTGGAGAGGAAGAGGGTCGGTCGGTCAGTCGTTTATTTATTATTTGTTACAAACTATTTAACGTATTTGTTGTTGGCCAGACAAGCAAAGATAGGCGCAGCGAGCGGAGGTAGACGATAGAATATATCAATATGTTTAAGCACCGATCCAAAATGATACATATTAACAATGCACGTACATATGTTTTATGTAGTCAAAATAAAATAAATAACGTTGATTCCTAAGGCGAGGTGAGGTAGAATAGAAGCAGGCGTGACAGATTGGCTGGCAATTGGCAAAAGCAGCAAAAAGTAGACATGCATTTAAATTCAAGCTGAAGCAATGAGCTTCAATCTGAGGCTGAGATCGGCCGAAGCAGAGCAACGCGAAACCAAAACCAAAATCAATAATCTTATAACAAATCGTGACACACCTGAGAGATCTGAATCCTAGCAAAGGACACACAAAGCACAACACAAGTGAGTGTGAATGCCAAGCGTTACTGTCAGGGAAGTGAATGGATATTGGCAGAGAAAGTATTGATGGTGGATTTTTGAACTTATGTAATGCATGTATTACCCCAGCAGGACACGCGACACACACAAGCACACATTTAACTAATCGAATAAATGTTGAATTTAATGTATACTAATTCATATATACAGATATATATATATATATAAAAATCGATCGATCTACGATATAAGAATGTAAAACGCGGGAACATTTCAGAATGTGTGTTTGACCTGGAGCTTTGTTCAAATCCAAATCCAATCCAAATTGATAATGATATATATATATATATATATACATATATGATATACACCTAAATATACAGAGAGATAATGTATGTATGTAATTTAAGCCCAAGACAGCCGATTGCATTTGTTGTTTAAGTTTGAGAAATGTTTATTGCTTATATGTTTATTGTTAAGGACACGTGTTTACTTCTAAGTTTATTTATTATTAGTTTAACACATTTGTTAATTACTTTTTACACACAAAACAACTCCACCACGCAACACATCACGTTCTCTAAGCGTTCACCATGAGTTCCTCTCATACATGTTAATATTATTAACTATCATCACTACTACAGAAAACACTACACTACACAAACAACAGTTTTAAACGGCTTTAATTACTCCAAAATTTGTTATGAAACCCACTTAAGCAGTTGAACGTTGGAACTACTCCATAACTACATATATATTGTTATTACAAATCCCCTCATGAAACGATTCGATGACTAATTTGTGTAAACCCGCCAACAACAAAAAAAAAAAAACAAAACACAACAATAGCCAACTTCACAAGCGATAAGCGCGTCATGGAATGCGGGTTAATCTAAAGAAAAAGCCAGCCTTGAACGCTTTCCCTCAACATCCTAGAAACTATACCTACACACGAGTGTGTATGTAACACCATCGTTCTGTCGTAGCTCTGGTCGTTTCGAAAACGGCCGACATGTTCCAGGTGCCCAAACAAATGAGAAACCAAAACCCCATTTTTATTCATAATGTTATATACATTTAAAATGTAAACAAAAATGGTATACTAATGCACAATGGAAAAACAAAATATGAACAAAAAGAAATAAAGATTTTTGGAACCCCCCGTTAAAAGTACGACTTTCACTAGAACTTCACGAAATCTACATTCCCAACCAAAAGAGTTGTGGACAATTCGAACATTCTCATTTAATCCATAATTGCAAGTTTAGCTGGAGGCCGTCTATACGTACCACCTGAGCGATCTTCAATAAAACTCAAAATATGATTTGATTTTTGTATCGTTTTTCATTTTTTATTTATTTTTTATATATGTAATATATGTATGTATATTAGTAAAATATTTTTACCTTTAATTATTCATTTCCATTTTGTTTTCTTCAAATTTTTTTTGATGATTTTCATTATTTTTCTAATTTGTTGTAAGGAATATTATGCAAAATGCACAATAGACTCTCGAAAAATTCTTTATTATTTAAATAATCCTCATTTTCTCTTTCCTCTGACACGTTTCACATAATTTTTTTTTCATATTTTTGCTCTTTAAATTAACAACAAAAGACACCAAACGTCGGATTCGATTTTCGTAATCTCTGGTCAATTTGAAAAAAATGTATAAATAATATGCTTGTTTGGTTTTAGTTTTCATTTCGTTTTAAATGTTCATATATGGAATTTATATAAATCTAATTTTGGTAATCTGGTAAATGTGTTTTTTTATTGTATAGGAAGCAAAACTTTGAATGCACAAATTTACAAATTTACTTTCGACTCTGGTTTTCGATCTTAGTTTTTTTTTGTTTCTTTGTATTTATTTTTGTTTTCTTTATTTATAAATTTAGTAAATTGTGTAATAGTAACTGTAGAAAATAGTAGCGTAGTTACACTTATATAGAAAATATTCAGATTTATTCCTTTGCGGTTGCTTTTTTCTGTTGTTGCTGTAGAAAACGGCACTTTTCCCTTGAGTGTTCTTTTGTTTAAACATTTTCTGTGTGAGAAATTACACGATTGACGGTACAAAATACAAAAAGAGACATACACACATATATGCACTATATATTTAGATGTATGTATATATATTAATATATATATATATATATATATATATGTGGTACTGGCATTTTATAAAATTATAAAATCCTCCTCATACATTTAGTTTGGTAGCTTGTTGCATCGTTTTTTTTGTTTATATTTTTTTCAATTTGTTTTAATGCAAAATACAAATATTAAAAACTTTTCGCTCTGATTCCATATTCCTGGGACTCAACCCACTCCCGAAAACTGAATGCATCTCATTTGTGGCTTACGTTTTAGTCAAATAATAAACATTAATCTTTTGTGTTGAAAGTATCTTGTATCTTTTCTGTGTGTGTTTGCTTGTAGTGTAGTTACGCTTTCATCGTTTATTGGCGGTTTCTGTGTCACTTGATAAAGTAGTTTTTGTGAAAAGGGAACATAATAGATCATATTATCGCGTCTGACTGGACATTTTCAACTGATTCAACTTGCCACACCCTCGCACAAGCAGGCGGGTCTGCACTCAAGGCAACAAGGTCACAAAAAGCATCAAAGAACAGCGCAGGATAGGGGGTGAACAGAAACGGATGCAACTTGAATATGTATACATATATCGATATATATTTCTGGATTGTAGCTGCTCGACTGGATTGGTCGGTCTGCTGCCCTTGGGATATACAATTAATAATGCCATCGTTATTACTGTGGTTTTACTTCGGTTTATAACTACACTAAACTGTATATAAAATCAAATCCGCATGGGACACACTCTGCCCCGGGTTCACTACGATTTGCTGCGTTAGTTTCTGGCGTTCTCCTGATGATCCATCCTCCAGCCGATGTTGTTTTTGTTGTTGTTGTTTGTTGCTGTCGTTTTTTCTCTTTTTTTAAAAGGTGTGTGTTGTGTGTGTGGGTGTGTGGTGAGAGAGGGTGTGGTGTTTATGTGTGTTGTTGTTGCTGTTTTTGTTGTATTATGGTTAAAGATTTTCATTTGTTAGTTGCTCTTTTAGAGCAAAAGGCATCTGGTCTTCTTCCTCTTTTTAACCTGCAACGCAGCCCTGGTTGCCGTCTCAAACACCTCCCGGACACCCTCCTTGGACTTGGCCGAGCATTCCAAATAGGCAAAGGCATTTATCTTCTCGGCCATGGCGCGTCCCTCCTGCGGCTTAACAGGCTCCTGCTTCATTTTTGCGAGATCCTTCAGGAGGTACACAAATTTAATTAGATAACCCTCTAAAGGAATGAGAGAGACTTACCCGAATTGTGTTGGGATCATTTCGCAAATCTTTCTTATTTCCTACCAAAATGATTGGAACATTTGGACAAAAGTGTTTGACCTGCGAGAATGGCATTTCAGAGATTAGTTGTTGGTCACGGTTTAAGGCTACGTCATTTACTCACCTCTGGGGTCCACTTTTCAGGAATATTTTCTAGTGAATCGGGGGAATCCACTGAGAAACACATCAGTATTACATCTGTGTCCGGATAACTCAGCGGTCGTAGTCTGTCGTAGTCCTCCTGCCCGGCCGTATCCCACAAGGCCAGCTCCACCTGAAATAATGGCAACAATGTCATTAGTAGGTGATACAGAGGACGATCGCAGATAAATAGATACATATGTCGGTGTAGATGGGTGCTCATCAGACGGTTTTACAGACAGAGGGACGTATGGGGAGAATATGGAAGAGCAGAGGAAACAACTTCAAGTTGGAGATAGCGACTGAGCGAGGGAGAGCAGGGCTAAGGAACTTGGCGGCGGAAATACCGAACGTATTAATCACATCAAAGTAGAATGACGCGAGCGTCAGCATATGTACATATGTGCGAATGTGTGTGCGAAATGGGTATGTAAACGTTACCCAAACACAGGTCTTCCATGCTTCCAACACCCCAGAAACCAGCTATACATATGTACATATACTGCGCAGCACAAACACTCTCCGTTTTTATTCCGAAAACCGAATGAAAATATTAGAAATGGAATACAGCGAAAACTCAAAATCATGACTTAATGGCTCCCCAGAAAAAATCGCAAAAAGATTCATTACAAATGCGAGTGAGCGAGAGAGAGCGGGAGCGCTGGCTCCATAACACACAGGTAGGGAGAATGTTCTCAGCAAGAGAACGAGATAAAGAGAGGCTAGGGTATGGTAGGCTGCGGTAGGCAACAGAGGAGGGGGCTATCGGGTCGGCGCAACGCACAAAACTGTATGTGCGCAAACGGACTTGTATAAGTCAAATACAAAATAAAGAAAACGAGCAACAAGAAACGGAAGGAAGGGAGCTGCATGATTGTTTATTGTGTGTGTTGGTGCTGCCAACTGCTCTTTGTTTGTGTGTGTGATTCTCTCTTAGTCTGGCTATGTGTGAATGATTGGCTTAGTGGGGAAATATATTTGAGAGTCAAAACTAAACAGTATTTCAGAATCCTAGCAACCATCACAGAATATTTCACAGTTTTGAGAAATAGTCAAAAATTCGCAAAAGTATATCTCAGTTATCAGCAGAGCCGGAAGAAACTTATATTTTCGTTGACTGTGATCGCCAAAATAAAAGTATATCCCCAACACTCGTGAGTATACCTGTGTGCGGGAGTGTCTGTGTGCCTGTTCCGTCGGTCGTCGCTCAGTATTGACTCACGGCGGTTTTTTTTTAAAGACCCGCAAAAGGAAACGTATTTGGGAAGTGGGGCGGGAGTTGTGGGTGGTGGAGAAATACGAATAATAAAGAAAATACACAATGCACACATACACACAAATGCAGAAGCACAGATGTGTGAGTACAATGGAGAATAAGGAGGATACGCGCACTTGAATTTGCTGAATGCACAAATCTCACGTAAAACGAGATCAGATGATTGGCACTGCCAAAGGGAAGGGGGGCAGGGTGTGGTATAGCATGGCTTGTAGAAAACTTACCTGTTTACCATCAACTTCGATATCGGCCACATAGTTTTCAAACACAGTGGGTACATACACCTCGGGGAATTGATCTTTGCTAAAGACAATCAGAAGGCAAGTTTTACCGCAGGCACCGTCGCCGACAATTACCAATTTCTTGCGAATCGTCGTCATTGGAAGTTCTGCAATGGCAAAAGGAAGAGAGTGTGGATGCAATACTAGGCAGCACGTTCTTCTGTTCGTCGAAATCCGAGTTCTGTTTGATTTGATTTATTCGCGAAAACTGCGCGAGCTGTTCAAAATTATCAAAATGAAAAATGAAACACACACAGGCGCACAGACGGCACGGCACTCACACCAGCAGCACTCCAACACACCGCTACAGTACACACACGCTCGCTCGCTCTCTTTCGCCCTGTCTCTCTCACACACACACTTAGTCATGCTCTTGACTGAACGGAACAACGATCTAATAGCCAAAAGTGGGGGTTCTTTTCTTTTCGACCAATGTCCGCGTTGAAAATTTTGATTCAGTTCATAATTGTTTGGCTTTAATCGAATTCCATACTCCTGATGCATATTACTTTCGCGTTTTGTCCAAAGTGGTCGCGTCATAGGGCTTGGGCCCGCCCGTGCCCGTCAGCCCCGTTCCCTTCTCCAATCCAATGAAAGAAACTCCTCGTCCCGTGCCCGCTGCTTTTGCTTTTATTCCAAAAACATCTCATCATCCACTCGCTTTGCTGTTGTCTGTGTGTGTCTCTGCCTTTGCGCTAGCTGCTTCTGTGTGCGTGTGTGTGCCTCTGTGGAATTTTTTCACTGCTCTTTCAACTTTTCTCACTTACAATTTATGATGATTTTTACAACACTCAGTACGAATTCGACACTTAATTTGCTTAAAAAATGGCACAAACTGGTTGATTCTTATGCGTCTATCCCTTATAGTTTCGTATTAAAGGTAATACAATTATAAAAATTCGAATTGAACTCGACGATTTTTTTCTCATGCAAAATGACGATGAACAATGTTCATTCGTTTCATTTCTTGGTGGCGCGATGAACCCCGATGACCAACCAACGCCTTCAACCACAGAGTCGCACCTATGCGATAGTATCGCCAATGATGTACGCCAGGTGGCTCTGTGACAATTGCATCTTTCTTACATTTCTGAATATTTATATCGATATGTTTCTGGTATTTTTAATACTTTTCGGTATCTTTTTAGGTGAAAATTTAACCGACTGTATATCGGTATATAATGGTCAATTTCATTTTAAACGGTATACAGAAATCCAATAAAAGCAAGTATTAAGAGTAGGCCAGTCAATTAGAAAATAGATTCACCAATCGTATAAATTTATGTGGGCATGGCTGAAATATCTATATAGCTGGGAATATTCGACGGAAGATAAAAAACGAGGAATATGATACATTTTCGGTATTTTTTGGAATGAGACCGTATATTTTATTGGGACTTGCTCTCTTTTCTTTGGTATTTTCTCTCTATATTATGGTAGGAAATTTTCTCAAATTGAGGGAATTTTTCCGGGATACAATGTCCTTTTCAGCTCAACAATGTCCCTTACATTCCTCACTCACTTACGTTTTCTTACTTTTTATGTTGCTGGCAACATTAATTTGTATGGGCCAGACTGACTCATGTGCCGTGAAATCGAGCAGCATTGTTCCACAACATTGCGCGGATTGAGCAACATTTTGCATACCCTGGGGGAAATGGATGTTATAGAACTGAGAAATTGTTTGTCTTCCAAGAATCCGTAGGTATCAGGATCGACATAAATATATACAAGATACTAATAATGTACTTGAATATGTCTAAAGAATATCAATTTGAGAAAAGGGGTTTATAAATCACGTTTCATCTTCATATAAAATTAACAAAATAGGGTATACCAAGGCCTACACGCAACATGTCTTTAAATACCAGCAACATTGCGACTGTTTTTTTGTTGAACTATTTTGCTTAAACCTTGTTTTAGTCAAAATACAATAAAAGCAAGGACTAAAAACTAACCAATTGTATAGAAAATTGACTCATTAATCGGTTAAAATTATGTGGGCATGGCTAAATGTTCTATTTAGTCAGTTATATTGCACGGAATATGAAAAACGAGGAATATGTATAACACAACTTGACATCGTCAGTATATGTACGGCATATTTTGAAAATGAGACCGTATATCGCGGTATATGTTCGAAGGTCACGGCCACACTCATCGGCAACACGTGTTTTTTGGATCGTCCATTTTCTTCGACCAGGCACCGCGTGCACAAGCGTTTTAAAATTTTTATAAATAAAATGGCTGATGGTGGTGAGTAGCAAAGTGATGACTAAACCTAGTGCTAGGATTACAAGAAGCATCGCTGCGAATCGTTGCAGATGTACGCAAAGAGAAGCGAAAGAAGAAGGTCAAGGAGGAGCCAGTGGATGCCGATGATATTGGCACGCTGCAAAAGCAGGGTAATTTTCAAATAAAACCCTCGTCGAAGATAGCCGAGCTGGACACATCGCAATGGCCGTTGCTTTTGAAGAACTTCGACAAGCTAAATATTCGATCCAACCACTATACGCCCCTGGCACATGGGTCCTCGCCCCTCAACCGCGACATCAAAGAGTACATGAAGACGGGCTTCATCAACCTGGATAAGCCGTCCAATCCCAGCTCCCACGAGGTGGTGGCCTGGATTAAGAAGATTCTCAAGGTAGAGAAGACTGGACATTCGGGAACCTTGGATCCGAAGGTTACAGGTAAGCGATACGCATGTGCCGCCTCAACATAACCTCCAAATACCAACGCACGTGTGTTGTGCTCTGCTCGGCAGGTTGCTTGATTGTCTGCATCGACCGCGCCACGCGTCTAGTGAAGTCTCAACAGAGTGCCGGTAAGGAGTATGTGGCTATTTTTAAGCTCCATGGTGCTGTTGAATCGGTGGCCAAAGTGCGTCAGGGCTTGGAGAAGCTGCGCGGTGCTCTCTTCCAGCGTCCCCCGCTTATCTCGGCCGTCAAGCGACAGCTCCGAGTGCGTACAGTGTATGACAGCAAGCTGTTGGACTACGATGAGAGTCGCAATATGGGTAAGTTTTCGTTTTATTTGTATTCAATTTTATTCGATTCGAAGCTTGTGCGTCGCTGCTTGAATGAATCTGTATGGCAGGGACGTGCAGGATGCTTCGGCTAGTACAGTAAAATCTCAGTATTTGCCCATACATGCAAATGCACAGTTATTAGTTAAAACATCTCTGTATCTTCTCTCCCCTCCCAATGTCCCAACACCACAATATCTGCCCCCTACTCACGTTTAGGTGTTTTTTGGGTTAGTTGCGAGGCCGGCTCCTACATCCGTACCATGTGCGTCCATCTGGGTCTAGTCCTGGGCGTCGGTGGTCAAATGTTGGAACTGCGTCGTGTGCGTTCGGGCATTCAATCGGAGGGCGACGGCATGGTAACCATGCATGACGTCCTCGATGCCATGTGGCTGTACGAGAACCACAAGGACGAGTCGATGCTGCGTCGTGTGATAAAACCGTTGGAGGGTCTGCTGGTCAACCACAAGCGCATCATAATGAAGGACAGTTCGGTAAGTGTTCAACAGTGTTTCTACACTTTCGATTCCCCATGACCCCATGATATTAAGCCGGCAGACGCCCGTATCCCCCATAAGCGTCTGTGACTTTGATTGGGAACAGTAAAGGTGCTGATGTGTGTATGTTGGGCAGCGCTCTTTCCTGCGCACTCGACAAAGAAATTTCAGACTACACTTCCAAGCCCGACCGAATTCGAAATCATCTTCGACACAACTTGCAAATCTGTATGCTGATGCTGCTCTTCTCTTAGGTGAATGCTGTGTGCTATGGCGCCAAAATCATGTTGCCTGGGGTCCTGCGCTATGAGGATGGCATTGAGATCGATCAGGAGATTGTCATATGCACAACCAAGGGTGAGGCCATTTGCCTGGCCATTGCTCTGATGACCACGGCCACAATGTCGTCGTGTGATCATGGCGTTGTGGCAAAGATAAAGCGTGTGATAATGGAGCGCGACATATATCCGCGTAAGTGGGGATTGGGTCCCAAGGCTTCCGCTAAGAAGGCACTCATCGCTGCCGGAAAATTGGACAAGTTTGGCAGGCCCAATGAGAACACGCCTAAAGAATGGCTCACCGGCTTTGTCGACTACAATGCCAAGAAGCCAGCGGCGGCAGTGGCCCCACAGACACCCGTCAAAGAAACCCACTCCAATGGCTCGGACGAACCGTCCAAGGTGGGGATTATACATTACCTTCTATGTTATACTTTTTTCACTTATCAAATACATACTTTTCAGCGCAAACTGAGCACCTCCAGTACCGAGGAGGCGGCACAGGGAGCGGGAGCTGAAGATTCTTCTGCCAAAACTGACAAAAAGAAGAAGAAGAAGAAGCACAAGGGCGAAGAAGAGGCCCCCGCGGCGGAGGAGGAGGCAACGGCTGATGTGGAGCCAGTAGAGAAGGAGAAGAAAAAGAAGAAGAAGAAGGATAAGGATAGGGAAAGAGAAGAAGCTCAGGAATAGGATATGTATGTTCCTATAGAATTAGGTTTTCTAAGAGAGCTCTACGATTTTTTGTAGAGATCTAATTATTATTTTCAACACATTTTCTTAGTGGTTAAGCTTAAAGAGGAGTCTAAAAACAAGTGTTTTTATGTTTAGAAATGCAAACAAATTTCAGATGCATTTAGGTGACATTCGCAATGCAATAAATTTTATATATTTTATTGTTCATATAACAGCAGAATCTAAATATTGTCTGTATTATATTCCCAGTAGTTCAGTTCTGTTTAGCTTTTCAGTGAGCAGCCACACATAAAACATAACTAAAGGTAAGTTCAATTTGAAATTGATTAAAAGTTCGGTCAAATTCTGCTTTTGCTGCTGCCTTATGATGAGCATTAAACTTTCGCCCCTATCTGAAAAATGAAACTTCTCCTGTTGAATGCGAGATTGGTCTTACTGAATGAATAAGCAAACAAGCAATTTTGAGAGTTCCATATCCGACACTAATATGTTCCCGATGGATATAATTTTGCAACTATTTTCAGCTTGGAGAAACCAGTGGCCCGACGTAAAACTAAATATCAGCTAAATTATAAGGTGAGTGTCGTTAGTGCCTCTCTGGAGTGCTTATCTGGTAATTATTCTTGTGATGAGCATTAAACTTTCGCCCCTATCTGAAAAATGAAACTTCTCCTGTTGAATGCGAGATTGGTCTTACTGAAAAAAATATTTCCATCAATTTGAACTTCTATTAGCAAATAAACAAAACTAACTAACGTTTCTTTATATCTCTTGCAGTCGCTGGAAAGTCGTTAATGGATCTGGATTCTGTCGCCCACAAGATAAGGTGAGAGAAATAATCTGTTGTATTCTACGCAAGGTATTTCCTATGATGAGCATTAAACTTTCGCCCCTATCTGAAAAATGAAACTTCTCCTGTTGAATGCGAGATTGGTCTTACTGAAATTTACCATCGCTATAGAATAGACAAAATATTACAGGATTCTATAATAAAAATATTTCTTGTATTATTCTTCCAGATGTCTCCCAATCTTTGCTACTCACTCTGAATGACTACACAAGATAAGCCCATCTTAAAGGTGAATATACAGAATTTTACAAGTCCACTACCTTCCCCTCTCTGATGAGCTATAAACTTTCGCCCCTATCTGAAAAATGAAACTTCTCCTGTTGAATGCGAGATTGGTCTTACTGAAATTTATCATCGCAATAGAATAGACAACATATTGTAGGATTCTATACTGAACGTATTTTTTTTGTTTGTTTGTTCTTCCAGATGTGTCCCAATCTTTGCTACTCACATTTGATGATTATACAAAATCGGCCCAACTCAAAGGTGAATATACAGAATTTACAGGTCCACTACTTTCCCCTCTCTGATGAGCTATAAACTTTCGCCCCTATCTGAAAAATGAAACTTCTCCTGTTGAATGCGAGATTGGTCTTACTGAATTCAATTTGTTATAACTAATTATTCATTTATATTTTCTGCAATCGACTAAAGTTTTCCTTCCTTATCTCTTGCAGCTCAAGTACGGATTGTCTACATGTTCAAGGTAAATATTTCTATACATTTAAACCCGATTCTGTTTTAAAATGATGTTAAAAAAAAACTGAATAATGTGGCATGATTTTCACATAACCGCAACACAAAATCCAATAGGTCCTACTGAATATAAAAACTATGCTAAAAGCTTATAAAGATTGTCCTGAGAAAGAATTAACCGACACGTTTTCTATTCATTTACAGTGGCCTGCCTCACCACGTAGAAACGTAATCGCAAAAGGTTTGTTTCATTTGTAAAGCACTTGTTATAGCTGATATTTATTTGACGACTTATCTTTCATTGACTGTATATAAATAAAAAATTAAATGAATAAAAACTCGAAATAAATGAACCCACAGAATAAAATTCCACTTGCGCATTTAACCCCAACAACGCAGAAGATTCTCTCTGAGCATTTTTTGCGGGAATCAGGTGACGTACAGAGTTGCCTAGAAAAAGCGCAACAACATTTTTTTATTGGGCATTGTTGACAAGGCTTAATTTGAATGACTTTGTTTGCCGTCAAAAGACCACCAATTCTAGTTACTGTCCCTTTATTTCTATCTGGTGTGCAGGTTTATTTTCGAATTGTGTTTGCACATTTCCTCTAGAATGAAAATATCAGGTATAAAAGACCAAACTCTAATATGCAACCCTGCGTTTCATTCCACATGTGGCAAACCTTGGTCCCCTTCGCGGGCAGTTATCGGTCTCCATATTGGAATTATCGAGCCCGTCATTGTGTGCGCATCTGTGTCTCACGCATTGTGTATGTATTCGCTGGCTTTTTTCAACGTGAGCAACGAGAGCTGGCTGTTGATTAATTGTGAAAAGAGCTTGTAAAATAGTAAAAACTACACGGATTTGTGATTGTTTCGGAACTTGCACGGTGCGGATAGCCACTGCTTGTACAGGTAAATAATCTGAAAGCAATAAGTTGTGCAAAAGGACATTTTTATCATTCGAGATTTTTCTACATGGCCGCGCAAAAGGGGTGCTTTTGCGTGACGCATGTGATCGGTTGTGTATGTATCTGCTGACGACCAGAGACGCCATGTTGAATTTTGTTTTGTATTTGATCACTTCTGTACCGAATTATATTGTCGCAAGGAAATTAACCTGCAATGACCAGATACATCAATGTTTTTTTAAGTTTTAAGATGTTTTAACGTCGATTGACTGACACGAAGTGTGGGAATTTTTGAGGTTATTTTCTGAAATTGAGTGACGACTTCGTAAACTAAAACATGAATAAAATGCAGTTGCACATGGTTGCATTTTGATGTGGTAATATAAAATTGGATTCAATAAATATAGCTTTGATCGCGATTCCAAGGTTCAGGGAGGTACGCCACCTAGATACGGAACTTTCCACGTTTAAACGCCGATTTTCAGTGTTGAAAAAGTAAGGTCTATCTTCGTCTCCCGCTCCTTTTGCATTTATTTATGGTTTACATAATTCATCGGTAATCTGTGCACTCGTTTACAAACGAACGTAAGCATACAGTACATGTATATTTACATATATGTATCTAAGTCCAGTCCCTCGCCGCCCACACTTGGTTCAGCCAGTGTGCCATTGCCATGTATTCCAGAGGAACGCCTGGAACCGAAATTGCCCAATATTCACGCACGCAAAGAACACACACACACACACACACACTTACACTTCTGACGGTGGCAGCGTCACTCACTCGGTTAGAATCAATGCTGTTTTGTGATCGCGAATTCGCACGCGCTGCCTGCATTATAAATCGTTTAAAAAAATTGTTTGCATGCACTGATAAAAGCTATTTTGTGTGCACATGCGCAATGCCTTTGGGCAGTGCAATTGTTTATTGTGGCTGGCGTCAGTGCTGAAAAGAAATCAAAGTGTAAAATGTTTTGTTGATGGCTGCTGGTGCATATGGTTCTGGCTCTTGTCGCCTGCCCTGCCTGCTTGTGTGTGAGCGTTTGTGTGCACTGCTGCGACTGGGAAAAAGGCGCAAAACCAAATCGCAACAATATCGTTCCTGTGATATTTTAAGTGTCGAAAAAAGTGCGTGGTAATTTATTTGATTTAATATGATGCATGCTACATGTCGATGATTGCCGGGGAATACGGTTTATTCCAGGTGTATATGTATGTATGTGTCCCCGGCGGACGGTGCTGCCAACCCACTGCAAGATTCATGCTGCAAACTCGGCAGCACGCTGCTTGTTATTCTGCACGTGGCTACGAGACTTTCCTTGGCTTAAAGTTGTTTAATTATATGTGTAATGCACCAGCCCGCTTTGGCCTAAACGCAATTACAGCATCGAAAGATGTGGCCACGCCACGCCACCGGGTAAATGTAAATGGAAGTTAAGATTCTGAATTGCGCTGTCAACTCATTTTAAAATGACAGGTCCTGCGAAACGTGATCGTGCATTGTATCAAAAAAGTGCTGCCCATTAATATACAGTCGATCGTTTCCTGGGGCGGGTACAATAGATTTAGTGAAAATAAATTATTTTCGTAGGACTAATGGACACACATTTTTGCTTGTAAATATTTTACAGCATGACTAGCAGCGAACTGCCGCCTATCATATTACAAGGCAAACAATTGATCAAATATCGCCACCTAAAACGAAAATATCCAGTGTCCAGGGAATTCCTAAATCGCAATTGGTGGAACGTGAAGCGCTTTATCATCTATGCCCTGACGCCACGCTGTGTCCTGCGGAACTACGCCTGGCGCAGGCGACGCAACAACCGTGTCGTTATCCGGAAACGCGTTCGCATCTGTCTCTTCGATCCGCGCCTCAAGCGGATGATCAAGAGGCGTAAGAAGAACATCAGAAAATGGTCATTTAGCATCGTAAACCATCACAAGAAAATGGGCCACATCGAGGAGCACGAGGAGACGGAGCTATACAACGTGTCCGAGCCGCTGCCACCCGAGGAGTTGTCCAAGAAAATGAAGCAACAACTGGAGCTGCTCAAGACTGGCAAACGGACTCTCTGCCTGATAGAAGACTCACACAAAAATGTCGAAATGCTCGAAGCCAAAGAGATCAGTCAGACTGCTGCCAAAATAGGATCGCATGCCGAAAGGATCGGCCAGGACAATGGTCAGAGCGAATGCGTTAAGCCAATGGACATCGCCCCCTCAAAGGAGACGGACGAGAAGACACCCACAAAGTCACCCGAATCAATGTTTTCCGGCCAGGAAGATGCTCCTACGCCAGCCACTCCCAGCAAAGAGAATACCAGCCAGACCAGTGCTTGCTCTAGTGCCGAAAAAGCTGACAAATCGGAGAAATCAGAGAAATCCGGTGGCAGCAAGTTTTTGGACATGCTGATCAATAAAGCGCGCGTCAAGACCTTCGCCCGGGAATCGAATTTACCTATTGAAAACTGTCCAGCGTCCATTCCTGCGTTTACAGCGGAAGAGGATGGCAGCGGCGACTTTGTCGGCTTCGATGAGAGCGTCCATCAGCCGGGAATGCTGCTCACTCCCATAGTGCCACAGAGCTGCAAGACGTTGGAGGGGAATTCGGCGTTCGTCAGCGAATCTCTCGATGCGTACATGCGCGAGCATCACATCAACGATGACAAGGAGAAACTCCTGGAGCCCATGGGTCACGACGGGCAGGTAACCTCACACAGTTTGCCGCCACCCATGGATATGCCAGCTGTTCCCGAGGCCCTGCAGCGGCTCCGCACGGTGGCCGAGCGTCGTTCGTACCTGCAGCGCTCCAAGAACCAAAAGATGGCCATCATTAACAACGAGGCCAACATTTACAGGGAGCTGCAGCGCAAGCAGCGCCAGCGGAAGGTCAAGATTGCGGCGATGCAGCACCTGCAGGCCTCCACCACTCAGATGCCTTTCACCCGCCAGGGCTGGCAGGCGGCCAGCTATGTGGCCACTGAAACGTCAAAGTATTATTATCAGGTGAGTTTTGAATGCCTTCCAGCTGTCCATTGACTGAAAAAACTCTATTTCCGATGCCGACAGGTGATCCAGGTGGACGGTAAGAGGGTTCGTCTGCCAGGTGCCCAAGGCAACAATCTGCAGCGGGAGAAGCGTCCTTACAAGAGCAAACTGACGCCCCAGGAGGCGGCCACAGTCTATTGCAACGACCTGTGCTTGGACGCAGCGATTCAACCCAAGCTGAATATTCTACCCACTACAGCGACGAATGCCATGCATCACAAGCGGCTCAATCAGTATCCAGTATCTGCCATCTTTCCACCCTGTCCGCTGTCGATGAAGCCGCTACAGAAGCCATTGGATGACGACACGGCAGCCCTTTTGCTGGCCGGCGGCAGCATGGCTGTGGTCAGCATGCCCACCGTCCAGCTGGAAGTAATGCCACAGCTGGGGCGGCCACTGGACGAGATTGCCAGGCGGTATCTGCAGCATATTCTGCCCCATCATGACATAACCAGAGAGTGGGCCGAGTTTAGTGTGTCGACGCTGCAGCAGCAGCCGCCTGTTTGCATGAAGGAGGCCGAGGAGCAGGCTTCCCAGACGGCAGCCGGTAGACGGAAGAGCTTCACCTTCGTTATTCCCTATACAAACGATCGAAATCACATCCTAGTGCGTCGCGTCGTTGATCGGTCTGAAAAGATGGATCCCAGCTTCTACCAGGAGCCACACAAGCTGCAAAAGTTCGGTTTCCGTAAGGCTCTACCCCAGGAGCCCGACGCCGATATGCTAGACTGTGCAAACATGATCAATGACATGATCAACACGGTGGCCATCAGCTGCAGCGAGAATAGCTTCATCACCGAGGATACTCTGACAATGGACGATCCCGCAGCGATAAGCAGCCCACCGAAGCCTGCCGTCGACCTGAGTCTCGTCAAGGAGGAAGATGACAAGTCCGTGGGGAATTGGAAGCGTCGTCCCACCAAGCAGAAGCGACTGGCCAATGAGTTGCGTCGTCTCAATGCCACCATCATAGATGCGGCCGCCAGGAATGCGGATGGTATGTGCTTTTTAAACCAATTCGAGGTCATAGTCAGGAATCCTTTAATCCTGCATTATTTTTGCAGCCAAAAAGCCTTGCATCAAGGAACACTGCCAGCTGGGCTGCCTTTGTGCCAGTCTGAGCGGAGCCGAGCTGCCGATGCGGGACCATTGCGGACGCGCCGACTGCGTAATCGAGTGTCATTGCCTGGGCGGCGAACAGTCCCGAGTGATGCGAGTGAAAACGGCCGATGTAAGCTCTCATTGGAACCCCGCTCTTTTCGGGTCAGACTTATTCGTTTTGTGTGTTTTTGCTTATTTAGGGGCGAAGCATCTCCAACGAGGATGCGTTCAATTTGCGACGCAAGGCCACTGCTCGACTGGCCAAAATGGAGAAGGATTTCACCTCGACACTGGTGCTCACGGATAACGAAACGCTGCTGATAAACGAGTCGCAGGGCGATAAGAAGCGACGCTGCACCAAGGCCCCCAAACGCTACGAAGACTTTGACGACTCGAACATGTTTGACGACGACGACGAAATAGTCTCGCCCTCCCGGATCACATCGAAGAGGAATGCTGTGACTGCGGCTGCCACGGCGGCAGCTGCTGCGGCGGCGGCTTCGGCGGCAGCTGCTGCTAGCGCTAAGAATGCCGCTGCCGCTCTCACCAAGAGCTGCACCGTGAAGGACACGGATCTGGCCAAGCTGAAGCATTGCCTTGTTTCGATCCGTCGCCTGCGCGATGTGGGCAACCTAGCACCCTTCTGCATGACTCATCAGCTTTACAAGTGCTTCTGTGGCGGCGAGGCCACCGAGGGAAAGCCCGTGATCATCGAGAAGGAGCAGTGGAACGCGACCGTATCCCATTACAACCCAGAGCTGGCCACCCGAGCGCACTATAGCTTTGAGCGACAACCGGAGGAGCAACAGCCTAAGAAGAGGGGAAGGAAAAAGCAAAACCCACCCGAGCTGGAGGTGGCTGAAAAGGAGGAGGCCACGGTACTGCCGGTGCCGCCTTTGCCGAAACTAGAAGGGATGCTGGTTACAAAGCCTAAAGTTGTTTTGCCCAAGTCCCCAAAGAATGTGCGTAAAGACGAGTGTACGCCGAAGGTAGCAGTATCTTCCGCATCTTCGACACCTTCCGCATCTCCCGCACCTTCCGCATCTTCTGCACCCTCCTCAAAACAACATCCTCGCATATCGTCTCCGCATGAACGTAGCGTTGAGCTGGACAACATTTACACCTACTACATTTCGCGTCCCTATCTCTGCCGTCGTGCCGTAGCCGTGCCCAGGCGTTCCTATACACGGCGGAATCGCTGTCGCATGGATATCACCCGCGATTACGTAACTGAGACGGAGACGACCGAGAAGCAGGAGCTGCTCAGGCGTCGCATTGATGGCGCCGTTTTCTTCTATCGCAAGGAGTTGGAAAAGCAGAGACGTCGACAGTTAATCCAGCAGGCTGAGAGCCAGGGCCGGGTCGAGGCCCCGGTCATCGTCGTGCGGGACGACTCGGATGAGAGCGAGCAGACAGGAAGCCGAAAGCGGAGTGTACCGTCGTCAGGCCGTCAGAATGCGCCACCTATGCCTCCCAGCAAACGCACCAAACTGCAATCAGACAGGGCTCCGATGGAGAGTGGCAAGCTTCATTTGGATATACAAGTGCCACGCATTTCAGCCTGCTACTCGCTGAATTCCGCCTCTGTGGACGTGCTAGGGGCTGGCATGAATACAGCGGCCGCTGCTGCCGTGGCTGCTAGTGGCATAGGGCCCACCCCGGCCGATGCGGACTCGCCCAACTTCCGCTCCTTCTACAACGAGGTGGTGAAGAACATGAACTCGCTGGTCAGCAAGAAGATGCAGGACATTGATTTGGCCCTGCAGCGCGAGAGCAAAATCATACCAGCACCCAACGAGGAGATTCTGTGCATCATCAAGTGGACCAACTTCCTGGCCGCTTACGAATGTAACTATGTGTACATTTGGATTGTACAAATGAAGACGTACACCTTCCTGGCGGCCACCACTACCAACCTGATGCCTGCAGTGTGCGGCGCCATCGCCATTGGGGACACCAGATTCGCTTCCGCCAACCCCGATACCCCTATGATGGCGCGCATGCTGATGGATAGCAAGCGAAACGAGTACACCAGCCGACTGGCCGTGGTGATGCAGGGCAGGCAGAGCTATTGGCTGGTCAAGGGCTTTTTGCGCCACATGCAGGGCAGCGCCTGCACTAAGCCGACGCCTCAGACGCATCCACTGCTCACCAAGAAGATAAACGTCCTCTGCTCGCTGCTGGTGAAGCAGCGCATTCGTGAACACCAGAAGAAGCCTGCTGCCCCTGATGCTCCGGCCATTACGATTGTGCCAGAGGAACAGACTCCATCTACATCTACACCTACATCTGCATCTCCATCTCCATCTGCATCTGCATCTGCATCTGTATCTGTGGCTGCTTCAGAAGCTGATCTAAGACCAGCAGCCTCCTCCAATCAGGCCCTCACAAAGGCAAACGCTTCCAACATCCGCACGAATATCGAGTTCCGCAAGGTCACCCGCAACGATGTGGATGAACTGGATATACCCGAAAGTTACCAGGGTGACCATCGTTGGGTGGTGCTGGATCTTGTCGATGACTTCTCGCACATCTTTGTGCCCGCCTTCGGGGAGATGATATCGCTGGACAGGATACACAAGGTGATGCGGGTGGCCCGTGATAAGAATAAACTGGTGAAGCTTCAGTTCTTCCACCAGGCCCCATACGATGCATTCGTAACGGCCGCCTCTCGAAAGAAGATCTACTTCGGGCCGCTGCGGCTAGATATGTCGCCACCCGTTCTGGTGCTGCTGCAGAGCGTCGATGGCAAGATGATGCTGCGAGAGGTCTACCAGAGAGAGCATTCCATTCCCGTTCAGCCCCACCACCGGAGCATGGCCTTTTGGGTGCTCAAAGTTCAGGGACAGCTGCACTTTGAGATCGATATGGAGGATCAGAAGACTCTTACTGATTCCAATGCCCCGCAGATCCCTCTGCCATCCGCTGGGAACCTAGTTCCGGTTCCGTTTCCTGGCAATCCCAGCGAACAGTTGGTGCCCGCCAACGATTTGCCGGTTGTCATCATCGACAGCGACGACGAAGATGAAGAAGTGTCGGAGAAACATGTAAAAAAAAAGGACCAGTGTGCGAACGAGAAGCCAATGGAGACGGTGACAGATCTTGAGCCGGTGGTGGAACCTCTCCCACTGTCCGATCCGGAGAGAGTGCAGGCGCTACCGCGCATGAACTTTACCATTCAAACAATTCCCAGCAGTGGGGCCCTGCATATCACCCCAGACACCGCCACTCCAGATGCTGCCCCAGAATCCTCCCTTCCAGACAGTACCGCGACCAACTGGCAGCTGACTGGCTCCTTTGTACCCTTCATAGCCAATGTGCCGGCGATTGGGGTTCAGGCGCCCACCACCCAGTTCCTCACACCCCAGGTCCAACTCACCCAAACAGTAGCCGGCGCCGCCCCCGAGCCAAGTCCATCCAATGTTACTTCCTTGGACCCGCCGGCTCCTAAGATGGGACGCTTCAGTTTTGGCGCCAGGATCAACGAATCGCTGCAAGAGCTACTGAGCAGCGGCACCCCGACAGCCCCAGCCACAGCAACAGCCACAGCCCTGCCTGCCAGCATAACCGTCACCAAAATGGATGGCAATGAATCCAAAGCAACTTCCAAATCACTAGGCAAGGGCTGTGAAGCCATCAAGATTGGCACCAAGCGTAGTGTCTCTGGGGGGCCTAGACATTTGCCAAGACTATTACCTAAACCGACTCCCGCGTCTACAGAGAAGCCACGCGCAGCCACACCTACAGCGTGTACATCCAAGGCTGGGCCCACCATTATCCAGCAGTCGGCAACTACCTTCTCCATAGGTAATCATCAGCCGATACGACCACGTCCTACACCGCCAGTAGGACCCGCCACCGCAAGGGCGGGCACCTGTGTGAGGTTGTACCCCTCCAGGGTAGGACCGTCCACCGCCAACAAAGGAGCACGAGCGGTAAAAGACCCACCGCCGGAAACGGCTCCGATTTCTGCGGCTGCTGGGGAGGTGGAACCGGCAAAGAAGGCAAACCCACCGTACGTCCGTGCCACTCCTGGTCGGATGGTCGCCCGCGTCTCTTTGCCTGGCCAACCGTCTGCTGCCGCGGAGCAGGCCCGCTCGCGGCCATCCCTGCCAGCCAAAATACCGACGGCGCAAAGTGCGACTCAAACGGAAGGGGTGGCGACAAAGTGTACATATGGCTATATGGTGTCTAATGGACTGCCAAGCTATCGCACCAAGCTGTCGGGCGACGATTTCTTTCTAAAGATGCCACATGTGGGAATTCTGCGCTTCGCGAATCGCGTGACTGCTGGCGCCTACCTCAATCGGTGAGTAGCACAGGAAAGTCCACGTAAATCACACAATTTCAATATTCGATTCCCTCTTGAAGCGAACTCATGCGGAAGACGGAATGCAGGTCCATGCTGCCAGCCGACTGGAAGTTCCGGCCGGACCCACAGTCGATTGTGAGGCAACAGACGACAACCGCGAAAGGGCCAGCAAAGGATCAAGAGCCACCGGCCGCCATTGAAATCGAAGATTGATCCCAAAAATAGGAAAAGAAAAAACCACTGCTGTCGTCTCATTACATGAACAAAAACACTTTTTGTTTAGTTTTAAGAACTATGTATATGCTATATACTGCACATACTTTACCAATCACGCTCATCATCGTATCGTATGTCTGTCTGATACATATGAAATATGTAAACTATCTAGTTTGTAACTTAAGTTGATCATGATCCAATGTTTTTTATCTCTAAGCTATTTTTTTATTTACATAAGTTTAAGTTTATAAAAATGTGGATTTAAATTCATTTCGTTCGACCGCTGGCCAGCTGTTTCTTTGTTCCAGTTCCACTTGGCTTCAGCTATCTGAAAGTTGGTTGCAGAACTATTTATATATATTAGATTGTGTGCTTTCTTTCTTTGGAAAGCAAATGTTTCCAACTAAACTATTTCACACAGTTCGTTGTTTTTTCAATTCAAATTGATTTGTTTTCAGGCCCTTCACAGCTGTTGCTTGGATTTCGATAAGTTAGTTTCAGTTCCACAGCGTTCCAGAAATTGCTGCAATCAACAGCTGTTCGTAGTTTTTATTGCAAAAACCGCGCGACGCGAGTACAAGTTAAATAAGCTGATTGTTTACACAGCGTTGTTCCGCATTGTTTTTGCTCATATGATATATAAATAAAAAGCTTGTCATATTAAAGCTTCGATAGTCAGCTGATAAGCGCCCACGCATTCATTCGTACTGGTATAGGGGGGAAATTGGAGGCGGCAAAGCAAAGCAATTGAATTGTCAAATTTAAAAAAAACCACAACCAAGGTCAGCCACACATAATATAGAACGACCAACGCGCAACCACATTCACATAATCGTATTTGCTGACATACATAAGTGCAGGGGAAGCAAAAATATCGGGATATAGGCGACGGCACTAATTCGCTTAACCACTATAACATTTGCAGATACTGCTGAATCGAAAGCTCCCTTCCCCAGCGAATTTCCATCGGTGCAGTCAGCGACAATTTTTCCATATCAACGTTCGCGCCGTTAAAACGCAGACGTCTTTCTGTTTGTGTCCGAGAAAACTAACATGGGCTGTGAGGAGAAGCAAGAAACCACCAAGCCAAGCCTGCGCATCCAGGACATTCCGGTGCTGATGCAGGACCACTGTCGCATGCTAGATCCCTCCAAGGTGGAGCGCATCATCAATGAGTTCGTACAGGGCGGCCCGGAGCGCATGCAACTTGTGTCGGACTTTGACTATACAATCACCAAACAGCGAACTGAGGACGGCAGTGTGGTGCCCTCCAGTTTTGGGATCTTCAACGCCTGCCAGTCGCTGCCCGATAGCTTCAAAACGGAGTCGGACAAACTATACCATAAGTACAGGCCAATTGAGATCGATCCGCACATGCCCATCCCCGAGAAGGTTCAGTACATGGTCGAATGGTGGACCAAGTCTGGTGCGCTGGCCACCGGCTTCCCCTTCGATCAATCAGAAATAGATCAGATTGCCAGCAAGTATAAAAACGCGCTACGTGACCGTACTCATGAGTTTTTTGCCGATCTACAGCGCTTGGGCATTCCTACATTGGTTTTCTCCGCCGGACTGGGCAACTCTGTGGTCTCCTTGTTGCGCCAGGCAAATGTGATGCATCCCAATGTAAAGGTGGTGTCGAATTTCCTGCAATTTCGCAATGGACTTTTGGACGGCTTCCAGCAGCCCATGATACACACCTTCAACAAGAACGAAACTGTCCTGGACGGCAGTGAGTATTACAACCTGGTCCACACACGCGACCACATCATCGTGATGGGGGATTCCCTAGGAGACGCTGACATGGCCTCCGGCGTTCCGGCCTCTTCGCATATCATAAAAATTGGTTTCCTTTTCGAACATGTGGAGGCCAATATGGATAAGTACATGAAGACATTTGATATCGTCTTGGTGGATGATCAAACAATGGATGTGCCCCGGGCCTTGCTCGCTCTCATCGAAAAGCAGCACCAGCTGAAGCAGCAGGCCACAACGCAGAGCACCCTTTGAAACCTCGGACAAAAATACGTAGTCCGTTTGTATCGTACTCAAAAAACGTTCCTGCTTTCTCATTAGCAGGAATAAGTGTTAAATTGTATTAGCAAACACAAACACACAGCAGAAGCTACTAATTAAGTGGTTTAGATTTAACCATTTCATCCATTCTAACAGAAATTCACACCATATTAAATGACAACGTTGTGCTACAAAATTATTTATTCAATTTTATTTAGTATATATTTAAAAAAAAAAACGAAATATTTCAGGTCTGTTAACACAGCATCGTTAACAGTCGCCATTAACAGACGCTTAGAGATGGTCCACTGCCAGTTTGGTTTAACTTAGAGGTGGACAGCTGACGACAAGATAGCTGGAATGATATCGACATCTATGCCAGAAAAATACATACGAAAACTTGCAATTAGATATTTTATTTTATGCATTTAAATTTGATAGGTAGCTCAGTTGTTCAAGTGAAGATTATAGAGCAAGGCCCTCTGCCACAGTGCCTTTTTTGCAAACTGTTTCGTGTTGCGTCTATTTTTGAAAGTGTGAATAATGTCCTAGGAAGGTGGTGCGAGGTAGTAAAGAGAACGAGATCAGCTGCTGGCAACCACAATAACAACAACAACAGGAACGTAATAGAAACAAGACGGAACAACTTCAATATTAAACCAAGACAAGTGCAGCGTCATGTTTGGATTCGATGGCGAGTACCGTCGTCGTCCGGTGCAAAGTCTTGGTGGCGCTTCGCATACACACGACCGGGAGACTGTGATTCGAAAAGCAGCCGAGGAGCGACAGAAACGCAATGAGCTGCGCCAGAAGGCCAACGGCGCCGTGGTGCTGCAGTCCTATGCCCGTTCTTTCATTCATCGCCAGCGTCTCAAAAGGGCGGAGCGTGAGGCCTTTGACGTATACCTCCAGGTTCATCGCCACCGCCTGACGGAGGATGAGAGTCTTAATTTTCTGTTGCGTCGCCTGAACTTCTTCTACAGTAGTCGCGAAGCCAAGGACGGCGAACGTTTGGTATGATCTCGTAAAACTTTCAATTACATATTCCACTCGCTAGCCGGGTTATGCTTTGCTTTTCCAGATTGAAGTCTGTCAACAAATCCTGCGTAGCCCTGGCCGCCTATTGCAGCATTCAGCCTCGGATCCGATATGGCTGTTTCGTGTATGCAAGCTCCTAGACGCTTGCCTGCTCCAGCTGACACTCTCCCAGGTTCCCCAGGCCATTCCCCTGCGAATGCTGGAAACCTTCACAACCGTCACCTCCGTGGAACGCTATGTGAACGATGAGACATTGCTGTTCAAATATTTGGAGCGTGTGTTTGGGTTCCTAATCGCACGCAACTACTTCCTTCGCTTGCGCAGGCTGCTGGATGAAAAATGCCCGCCGCTGGATGGGGAAACGCTGCATGCCCCCAGTCCGCAGGCCGATGCCCTACTCCATTTGCTGCTGCGTCCGTTGGCAGTGGCCAAACGAGCCTGTAATGGGGGCCAAGTATTGCCCGTGTCATTGCTCGTGTGCCAGAATTTCATAAAGGATATCCTGGCCACGCCCCACACGGATGCCATACGTTCTTTCGTACTCCCCTGCCTGGCAGAATGTCCAGAGTTCCCCTTCGATCTGCTGATGCGCTCGCTCATCGATCTCCTGGAAACAGCAGCGGTGACTGCGACATCGGAGTCAGATAGTGCCTCCAGTCGGCGCAGCTTCTTGTTCCATGGAGCAGACACGGGCAGCGGCGGCGCTAAGCAAACCGTGGCCCAACCAATGGATGCCTTGTTTACCTCATTCTTACTTAGCTCTCTCTTGGTGCTCGACCGCAGGCAGCTGGGTAGGTCGCTACAAAAATATTGTATTTGAGTACCCGGATCAAATATCCATCATAAATTGTCTTGTGTCTGCAGCCACATTGCAGCAGAGTTCACTGCTCACTGTCTACGTGCGAATCATAGCCGAAATGATGCCCAACATTCTGCTCCTTCCCAAGTCCACTCTACGAACGCATGCCAATGCCCCGCATCGGCATGTGGACAGCGACAATGAATCGGATGAGGAGGAAGAGGAGGACCAGCCAGTCGCTCACACACTAGACTACGATATGGAACAGACATGCCGCACGAGCGCGGAACTAAGCAGCAAGGAGCGTGACTGTCTGCTGGAGTCTATAGCCACACTGAACGAAACGGAGCGCGTGGATTTTATTGTCCAGCAACTTGATCCTCATATCGAGCACAGCCAACTGATCTACGCCCTCTGCGAGATCTGCCACAACCTAATGATCTACAACAAACACGCAGTCTTCGAATATAAGTGAGAATATGGTCAATAGTGGCATTCAGTTAAGTAAACTTTCGCACTTGCAGGCTGCTCTACACTCTGGCCTTCACTCCGAAGTTTATACGCGCCGTATGGTTCAAGCTGGCCGCCGAATCCACACAGCTGGGCTTCTCAGCACCGCTTACCCTCATTTCCAAGGGGGTTGTGCGTAAGTGTTCTTTAAAATGAAAGACTAAGCTTCTTTGGTTCCATTACAAATTGCCATTTCTTTCGCATTTCCACAGCGAAGCAGCAAGGAGTGGATCGCACCATTCCACTGTTGGCCACGTTTTGTATGCTCTTTGGACGTCTGCTGCCCACTCTGCACGATGTAGAGTTTGTGGAGAACAAGCTGATGCCGACGACGCACGTTCGACTGATGCCATTCTCTATTGCGGAGATTGTGCAAATGTCGAAGACGCTCAAGGACATTAGTCTGGGCCTCGTGGAGCTGGCCTTTCCAGAAACGCGCAGCAATTTGGCCAACTATCGCAGCGTGTTGGGCCACACAGAGGCCGATGACAAAAAGCTGCGTCATCAGAAGCAGATCTGGGCCAATCTGCTCAATGTTGTGGTCTTTGTGCTCAACCAGATACACACGCGTGACCTACGCATGGGCTTCTGTCCGGAGTCGCACTGGACTGTCAGCCGATTGGACCTGCCGCTCGACAGGCCAACCGATCTTCCCCTGACTCATAGCAGCCGTTTGCGCGGCATTCGTCCCTTTCAACCGATCCGGGACTTTACACGCGAAGACTTCGAGAACGGTCCGCCCATGTCCACCAAGCAGATACGCTCAATAACCATTCTGCGCGAGATACCATTTGTGGTGGCCTTCAGCAAGCGTGTGAGCATTCTTCAAGGTCTGGTGGCAGCCAACAAGATGCGAGTACAGGGCCATTTGCAAGCCTTCCTCCAGGGTCCCTCCATTATGATCACTGTCCGGCGGACGCATCTATATGAAGATGCCTACGACAAGCTGCGCCCGGAGAATGGTATGCTCTCCCCTCCTATTCCATAATGTTTGATATTAATGAAATGATCTTTCTTACAGAGCCGGATCTACGTCCGAAATTCCGCATACAGTTTGTCTCTTCGCTGGGTTTGGATGAGGCGGGCATTGATGGCGGCGGAGTTTTTCGCGAATTCCTATCAGAGCTTATCAAATCTGCATTCGATCCCAATCGGGGTTTTTTCATGTGAGGACATTACTTATACCCAAGGGGGAAATCCCTTTATTCATTATATTGGCATTACCAGGGTAACCACGGACAACAAGCTTTATCCGAATCCGAATGTGGCGGATCTTTTTGGCGACTTTGAGAAGCATTACTATTTCATTGGTCGCATTCTGGGCAAGGCGATATACGAGAATCTGCTCGTGGAGCTGCCGCTGGCTGAGTTCTTCCTGACAAAACTGGCTGGCAAATACTCGGATGTGGACATACATCAGTTGGCCTCGCTGGATCCGGAACTATATCGCAATCTGTTGTACTTAAAAGACTATACGGGGGATGTCAGTGAATTGAATTTGGATTTCACCGTGGCCAGCAGCTCTCTGGGACAGACACAGATTGTCGAGCTGAAGCCGCAGGGCCAGAGCACTCCGGTGACCAACTCGAATCGCATTGAGTATATCCAGCTGATAGCCGACTATAAGCTCAATGTCCAGATACGTCGCCACTGCAATGCCTTCCGCAAGGGTCTGTCCAATGTCCTGCCCATCGAATGGCTGTACATGTTCAGCAACAAGGAGCTGCAAATACTCATCTCTGGTGCTGAGATTCCGATCGATCTGGAGGATCTCAAGAAGCACTGCAAGTACGGCGGCGAATACACGCCGGAGCATCCCTCGATTGTGGCCTTCTGGGAGGCATTAGAGGGCTTCGATGACCTGCAGCGCAGGCAGCTGCTAAAGTTCGTTACCAGCTGTTCTAGGCCACCGTTGTTGGGTTTTAAGGTTTGACCACTAGATGGAATTTCATTTGAACCTGTTTTATCTTATATTAAATATCGTTTGCAGGACCTGGATCCTCCATTCTTCATACAAAATGCTGGAGATATGGAGCGCTTGCCTACGGCCAGCACCTGCACCAATCTGCTGAAGTTGCCGCCATTTAATACTGTGGAACAAATGCGCGAAAAGCTGCTCTATGCCATACAGTCCGGTGTGGGATTCGAGCTCAGCTAATCTGCCTCCCACCTATACACCCACAGTACCACTCTCCCTTGAACAGGGTACACATATCCCCATACCCGGAAAACACGACTCCAATCCAAGGGACCCACCAGGCACACTGGTACATAGGCAGGCGATGTAGGCGGTGCAGACAGTGCATCTATTCCAGTTCTTCATAGTAAATATATATGTATATGTATAATGACTTACCTAAATACGACGTGTAAAGAATGAAGCTTTTGAGGTCTGTTTAGCAAGGTTTTTCTTTTGATTATTTTTAGTTTAGATTTTGTTTTCCCCATAACAAGCTATGAGTGTAACAAACTATAATGAATATTTCCACGACTAAGACGATTAAACCTATTGATAAAATAGATTAAAAGTATCATTGCTGTCCCTCTACCACTGTAATTCATCATCATCACCATCATCTACCCTGGAGTGCTACTGCTGCTGCTGTTGCATCCAGTTGCCAGGCCTGTTGAATGATGCGCTCATAAACCAATTGCGAGGCAGTGACGGCAAACAGAAAGTCAATGTGATTGTAGCCTGGAACCTGATACAGCCGCGTACGGCTCTGGCGCAGCTCGTTAACCAGTCGCTGTACATCCGCCTGACTGGACAAGGCATCGCGAGTACCATGAAAGATCTGCAGCTGGAGGCGAACATTCCTCAACCGATATGAGGGGGGCGTGGGCTGGCCATATCGCAGGCTGTTCAGCCTTGGCGAACGATAGTCGTATTGCTGGAATTTGCCTGCGGATGAAACGGAGAGAGACATCAGCAGGATGGAGAAGGATTACCTTCCCCACTCGCATCAGGCATATGTCATCTCTCCGACTTACCGCTATTGATGAGCTGCCCGAAGTGCTGCAACTGGCCACGCGAGATGCCCGCCGGAATCGTCTCCAGGATGCGTGGCAAGAGGCTCTGTGAAAGGCAAAAGCCAAAGCAGAGGCAAGCATGAAGCCATATTGTTAGGCTTAAACTTCCAAAACGTTTAAATTGTATGATATGAAGCCGGATATACGACCTCTCGACCATTCATGTGTGTGTCGGCCGGCGTATCGGTGTGTGTTCAGGCTGCTATTTCCGTTTCATTGCGACACAAAGCATACGGAAGTCCACACAAGCACACACACATACACACATACACACAAACACACATGAGCAAACACTGAAGCGAGGTCGCAGGCCAAAGGCTAGGAGGTCCGTTCGCTTTGATGGCTGCTCTGACCGTTGCTTGGAATTTTTATTATTTGTTTAGAAATTAGCTGCTTATTTGTTGATCAGCTTTTGATTAAGGAAAATGCAAAGGAATTTTCCATTTAAAATTGAAACTCATTAAGATTGATTTGGGGTGGATAAATTAAACTAAGAGCAAGAGTCGGAAGATTAAAAAGCTTCCATTAATATTGTTATTAAGAGAGTCGGACATAGATTCTCATTCTGCTTATCTTTCGTACAATTTTTCTTAAATTACACTTGCAGAATTCCACAATTGATTAATTGATTTTTATTCTACGCATTTATTTGACAAGACATCTCCGCCTAGTTTTTCTATTCCCCAAAAACACTGAATAAACATCTTGCCAATTTTTCCTTTGATACTATTAAACTCTATCGAAAAAGTTTAATTTAAAACGAAAAAATCGCTGCTTGATTGAATACGAATGGGATATTCATTTGGAATATCCGCAAAAACTTGGTCACTTTTTGTGGATGTCGACTGCATGTTTGTGGCATTCTTTTTCCATGCCGCAACGACTCTTGAATGGAGTTTTTAACTGTAGTATTTTATGTAAATCCAGCGACTTTAAATTTCCATGACAAGCCATTGAAACGTTGCATGCGTCGTGGGGCGTCGTGTGGAGTAGTGTCGCGTCCTGTCGTCGCGCGTCTCCTTGCCCGTTGAGTGTCGCTCTGCGTCCTGCGGCGACATATTTTTTGTTTTTGTTTTTTTGTTGCTATTTTGATGTTTATTTGATTTTCCGCCTGGCCGTTGCATTTCCACACGACAGTTGTTGTTATTTTTGTTGCAACCAGCTTGCAACTTGTGGCAAATACGAGCAATTTTTGTGCCGCCAGCTTGTTTGTGTTTCCAGAGTGTTTCTTTGCCCCTTCCCCATGATTATTCGCTTGCGTTTTTCTGTACATTCTTTATTCCCTCTCGAATCTTACTCGACGCATTGCAGCATTGCTGTTGGCCAAGTCTGTTGAACTCCATGCGGGCCCCGGCTTGAGGGGCAGCCCGCTCCTACTAAATATGCACAAATATTTATTCGGACGTCTATCTGTATGGTGTGGCATGTTCGACAGTTGTCGCAAGTATCGCCATCGCCATCGCCATCGCCTCGCTCCATTTGCTCAACTCTGAGCGTCTTTGCTCCCTATTTGCTTAGCCATATATTCTCCTTTTATTTTTATTTTTTTTACTGGTTGCAGTGACTAGTTTGTTGACTTTTTTATGGAAGCCATGACGATCCGACAGATATGGCACGCGGTTGCACTTAGTGATTCCTGTGTCAAGTGGCAGTTGCTGCCAAATTGCTGTTGACTTGCCTCCGTTTGGCGCTCCGAAGTTTCGGCGTTGAAGTTTCAAATTGACAAACTTATTCATGTACAGGGAAACTGGTTTTCTTTTGGTTCTTCCCTGGGAGGAAGAGTCATCAATTGAAGGGATTCGCTTGGAATTGGTATTGAAATAAAATACAATATTCTGAAATTCCTGCGATAAAACTTTCTTTGATTTGAAGCTATTAAGACTCTCAGAAATCGGACAAATCGTATTTATTTATAATAAATTGATTGCGTTTCCATTGTTGCATATTTCATGAACGATCAATTTTTTATGTTGTACTTTTTGAGGGCAGTGTTTTGTTTAAGTTATACTGTGTTTTATTCATCGTTTTAAATGCTTGTTTATGGCTGCATATGGAAAGAGTCTTTAGAGTTATATTCCCCAACAGTTTCCAACCATTTTTTCACTGTCTCTTGGCAACTATAAAAAGTGAACATCCGGCTTCGGCAGCATTGGCGTGGCCCAAAAACCAATTGGCCCAAGCCCTTACCCTAATAACTAACAAGCGGCACTTGGCGTCCGTCCGGAGCATGCCACATACACCAGGCACACTCCAACAGACTCACTCCAGTCGGATAGGTAAGCCTTTTAAGCACGCGCCCCCGTAACATGGCGAACACACAGATAAGCCATAAAGTTTTTTCTTTCGTTGCACGGGCGCGATTTATTCGCCATATTTCACAGCAAAACAAAATTCAAATGTACCGAGTGTACCATTCGCATGCCAGAGGGAAACAAAAAGTGTTTAAGGCAGCGTGCCGTATACGTAATGTATGTTATACTCTAGTTAGCCTCGCCAGCGGAACAGGCGGTGGGGAACTGTGCGTGTGTGTGTATTCCTGGAAAGGGTTATAGTTCGGTTGGGCAGTGGAAAAGTTTAGCGTACCTTTTGGCTGCACATTATAGGAGATATACAAAAGGTTGAAGTGCCGTCGAGTCTATATGCAGATGCTCTGAATGGTTAATGATGTGATTATTTAATAAAGATATATACATATATGTATATATATATATATATATACAGATATATATGGATTAAATCTGTTCATCCAATTGAATGTCTGACGGACCTTCTCACAGTTCTCGATTGTTTGGATATTTACAGTCCAAAGGTTATAAACTTTAAGCCCATACCGATATACCCATCTGCACTCTTCCTATCCACAATAGTTCTGACCTAACTTCCAACCAGGAAGCTGAGACCCGGTAGGAGCAGCTCGTTTACGCATTTAAATTCAAATAACTTTTATTACCAAAACTAAGGCTTCTCCCCCAACTTCCAACCTTCCACTTCCGCTCTTTTTCTCTTTCTCTCTGTCTGTATGTGTGTATTTGCCTGTATGTGTGTGTGTGTGTGTGGCAGCATGGGGTTTTGGTTCAGTCCCACTCCTGAGTGCAATAAAAACTTTTGCATACAACAAGAAAAAAGTTTTGGGGCCGCTTTGTTGGCTAAATTATGGCCCGCATATATAATCGTACTCACACGATCCACTGGATAGTCGCTGAAGCCCACATAGAGGGAGGTGAAGAGCGTGCAGAGGGTGTAGGTGGGCAGGGTGGCACTGCAGAAGAACTGCCCCCCCCTGGGTCAGCGCCGTGGCGGACAGCAGCTCGTTGAGGCCCAGCTTGTTGAGTAGCATCTGTAAGGGGGGAGGGGTTCGGATTCTAGGATCACATTCTGGTGATGTGTCCGCTCATCAAGTATATACGCACGGTGACCCCAGAACTGTCGCTGGCCAGCAAACGCAGCGGCGGACTACTCAGGTGCTTGAGAAAGGCCACGGGAGCCATTAGGGCCGCATTGGCAAACTTCGAATTGTACTCGGGACGCTGCGACAGGAGCACCAGCAGCACAGTGGTTCCCTGCGAGTGACCCACATAGTGTACCTGCCGGTGGCCTGTCATTACCAGTACACGGTCCACGATGGCGGGCAGGTCGTAGAGGCCAATCTCGTGCCAGCTGAACTGCCAGAACCGCGCCTGACTCGTCTGCAGAGTGCGGTGCCGACGGGAGTGCGTTGTTCCCCGGGCATTTGGCAGCCAGACGTCAAACCATCGCCTGTGCAACTCCACTGCCAGAGCCTGGCCCCGTCCCGCAGTCACGAAGTCTGCGGCCGAGCCGAGGAGTCCGTGCATCAGCACAAAGGGCCGCAGCCTGGCCCTGGTCTCACGGGGGCAGCTCTGGTTGCGAGGCGCGGGAATGCGATGAAGACTCAAGAGATACCCGTCGGCGGTCTGCACGCGATGCACTTGACACTCGAGGCGATGTAGCTGCGCCATCTGGCAGACGGAGTCGATCAGGCCCTGCCCGAGACTGACACTCCGCAGAAAGCTGCTGCTGATCAGCAGAAAGACTACGCAAAGTTTCATGTCGAGCATGGTTATAGCCAAGTGACGTTCGAGCGGCTACTGTGGCAGTCAGTGCATTTGTTGACTGGTTTTGTGTGCGTCTCTCTGGCAAACGTCGCGTATACGCAATGCAAATACTGAATGAGTGACTGAGAATGGCGGTGGAGAGAGGGGGTTTGCTTTAAATAAATACATTTACATCTTTTGTTTGCCCGTTGACAAGCCATTGAGGGGATCATACGGGGCGTGAGTCGGGGCAGAGGAGGATGGCCTAGAAAAGATGAACAGAACTCTCCCGCATTTCAAGCTCTTAATTCGGATTTAAATATTCCAGTCATTCATTGGCTCTTTATTCTCTGAATACTTTGCATTTTTCTGCACCATTTAAAGGATTTTGTAATCCTCCCAATTAATGTGTTATTATATTGGATGGTAATCAGTCCCCTAAGAGAGCCCCCAAGTCCTCCCATTCATTCTGGATGCACTAATTAGCAGAATTAATTTACAGTCCAATTTCGGGCTGATTTGCCTTGCTGCAGTGAAACGCACTGAAGTGCACCAGGCCGCAGTTGGACCATGCCCACTCGTATACATAGGTATGCGTATAATGAACGCCTGTCTGACTGACTGAGTGATTGAATGACTGTGGACAGCAGTAGCAGCAGCAGAACAGCAGATGTTGGGGCTGCCTATGTGATTTACCATTTGAATTGTCTGAACGTGTTGAAAATGCAATCGTGCTAATTAAAATGACCGCGGGGCGAGAGCGTGTGAAATTATTACACATCCATAGATGTGACGTACACCCCAATGATAGAGGTCGAAATCGGTTGAGTGGATGCCGGCCCGGCTGGATGGCAGACAATAATTGAGTGTGGTTCCCCCAGTCAGAGGTGGCAGGTCAAAATTAAAAGCCGTTTAACGAGTGAGATTATGTATCTTCTGTAATCGTACATATATGCTATGTCCCCCATAAATATTACCTTTATTTAGCTGCTCTTCTGACTCCTGGAGAGGATAGATACATACATTGAACCAATTCTTAATTTATAGAACCAACACTCTCACAACTCAAACTCAAAGTCCAAAAACCACTTAAATTCTCTCTCCTGCAGCCAGTGCTCTAATACTCAATCTCAACTTGACCTGAAACCAAAGAAACTTTTCAGAAGATTGCTGAAATGAATGCGCAACCCATCACATATTAACCATTTCCAACAGCGATTTGTGTACTCGCTTTCAGGAGACTTATGAAAATTCATTTTTGCCAAAATAAAAGAGGACAATTTTATGTAAATGGTGAAAGCGGGAAACCAAAAAAGAAAACTCTGAGCGGGAGCACTAAGGGCGAGGCGAAGACAACATTGCAAAGGCAGCTTCAAGTTAAGTAAATTTGATTCAAGGACACTTGACTTGGCGAGGAATCCTTTTGGCTACTTACCCAACCACCCCCATACCCCACACCACTTATCCTCCATTCCCCCTCTTCTACGTCCATCTGAAAAACGATTTTAATACTTTCCTCGCACAAAAGCTACTTAAAGTTTGCCTTTGCTCGAAGCTTAATTCGTTTTTTGTCAACAGCAAAGAAAACAACCAGCAAAAATAAGAATAAAAGTTTTATTTTTAAATTGAGTTAAGTTAATTTTTTTTCTGCCTTTGTTTTGGACAAGTTTTTTGTCTGGGGGGACTCGAACGTGGACTGAACGGAAGTTTGCGCTTTGGTTTGCCTAATAAATGTGCGTGCAAACAAAAGGGATAGATAGTCGTAGAGAGGGAGAGTGAGAGTGCGAGTGTGTTTCAGAGACAGTTGTTGCGACAGCCAAAAGGATAAAGGATAATGACAGCCATTAGTATTAAGTGCGCGTTGGCTACTTTGGAAGCTACTCCTTCGCCTTCGCCTCCGCGTCCTCCCATTTCATGTGGGTGACAGGCCAGGGCAGGGCGTTTTTCCTGCTTTCTTCTCTCCTTCTGGCCGCTCATTAAAGTTGTTAAGTACTTGGCGTAAATGTGGCTCTAGCACGAAGCGAGATGTAGCCAAGGAACTCCAAGGAGCCAACTCCAGAGGGATTGAGGCAGCACTATTAAACTTAATTTAAATGCGCCTCAAGCGCCTCCACTGAATTCGTAAACAGAACTACAGAACTTTCCCCTGCCTTAACTATCCAGCTTTAGTATATTACATTAATATTCCAGTTATGTCCACAAACAAGTCAATGAACTGAAACAACAGATTGCAACACAATATTTAACCGATCATTCACCTGTTTCGGTGCACAGAACAAAAGCCACTGGCAGCATCTAGTCAAAATTTCCCTGGAACAGACAGATTTTCGACCACAGCTCGAGCTCCCATTTCATTTCATTCTGTAACACAAAGGCATCAGCGAACAATTCACTCAAAAAAAAGTGACATAAGCCATGAGTACTAGTGTGAGTGGATGGGGCTGGTCTGGTTGGGAATGAATGTCTGTCATTTTCTCTCTTACATCTTTTAGTTTTTACCGGCTTTTGTGTACTCTTAAAAATGATAGATGGAATTCTTTATTTAAACCATATATTAGGCTATAAGTGCTGTTCTTTCCGACTCTTGGCACGATCTTAAAAATCTTTAATCATATAAAGCATTTGCAATATTAATGCACTGTAGAGTATATTGTGATCAACTTGTTTCATTTAATTCTCAGTGATTCTCGTTTGTTGCATGTTTTTGGTTTTTCTGGGATCCTTTATGACGTGCAACAAGCACGCCACATTTGCGCTCAATGGGCATGAGATAATGTCATCATCAACGTCGTCGTCGTCTTCATCATTCATCTTCCGTCTGACGCGACGGTTCTGGTCAGGTGAAATCCCTTGATGAGGGGAGGGGGCCAGACCCCAACGGGGGAGACCATAGTTCACGTCTGTTGTCCCTTCACTGGCATTTTGTTTTCAAGAAATTGCATTCGTTTAATGGGAATTGCATTTTTAATTAATTCTGCTTCTTTGCCCCCATAATGGATGTGGTACACAAGGGCAGACCATGGCAGGTGGGAAAAATTAAAGATGAAAAATAATAAGTGTAGGAAAATGAGAGATGAGAAAGGTAAAAAATTGTATGATAATTGATTGATTGATAAAGATATGTCCCAGTTATTAAATCATTAATCTTTTACACGGAGAGTAATCATCAATGATATCATTGGCGTGGGAAAAAACTCCAATTTGCTTGATAATAAATATATTTTATATTTCGAGTTTGGAGAATGTAGCTCCATAAAAATAGCAAAGATATTACAGCAATAATTATTCCAATGTTTAAAAGACATTTTGATTGATTAGAAAATCTGTTAGCTGTTGAAATATCAATTTACATATTCTATGGCAGCCAGGCAGAGCGTTTCGCAGAAAGACCACTTTTTTCTTTCCATATTTTTGCTGAATGCAATTAAATGTAGGTATATTCCCGCAATATTTTCCTCGTCCGCGGCGGCATAGGGATATATCAATCGAGATATATGTACGAGTATGACACAGTTCGATGGCCATTCCGAGCTTCCCTTCCCTTCCATCGAGTATGGTATTGGTTTTTTATTTTTATTGTATTTGCTTCACATTATTTCCATATTCATTTGATTTTTTATTTATGCGAAGCTGATGAGTCTTTTCACTTTTTTTAACGATTGACGTAGCCACATTTTATTTATTTTTTTTTTTTATTTGCATAAACTGTATAAAAGATTTTCGCTTTGATTTGATTTCACATCGTTGAAAATATATATTTTTCTCATTTATTTTCGCTGTCAAATATTTACAAAGAGTTTTCAATTGAGGAATAAATCTGACAAAAATACACCATTTAGTTGTAATATTTTTTTAAAATGGAAACGTAAATGTGATTGCGAGCAATTTATAAAAGTATATATCAATATTTTCCCTGACTGGTTTTTCTTTTTTCCAAAGCAATCTCAGTCGTCACGTTCCATCAAAAAAAAAAAAATAAGTAAAGAAAGTGAAGGAAACCCTGTTCCGCATATTAATTATTTATAATTATTGTTAATTTTCAAAGCATCCAACCAACCAAACAAACACAACACCAAAAAAAAAAATGTGGGACCAGCACGAAGAAAAACCACAAAGAGAACCTCAATTAAAATTCAAATTAGAACGCTTGGGAAATTTCCTTCTGGCTGGCGGCAAGAGTGCGAAAATTTAAAACCTCAGAGAAGGGCCCCCTCCCCTCTGGAAGCTCCCACCACCCCTGCAAAACTAACTGCCTAAAATGAAATATGAACCCCAGGCAGTGCTCCTGGAACACAAAAAGGACGATGGAGGCGGGGCGGTGGCTGAGGAAAAGCCAACTTCGTCAGCCATGGACTACTAATAAGAAATTTGTGAACTTTGCAAATTTGCCATCATTAATTCTGAGGCAGGGAGCTCAGTGGAGCAGGGAGCAGAGCGAAGCTGAGGGGCGCGGACTGGTTGGGAAAATTGTCGAACAAGAACATTTTTCATTTGTCGTTCTCGTCGTCGTCGTCATCGTCATCGTCCTTTTTGTCACTGTTGGCCCTCGTCATTGTATAATAATTGTCAAGCAATTTAAATCGAAGCTTGAGGCATAATAAATTGTCATATGGCAGGAGGCATGGACACGCCTGCACAGCAGCCTCCGCTTAACAGTCTCCGGACTTAACAGAAAAATAAGAAAAAAAAAATAGGGTAATGAGGAAACGGAAATTGCTGCCGGAAGTCGGAGCCCAGGCAGGAGACGGAAGCTCATTTTGCAATATTCACAGACGACTGATTTCGATTTCTAGCAGCGCCTTTTTCCCTGGGCTTACACCATGAATTGTAAATTGATTGAGGCGCCCCCTGCAATATTCGTTTGTCCGTTTCACATCCCGGTTATAGTCATCATTAATAATGGTGGCTGAGTGAAGGGGGTATGAAGAAAACTGATTAAAGGAAATACGTTTTGAACGTTGCTCTTTGAGCCGTGCCAAGTGTAACCTTTGGAGGATGCAACAAGATATAAGAAATGCAATGTTTCTAAGATGACCTTCTCTTCTGGCCTTCTGTTTCTTGCTGAATATTTTCCATTTGCACCTCAAGAATTTACCATTTCCATTTCTGGATTTGACTCAGTTCTCCTTGACGTTGGTTGCTCTAAAATTTTCCCCGCTTTAATGCTAGGCCATGCCTTTCTGAAGAGCCACCAAGGGCCTGAGCCGTTTGTCTGCCAAGGCAACAAAATGGTTGTGCGAAACGCTTCTGGTAAATGCTTCCATGTTGCCAAGTTCTCGTTTGTGAAGAGCTGTTCAAATAAGCACGAGCACGGGCAACGAGAGAGAGAAAGAGAGAGAGACAGCTAGAAGGTGGGCTAGGTGCCCGACAGGTACGGGGTCAGGGATATGCCCAGAGACATGGACAGGAGCAGGAGCTGGAGCTGGCTGACGTTAGTTTCATTGTTGACATTCGCTGGCAAAGGCAGGGTGGAGCGCCTGAGAGTAGCTGGAAAAAAGGCAACAAAAAGCAATTAACTTGGCTTACATCTTTGTTGAAAGTAGAGACTCATGGCGCGATTTATGCCACCGGCACAACGGCTGCCGGTGCAGGTGTGAGTGTGGGTATCGGTGCGAAGAAGTCGCTGCAAAGCAGCATTCTTCCCCTTGACTTGGCTAACGAAACAAGAGTGAAGCGTGAATCTCGCGCAATGGTAAAAGTTAATGGCTTGCCCCACTTCAGGGGTTAGATCTCCCTTTGATTCTCTGGCAAATTGTGAAGGCGTGGCACGTTCTACGCTGAAATAATATTGAATATTGTATCCAAGATGTCCCCCGTGAAGACAACTTTCAAGCTTTGAACTCACCCTTTTCTACTCCCTGTAAAATCATTTTCAAAAGCAGTAATAAGCGTTCACCGATTTGTTGTCAGCTTTCTTTCTTTATTTTCTATGTTTTGATTTTCAGTATTCGGTATAATCTCTGTATTTTGAGTTCTGCCTCATTGTCCACTCCACTCGGGAGCAGAACTACTCTCCGGTGGCCAAGTATTTACCTTGAATATACATTTCCACCGCAGACTCAAATTGCATTTGTTGGCGCGTTTTTTATTTGATTCATACTTTTGCATCAATGTCAACATTTCTGATTTAAATTTGCATTTTTATTTTCATTTTCCAATCGATTTCCCTTTGATTTGATTTATATTTTCGCAATTTTGTTTGTCTACCAATTTTATCGTCATACTCGTACATACATATTTCTGCTACAATCTATATGTGGGTTTCCACATCGCTTATTTAAATACAAGCTTAATGTTAATGAATTAATTTTAAGCCCTTTGCGATTTGCTCACGTATGTAGATGGCCTAATTGGTTTTTGGTTTTTCATGTATCTGCAGCTTACAAATGTTAAATATCAATTAGTTTTTTGTTTAATTTCTACAAAAGAAGCTCATTGCGTGTTCTTGCGTTTATAATATATTTCATTTTCATTTGGGGGGTTTCAGCTTTAAGCCAGGGTCTGTTCTGTTTTCTGTTTCGAGCTAAAGCGCAGAAATGCATGCTACACACAGAGAGGGACACACCACACAGAGCATAGTACTAGAGTCTAGAATCTATCCATATGCAATAAATATATAGAACAATAGAGTAATTCTCAGTTTCTCGGTGTATTTGCTAATCAAAATGGACTCAAATATTTGCACATAATGCATTGTTTAATATTCGTATTTCTATGTAAATGTTCTGGATGAATCTGGCAGGTACCTGACACGTAAATATCAATTAGATGAGGATTGAAGTGGCGGGAGCGTCGGAGTGTCTGAAGCAAAAATTATGGGATATCCATGGGGGGATTTTAAGAAGAGTTTTTTCCCCATTTGTCGCTTGCGTGTAAAGCGCCTAAAAGCGAGCTATGCAAACTACAGCAAAAATGTTATTGTATATGGAATACAATTATATATAAATACACACATATACACATATACATATACATATATAGTTCTCGCAAAAAGGTTCAGCCTACACACATACAATATATAGATTTCATAAACTCTAGTTGTAAATATTCGACTTTTAAACTATGTATTCCTTAAACTACATACAGTTTTTTGGTTTTTAATTAGCTTTGGTTTTCGTTTATTTGTTTTTAACACTTAGGGTTCTTTGGCAACTGGAGCTTTGGCCTTGCCAATTGTTCTCTTGGCAATTTGTGCGCCAAAAGACTCCAATTATTGGACGAATTGTTGATATACGTTGCGTATTATGCTCAAAAGTGAGTGGATGAGGGGACAGAGCGACAGCACAAGTGAGAGTAGGGTCAGTGGTGAGTGGGTCGGTGATTGGGATGAGATAGTTACTCGTAGAGCTAGCTAAGCTTAGAAAGTGTGTGACAGTGCAAACATTGGACTGGACTTCCGAAGGACTGATGCCAGCCACTCAGCAGCAACAGAAGCAGCAGCACCTTTGTGGGGGGGATACTATATGGATATGGAATTCCATGTAAGTTGGAGTTGAATTTTCAAGCAGTTACCCCACAGAGTGAATACAATCATTTCCCGCTGCCTAGTGGCTGATGCCATCCCTTCAAGCTGTTGGCTTGTTTGCTCCTGTCTTTGCTTATATTTTAAAGCTTAAAGGCAATAAGTTGCGCAAACATGGCCGTTTAAGTACATATAAGAGTGTGTATGTATGTCGTAGAAGAGAGAGGGAGTATCCAGCCATCAAGCACATACACACACACACACACACACAAGCACACCAGCGCACTTGCACACTTGCACACTTAGGTGCCGTGCCCCTAGTGGAGCACTCACAATCACATGCTTCGACAAGCACAAGTTTCAATTTGTTGCACTTTTTTGAGGAATTAAGTAGCTGCCCAAGCTCAAGTGCTGCAACTGTATGAGTGTGCTGCTGCTACTACTATGCGTGTGTGTGTGTTTGTGTGTGTTGGCTAAGCGGTTTAGTTTCATTTGGCATTTAACAGTTCGTTTTTCATGCGTTTTTTTATATATTTATTTTTTTGTAGTACACAACACTGAAAGCACACATAGAGTTTTTTTCTCGGTTTCGGTTTCGGTTTGGGGTTTCTGCTAAGTTTTTGCTGGCATTTCTCTAGAACATTTAGATAAAAATACATTTACTCACTAAATACCCACAGAAGCGAAGTTCCAGTCGTCCCTTAAATATATGTAGGCTAAATATACTCCCGCTGCGTAAGCTTGAGCTCATCTAAGTTTTCTCTTTCACTAGAATTAGGTGCCTTTATAGCCAAAGAGTTTAATCTATCATCGTGTTCAGGGCACTGCCTGAAGGTGTACTTCTTTTGATTTCGATTTGAGATTGCACAACAATTATTTCACACTACTTAATTGCTAAAAATTTTACAAAAATCGGGTTCAAATCTAAACCAAAGACCGGATCACAATCACAAATGTGTGGGGGGTTGTAAAGGTTGGAATTGCAGTTGGAGCCATGTTATCTTACGATTTGCTCAGATTGGACGGCGACGGCGGCCACTGCCGCTTGATGACGGCAAAGTGAGTCATCTGAAAGGTGTTTGTCAGCTGGCAGCGCCTCTCCACAAAGCCCGTGAGGCAGTAACCCATGTTGTAGTCCTCCATCGAGATGTTCGACGTCAGATACAGCTTGAACTCGTCGTTCCGCGCAGGCTGTGACTTGTCACAGCCCTTGGACCTGCTCCGAGGGCCTGTTGTTGCCGCCGCAGTGGTTGTTGCTCCTGCTCCAGATCCAGCAGAGGTTGGAGTGGCAGCCACAGTTCCGGATGCTGCTGCTGCTGTCGATGCCGACGCCACTGGCGTGCTCCTGCCAAAGTGTCCGGCAATCAGCAGGGAACCCTGCTGCTCCAGTGGCAGCATTTGTGCCTTTGTCGCCCTACGCTGGGTGCCGGAGAACTCGACAATGCGGCACCGATTGGGCTGCCACCAGCAGGGCGTGATAGTCCAGTAGCTGGACGAGGCGGTGCGCGCCCAGCCCTCTTCAGGATAAAGCAATATCTGCAACGAAAGATGAATGAGACGATTGAGTCAAAGCGGAACACAGAGAGAAGGACACTGAGATTCTCGGAGCGAGAGCCAATTGCAAATTGGTTTTCCGTGTCGCACTTTAATTGAAAATCGCAATTAAAATCGTGCAAATTGTTTGGCCATGATTTAGATTTCGCTTTACTATCCCGCCCGCATACACCTTTATCGAGTCCAGGCCGAAGTGTTTCTCATTAAGTTGACGGTCGTTGTTAACACGCTTAATTTGGTCAAAATAAACGAGCGTTAAATTAACATGGAATTGCTTTTGACGTTTTTATTGTGGCATATTTAGCACACACACAAACACAGTGACACCTCACTAAGGTGGACCATTTAAGGATGATATATGAATTCTATTATATTCCCCTTTCCTTAAAGATAGTTTGATAGGCTTATCTTCTAGTGATATGCATGTCTGGATTTTTCCAGTTTTATCTCTTTATGGGGATTCCCTGTTTAAATACATCTACATATACATCTATGTATATATATATATCTTATCGCACTGACATTTTGCCACTGCTGCAACCGCAACGGGATGTTTGCAACTGCAACTGCAGCAGTCTGCCAGCCACTACCACGTGTGGCATATGGTGGATTTGTCATCCGAAGGCCATAAATAAAATTCGTTAGTTTATCATTTGCCCAAATGGCAATCGAGGCCCCAGACCATGGTGCTTTGCGATTTTTTGTGCGGTTGTTTCTCGGTTCTAATTAATACGCTCTGTCCATTTTAAATGCCAGATATTCCAAATATTTGTGCACAACAAGGCGTATGCTTAATACGCAGCAAGTAAGCCATCCACAGAGAGATTTTTGGGGAGGAAGCGAGCTAATCAAACGCTGAAGCTGGCTTCAAGGTTGCTCGGTAAATCACTAAGGGGAAATCTCAGGGAAAACTCCAAAGAATACTTGAACAAAAGAGAAATGGCGCAGAGGAGAACAAGAGAAAGGAGGTAGTGCCCAATGGCCAATGGCCAATGGCCACCACAGCACCATAACCCACACCCGGAACAGAGCCTCGAGCAGGGCTGGGAGCCACATCAGCAGATGCTTTTGAAATTGAAGCGGCTGCAGTTGCAACCACGGGCTCTGCCCCAGAGGCTCCCGGGGTCTGCCTGCTTTGTTCCTCCTCTCTTTTCGGACTGCTACGCTTGTTACTGGTCTGTGGTGACTTTAAAATACAAAATAAAAAAGAACCCCTTTATTTCCTGGCCCCAGGTAAGCTGTTCAAAATGAGTGCCTCACAGAAGCGCTTAAAAATGCATCAATTTGCCCTTTATTCACGCTTTAAAACAATGGTAGGCCAAAAAAAACAATGCCCAGGCAGATGCAGATGCGAAGGAGAATGCGGAGGATGGAAATGGGGAAAGCTTCGCCCGACACGGCACATTAAGTTCGAAATGAAAATCCTCTTCACCGTTAATGAAAATTAAACGATTTTCGAGAGTCGATGGCTCTGAATAAATACGAACGTGCATACACAGAGGCATTTTTTACAAATAGCTCAGGGTGTGATCTTATGATTTACGCAAGGATATGGAATATTCATTGATATATTTATATAAGGATCGATAGAATGGACGGCTGTCAGAGGTACCCCATATTTTTTGTGCATTCTTTAAATTCGGTACGAGGAATAAAACAGACTGTCAAGTAATCAAATGATTGTTCAGAATACGACATATTCTCCATTCATTAGTTTTCCACATCATTGCATTTCGTTCAACTTCATGAAATCTTCATAGTTCTCAATTGCACATGAAAAATCAAATTTGCTGCAGAGCTGCCATCGTCTGTCTGCAAAGATGACACATAAATCGGCGGGTCCAACCGGAGGAACCGCCCTTTGAGCAAGCCAGGGCACGTGCTGTATATTTGTCAACTTGCTGCACATGCCACGCGATGGTGATGGCGATGGCGATGGTGAGTGGTGCCATGGAGATGGCTTCGCTTCCCTCAAATGGCGCACTCGTGTTTGAAAATTAGAAAAGAAAATAAGGAAAAATTTAACAAACGTTCAGCAGCATAGTCGTGGCCCCCTAGTAGAATCGGGATCCTTGGCGGTGCATGAGTTGCACGGGCTGCCTTAATAAGCTGCCAGAATACGCTAACTGAAGTCAAATGCGAGTAGGAGTCGCCATTGCATTATTCAAAGCTGCCAGAAGTGCGCGCTGCGAAATTGAAAATGCTGTGGCAGTTGCAGTGGCAGTGGCAGCGAGGACCAATGCACGCAACAAATCGCTTGCCACTATCAAGGGTCATAAAATCCTTCACTGCCACCCCGTTTTCCGTTGCACGTTCCACATTTTGCACTACTTCCGAGCACCGAGTACCCCATCTGTAGGGTGCGCGAATAGGATTCGTCGAAGGTGGGCGAAAAAAGCCAATTGGGAGGATTTCACTGAGAAAAATATAGGCGAAAAGTCCTTCAATATTCCCCATTTTTCGGTATTTAATCAGCTTATAATGCTTAGGATATTACAATGTTATATGAAAAATATAAATTTGTATTTTTTAGTATTTATTAATTATTTATTTTAGTCTTAAATATTTTCAATTCTTTGTTATTTAATCAATCAAATCTTTCCCAATTTATGGGTATTGGTTTTAGCATGGTATTTTTGTGATATATCTAGTATTTCTTTGGAATTCGGTAGCATGCCTTCTAGCATACACATGAAAGTAACCATTTACGCACAAATACACACACACACACACACACACTCCCCCACGAATACATCTGAAGAGAAGAGAAGAGGGAGAGACACGTACACGCTGGAAAATCACTTCCGCTTTTGAGCTGCAACGTTGGCAATTTCGCAGCCACGGGCTAGGAAAGCAGAGGAGAGCAGAGGAGAGCAGAGGCGAGGAGATAAATGGGTCGCGGAGATGTGGCATAGGGGAACACGGGGCAACCCACTCGTAGAGCAACGGGCATCAGGTGGCGAATGTCGTATGGCGGAATCGAAAACGTGGCAGAGAGACTGGGTCGTCGATTCCTTGGGCGCTTACTTGAGGCGTCCATAATCGATTTCTGGCACTGGCACTGGTACAGGGACTGGCTTCCTTCGTGAAATCGTTTGTTGACTTTGGGGTTTTTTATTGCGTGCCATTTTATTGCCACCACAATTCTCCACCTCCAACAGTACCCAATGCAGCGCTCCGGCTCCCGGGTTGGGTTGGGATAGGTTCTGTTGGGTGACCCTCATCCTAGCTTGGCTTTCCAGCTTGCTCAGTAAATAAAAGTTCTTGGCTTCTTGGGTTCTTGGCTGGCTGCCGCCATTGTCAGCAATTGGCAACTTTGTCTATTAATTTGCTTAATGAGTTCAATGACAAATATTGAACGGCTGCAACTTAACAAATAGCTGCCAAGTTTTCCAGAGCCTTCACCCCGGGAGCTGGGGGCAAGGAGCACGGAGCACAGAGCACGGAGCACGGAGCCCTGAGCCGGCACAGAAACTTTTCTCATTTCGTTCGACGTTAATTAATTAAGTGCTGCCACAGACATTTCAACACTTTTGCCAGTCGGTCGGTCCATCAGTTCGTCCGGCATTCAGTCAGTCACTCAGTCGGCCCGTCACTCAGGCATCGACTCACTCATTACTTAGGCAAATTGTCTTTGTGTTTGTGCCTCTGCTTTGTATGTGTATATCTCTGGGCACTTCAACTTAATTACCCGCCTTATAAGTATGCTGCAGAGAACAGAGCAGGCCAGAGGAGGCACTCGATTCCAGCATAAGCTTGAAAATCAAAGCTTCAACACGATTGTCTGAGCACTCAAAGAGCCCACTCACCCCCACCCCCATCGACAACCACTCAGGGGCTACAGCGCAGGGGCCACATCCCCTAACAAAGATTATAATGGATGAAGACGAAGGGTGGCGAAAGTATTGGGCACTGCTGTAAGCAAGCAAGGGGATTAAGGATAGTCAAATAGTTTGCGGATCATATTTCCAGATTAAGAGTTTCTCAATTGAGACATGCCCAAGCCGTTAAGATTAGAAAACGATTCATTTTTTCTGATTTCTGAGTAGATTGAAAACAACAGAAAATATACAAAAGTATCTGCTTTCTATTATTTCTTTGCAGTTTCCTATCCTTAGGTACCATGAAACGAACAGTATTGCATTGACTAACAGAACAACACCTAGTCGATCAATAATGTTCTGAGAGTCTCCGCAGCAGCAGAGCTTTGTTTCATTCATTCTGGAGCGCGCCTTGAGCAAACTTCCGCTTGGTGTTCTTTACGCCATTCTTAGGTGTACGGAAAAGCATTTCATGGCGGGCGGAAATTTAAGTTTTTCCATGGTTAAGAGTATTTTTGCACGCTGATTGTACAAATTATTTGCTGGCTTCGGCTTTCAATTTGCTTTGTTTTCAATTGGCAATGCCAATTGTATCTGTTATTTCTGTTTCAACCCCATTGCCATCTTGTCTTGCCAAAGTCCAGGTTCATTCTGGCATCAGGACAGGGTTCAAGGGTCTCGGACCGGATCGGCGTGGGTGGTCGGGAAGGAGAAAGGTTGGTAAAAGTTTTAATAAGTTGCTCATTAGCACAGAAAATGAGGCCGGCGAGGCGGCAGCAAGACAAAATAATTTACACGCCAACATCCGTTGCAATTAAACTGCAAAAGGGAAAACTTAAATTTCAGGTCACGGCAGTGCCTTTGGCAGCTTTGGTGTCTTAGCCAGAACCATGTCCGTGCCCCCGTATCTTGGCCAAGTTTATGGCTTGCTCTGTAAATGGAGATGGAGATGTCAACGGATGCCGGGGCTCAGGAAGAAACGAAACTTTTCTTTGGCCCAACTTGGGCCGCGAGTGCCTCGTATTTTCTAAATTTAATGAGTTGTATTACGAGCAACTTAAAGAGAGGAGTAGCTCTCTGTCGGAGGCACAGCCACAGCCATAGCTTGGTGTAAACTTGTACATGGCAAAGTTTGTGGATACCGCCTCCGGATCTCGCCGC